GCTTGAGCTGAAATTTTTGGAGCTGATTGTTTGGTCTTGTTCTTCATTGTTGATTATTTTGTGAGTGGCTGAACTGTCCATAGAATTGACTAGTTGCATATGAATGTCTCATATTTGGTGCCTGAAATGTGACTGCTTTATAGAGAGATTGGTAGATAGATGTCATGTTATATTGATCAAATCAATTGACTTCTTTGTGAGTCAGCAGTTCACAAAAGATGTCCATTGTTGTGTCTTCTAGTGGTTCATCTATTGTGACTCATAGAGAAGTTTCAAGATGATGCCATGCATGCAGTACAACTGCAAATTCTGAAGTGGCCAGTCCACATTGATGAGCTGCTGCTGTGATATCAGTGAGATAGACTGCTGTTGACTTGTTGTTACAGACATTCAGAACTGTGTAGTGGATGTTATCAAATTTTGCTTGTGCTTGGGCTGATGAAATCTGGAAATGTTTTTCAAGGGCAAAGCACCAATCATGAATGTCAACTGAATCTTGGGCAAGAACTTTGTGTGTGAGATCATTTAGTTCAACTGTTCATCAGATCATGACATTTTCATGAAGACATGAGTGCAATTCAGCTTCTATCTGCAGTGAGTCTTTAATTGCTGCTGCTGCTTTGATTCTAGCTGTGAAAAGATAGACATCTTTAATCCAGATCTTTTCTTCTTGATCTGCAATGTCTCTTCCCCAATGATGTGGCATATCTGGGTAGAAATAGCCAATATCAGTGATTTTCCAGTTTTGCTGGGGTATGGAATTACTAGTGGTAGGATGTTGAGCTGATAAAACTGAAGTTGAAAGAGGAGTAGATGATTCTCTGTGTAAGACTGCTAATTCTGAGTGTATAATTGTGTGCATATTTGCTGTTACTGCATCTATAATATGTTGCATATCCATGTCATTTGTATGAGCTGCACATTTCTCTAGAGCTTTAATTGATGGTCCTGAAGAATTGCCAGAGTTTGGGGGGTTTTGATTGTTGGAGGTTATGATTGCAATTGATTGTTGATTTTCTGCAGTTGTCTGGTCAAGAGATGGAAATTCATATGTTGTTGGGGTAGATAGTTCCTGCTGTATTTGATTGGAAGTTGTTGATGGGACATCATTTGAATTACCACTTTCAGACAAAAAGTTCATGATCAAGTTAGTCAAGGGATTACTTAAGAACTTGTCCAAGATGACTTGCTTGCTTGGTAGTGACACTCTATAAGAAGATAGCTTTGTAACTATCATTGTGTTCTGGATAAATTTGCAGATTGCTGTTCTGATTATTGATGGATCAAGATTTTAATCTGCTGGGTAAAAAATGTCAGAGAGCTCTGATTCTGATTGAGTCAGCTGTGAACTGTTCAGTGAAAGCACTTTAGAATTCTCTTTTGGTATACAAGATTGATAAATGCTGGAGACTTGACTTTGCAGTAATGGTATCTTATTATTTTTGGTGATGAATTCTGCTAGGTGTTGTGTGCCAAGTGATATTACTCAAGAGCTAGGGTTACTTTGGCTATAGTTAATTATGTATTTAGCTGTTTGCAATACAGAATTTGGGAGAGACTCAATAATTGATCTGATTTCATTTGCTGGTTCCATTATTTCTCATTAAATATGCTTAGAGTTTGTGAGTATTTCCATAAGATTTTTTAGAATTTTGGGCTGCCCTTGGAGTCCCCAATCAAGCAAGACATGCTACCAGTTTGTTACCTGGTCTAACTGAGCTATGGAATGTCTATGTGATTTTGATTGTGTGGTAGAAGATGATTCTATTCTTCCTCCTCCAAGCTTCCTTGATAGACTTGGGGTGCTGACTAACTAACTACTATCTTTATCTAGCTACTTCCATAAATATGTACATGTCAATGTCCATATTGTATCTAGGTCATGTCAGTAAAATCCAGTTACCATCAGCTGTCATTGAATAAATACCATTGAATGTAGTTGCTGAATATTTTCAGTTGACATTCCCTCTGTGTTCACACAATATGTGTAGCCATATATCTCAGTGTTTGGATATTGTGGTAGAAACTGAACATGTTCAATTTTCATAGTTGTTGAGTGCTGTGGGGATCTATCTTGAACAACCAATTGTATTGGGTTGTTATTGGTAACATCTGGCTAATGGCTGTTAGTATCTTGTCTCATGCAGCTCATTTAATAGACATACAACAGTAAATTCATGATGACTATCATCTTCACTTGTTGCATCTTCATCAATCTCATATGTAAATCCAAAATCAAATGTTCATGCTAGCTCTGTACTTGCCTCCATGTTGCAGACCAAGTGGTAGGCACCAGTATAAACTAGAAGCATGTAATTAGAATGTCAATAATAAGACAATATCTTGACTAATAAATATCAAATATATCTGCATTCTGATATATGCTACCAGTAGCAACTGGACAAGAAATATTTCCAACAACATTGAAGTGATAGACAGCATAGTAGACAGAGATAATCTACATCATTGTTGATATTGTTTGTCACTGACATCTATCAGTAGCAACCAGACAATGAATATTTTCAACAACAACATTGAAGTGATGCAGCAGAATAGGTGGATGTAACCTACATCATTGTTAATATTGTTTGTCACTGACACCTATCAGTAGCAACCAGACAATGAATATTTCTGACAACAACATTGAAGTGATGCAGCAGAATAGATGAATGTAATCTACATCACTGTTAATATTGTTTGTCACTGACATCTATCAGTAGCAACCAGACAATGAATATTTCTGACAACAACATTGAAGTGATGCAGCAGAATAGGTGGATGTAACCTACATCACTGTTAATATTGTTTGTCACTGACACCTACCAGTAGCAACTGGACAATGAATATTTCCAACAACAACATTGAAGTGATGCAGCAGAATAGGTGGATTACATCACTGTTGATGTGGCTCCTTGTTGGTCCTTATCAGTAGTAACCAGATAGTAGAAAAGTACAGCCACCCACCACCTTACAACACCATACTGAGCATCTTTGTAAGTGACCATTTTGTTACAGTTACTACATTCTGAGTTCTTCCAAGACCTTCTGGTACTTCTAGTAATATTCAGTAACTTAATCTGATTATACAAGGTCAAGACCTGTTGAGCCACTTCACAACACCTGAAGACAGTTCAACCCACATCATACCAATTGTGCACTGGTAACATCTGTGTTTGGAACCAGTAATTATCAGTTAAGACGCCTGTTGACCACACGCCTGGGCACCTGGGGACCTGCGAACGGATTATGTGGGTAGCAGCTTACACGTAGCTAGTTTAACTAGTAACTAGGTACGGAGTAATTCGTAGTGGAAGCAAACGGACTTACTGGCATTTCTCTTTGACGTGGACCTGGATGTAAATACACTTGGGACTTGATATCATTTGGTTGGACAGTCCAGAAATTACTTTCGCATGTCACTATTTGGAGGCAAGTCTTTTCAACCTCGGGGCTTTGATTTCGCAACATCACCGGCAACAGGCCACATAACAAAAAATTCGCATCAATCTGACTTAACTCGTAGCAGCGTCTTGTTCCTTGAACCCAGTCAAGCAATCAGGTATCATCAAGATATTTTGTCAAAAACAGATACAGATCTCAGAACAGGCACATTTTTCTATATTACTGGAGATACCATAGTAGCTAGCAGCATGAAATATGAAAATAGATTCAATTTTGTTTCAAGGTAGTCTGAATATTTGCACAGATTCCCCTGGGTTGGATGGACTTTGAAGACATAATTGTTATGCGCAAAATTTCAATCTCAATTCTCTCTTCTATATAAACGACATTGCATTCAGTGTTTAGTTATTTTGGTAGTGCTGGCATACTGATTAACCTAATAGCTTCACGCATAGCTTCATATATATAAGCCTAGCCCAAGGATTTTAAGGCATATTCCCACCCAATATGAGCTGCATAAATTCAGAAGCTGTAAAATAAAGAAAGAGAAGGCTAAACATTTGGTCGTCGTTAACCATATGATCAACGCAGGACTGACATGGTACTTAGAAATCCTAAGTCTCGTGTTGTTATTCTTAAATCTTGGGTATCTATAGGGGCAGAATTCAACATGCATGTATGTATGTATATACATTAAGACGCTTCAAAGTGCAATACTCTGAGAATTTGGAGCGTTTATACTCGAGTCGCGTGTTGTATATTATACAGAGGGGTGAATATCAAATGGTAAAGACCGTATGCAGAGAAGAGGCTGACTGGTTGTATCGTGACGTTGACGTATCGACGTTCGGCTTGCCTAGGGGGTTAACTCTTTGCAGGGACCAACCAAAAGGAATGCCACTGCTTAGGAAAGATAAAATGCCCTTCCGTAGGAATACAAGTCGTCTCTGCGAAAGCAAGACTTTTCTGGAGAATCGGTTTCTCTGCAGGAGAGTGCCACGACTATGTGTTTTGGCCCACCGCAGAACTACTGCTGGCGGTCGGTCCCTTGCCATCGGATACTGTTTGAATCTGGCGGAATTCTTGTTCCAGTCGCCGTTGTAGTTCAAAGTCCAATTGTCGTTCCCGTTTGATGCGTTGGTTTTGAAGGTCTCTCTCAACACCTGCATGCATTGCCTAAAGTTATAACCAAAAACATATTAACATGTATATTGCTCTGAGGGTCTATTTGAGTTCACGGATTTCATACTGCTCGTTCTGCTTCCTGTGACCAATGAACAAAAGAAACAATACCCGCTGTAACAATAGAGGTGCACGCTAATGTGATTTTAGAAGCTCGTGACATTATTTTTCCTCCTCTTTCAAACGACTCCTGTAATGTGACTAATAAAAGAAAATGTGTTCTAAAAACTAACAGATTCCGATATCACATTCACTGGCAGTTCTTGATAGAGTTTATGATTATGTAACTCCATCATCCGTGGCGGTGCCGTGGGGCAGAATCCAGGATGACGATGGTTGTCTAAGCCAAATACTTCTACATCGATTGCTGTGATTCTGCATATACTGTCGTAACTCCGTGAACTCGAGATCAAAATATGGTACGCCGACCGGCATGTCTCAAGACAGCATCATACTATACTGACTATACTCTATGAAGGCCGCTCAAAACTCGGCTGGTATCCAAACACTCCTGGATGTACGGTGCTGCCTCTTTCTTTCATCTGGAATGCAGTCTAATTTCAATTCAAACAGGCAGAGAGAGAGGCTCAGAAGATTGTACAAACTGGTTAGTTATTGTGTTAACCAACGTTTAAGGAACAGTGCTAAAGTTCGCTTCGAAGCCCGGGAATGTCAGTGGTTATACTGAATTCGCTACTACGCTTCTGACTTAAAACATTTTAGACCGTACGAAGCGCATAAAGGACGCAAAATCAGAAGCCCAAAAAGAGATTGAAGAATATAGACGGCAGAAAGAAGAGGAATTCAAAAAATTTGAAGCGGAAGTAAGTCTGAATATAATCATTCGCTTTTACCCGGGTGGATTTCTGCTATGATTCGAAGAGCTCAGGATTAATTTTTCGCATAGCATTCAAGTGGCAATAAAAAAGCAGAAGACGACGCGAACAAAGACGCAGAAGCCAAGCTCCAGGAAATCCACAACATGGGTAAAGCTAAAGGGGACAAAGTTATTGACGACCTAATTCATACTGTTTTGGACATACAACCAGAGGTCCCAGAGAAACTCGCCGCATAAGGCTGAACCTCACGTCGCGGATCCTTTAATGTTTTTACCTTCACGATGCCATTTGCAAACTATCAGATACCATCATCCCCTTGGTTTATGTAAAGACCGATGCGCCTGGAAATGGGCCTTGAAGTGATTTCATGCCATGCTTGCTATTTAATAATAATTGCAGTATCTATTATAGACGGACTTATGGTATTTGCGGAGTAAAGGACATGAAACCAAAATCGTCGTGAAGGGGAACCCTTTGCGCTCCATACCAACCCCCTGTCTATGAAGTACATATAGTCGTTAGGCAAATTTGCCCGCTATATGGCGCAGTCCTGTTGGCTCGTCTTTTATAGAGATTTGAGGAAACACTGTAGATGAGTAAGACTGCGTGATATCGAACAAGTAAGTGTGGTGGCGTAATGCGACTGAAGCAGGGGCTGCGTAGAAGTGGCTCTGGTGTTCAAGCCATTTCGACTGTGGCTTAGAGGTAACTAACTAGTCGGGGATGAAATCCCTCAGCCCGCGCAGGCAGCGACTTTACACAGCCAAACACCAGGTCAAAAGCCCCCGTATTGACCTGGCTCACACCGGAACGGAGCGCAGCTTCAGAGCCCTGGTCCCGGGAAAACTAGGGTTAGCTTCGCCCGTCATCCGCATGAGCGGGGCACAAGGATTTAATCAGTTGCGGTTTTCCGATAACGAGGGAGGAGTGTGGCCTTGTTCTGGAATTCAAGAAATGGTCATTATTTATTATTTTAATGATTGCAAAGGAAAACGCCTTCCCAAACTAACTGGTTAGTTAACTAACTAGCCGGAGGGTTCGAAACCGCGCGCCATTTCTTGTTCGTGACTTCGCTATCGCCATCATATCGTTGTGCCTAAGTGTCGACTCAAGAGAAGCTGATACTGCAGTGATATTAAATTTGTCTTTCTGTTACCCAAATTCGCCATTTCTAGATTAAAATAGAAGATTGCTGTCCAAACCATGCCACTCCGTGAACAGTGACCCCTCGCCATTATTTGTTGAGACGTCATCATGTCCGCCCGCGTGTTTCTCGATAAACCGCACGCGCACTTCACCAATCTCGACTTCATCACCGGTAGAGTCGTTCTATCTCTACCAGTGGAAACCGCCGTTACCTTGGTCGTCGTGAAGCTTGAAGGCGAAAGCCGTACGCGCCTAGTCGCCCCAAAACACCCACACAATGAGCGCTCCGATAAGAAAAGAACGGAGATCGAGTCTCATAAAGTATGAATTGAAATCAGCTCTACTCAATTCTGAATTGCATGGGAGTCTATTACTGAAAAATGCTGATCTATTTTGCTCTAGCTTCTCTACAAAACGGTGACCCTGTTCCCCACTCCCGAGATGCGCCCCTTGGTCGCTCCGAGTACATATTATACCCTTTCACCAGGAACATACGAATACCCATTTCATTTCAAAGTGAGGAATGGATTCATTTGACTAATGTAACGTAGTAGAATGGAATGCTTACATACCCGTTACGACACAGTTTCCCTTCAACAATGACTGCATTAACAACGTTCTGGCATCGAACCTCAACATGGCAGGAATAAGGCTTGAGGTTGCCCGAGATACAAATAGACATCTTAAGAAGACACTACCACCGTCGCTTTTCGGTTTTCCTGGTGAGGCAGAAATCAGATATTTTGTCAAGGTCACTGTTGTGAGACCACAATTCTACAAGGAAAATTATAGAGGAGTACGCCCGTCTATCTTAGTTTTCCCCCTTTATCCTAGGAACATCCGTTCTGGGGACGTAGATTCCGCAGATTTCCGTCCTGGATAGCAAATATCGGCTAATTTTATTTGCCTATCTAGTTCGCAGACTTCAAATTTTTACCAATTGAACCCCCAAGGACGAAGGAGGCGGACAAAGAGACCTTTGCTCGACGGCAACACCAGTTTTCCAGGTTTCCTAACATTCAAGAAGAGAAAGGTTTTTTCCGAAAGACTTCTGTTAAGTCGCAAGACACTAGCACGCCGCCCAAATTTTCAGTTGACGCTCGATTACCTAGCCCTGCTATAATTACATGCAATGAGCCGTTACCGCTCCGAGTATTGGTGAAAAAGCTTGAAGAATTTTCTGAGACTCTTTATCTGCAACTATTCCAAATTGAGTTAATTGGTTATACACATCTGCGAGCGCATGATCTTTCTCGCAAGCAGAGTAGTAGCTGGGTTATCACCAGCCGCAGCAACCTGAATGTACCACTTGGAAGTGCTGACAACCCTGTTGGAAAAGAATGGAAGATAGATTCTAGGATGTGGAACCAAATACCGTTGCCAAACTCCGTCGCCCCGTCCTTCGATACGTGTAATATTTCAAGAAGTTACGAGCTAGAAGTTCGAGTAGGGATTTCGCGTGGATTAAATGGGTCGATAAAGGTATGTTTGGTGATTTAGGTTTCATCCTTGATTCTCGAGAGAGATTTGGGTGCTTCGACCACGAAGCTAAGTTAGTTACATCAGTCGGACCTTGTTGTCCTCCCTCTTCGCATCGCTGTTCAGGTATATTCTGGAGTAGCTCCACCACCTGCCTTATTAGAGGCCATGGGGATGCCGAGTGAACTTCCTGGCGTATCGACTCATTCTCGACCTCCACAACCACCTCGGCCATCGGCGCCCCCTTATACGTCGCCACCACCCGCCGAAAATTACGAGGATGCTCCTCCCAGTTATGAAGATGCAATGGCGGAGTCTCTTGGGCCAGTGGACGGCCCGAGGCGCGAGTATAACCCACTAGATGCTTCTGTTTCTGGAAATGTCGCGCAGACAGGGGCTGATGCTCAAGGTTCATCAGTGCGCAACTTTAAGGACGGTGACCGCCTTTTCCCCAGTTCCAGTGCTGTGAACACCTCCACCGATTCTGTCAATGCCTGCGATCAACCCACCTTGACAGATGGACCCGCCGACCCACGTTTTCCACGGACCGAATCAGCCAATACAGTTCACCGAAGTGATACCAATGCGCCGAAGCCAGTGATATCTGGTAACCAGGCCCCATCCCCGCAACCGGAAACCAACACATTATGGCCGGAAAGGAGAGTAACTCCGGGTCTTGGAATCCCAAGCAGGAAGCCGGTCCCAGGATCCAAGCATTCAACCCCTAGCATGGAACGCTTTTCCGGGTAAAAAGCCATTCCTGCCATGATTTGGGAATACTAGGAAAAGAGCGCATTCTAGTTTACGAAAGGGGTCTCGGGTCGGTTCGGTACAAAATGCGTTGCAGTTTATTGCTTGTTGACCACATGTTTTTTCCTGGGGTTGACTGGGAATCTAATGGGGCACGTGTTTATGGGTGTGCAGGGGGCAAGGAGCAGATCACCGAACATAGGGCGTGGGTTCAGAGGCTACTTAGTCGTTGGGCTCCCCGGATCTACATACCCGAACAACCCTGGTCGGTTTTTGGGATACAGAAGATGTTGCTGCTCAGGCGTACCTCTTATTATTTAATAATAATTGTTTTGGTCTTAAAATTCTCTGAACTCATTTTAGACGGAGAGCCTCATGCGTTTAAGATTGTGAAGCATGCTTAAAAATTCTTAGCTTTTCGCTTGCTGCTCTACCCTTGAAATGAGCCTGCGAGGTAGCATTCTCTAAGAGCTGCCTGTCTCACATCATCGTCCATGGGTTAACTATTCATAGGGTCGCGCGTCTAAATGCACGTTTGTGATGGCTCCCCACAATATTTTGACCTATTTTTTTTTTTTTTGCGTCCTGGAGAGTCAGTGTGACGAAGGGTCTCAAGGCCCGGCGGTTCTTATCCTACAACCAGGAAAAGCAGGCGAAAATATGATATAGCCTTAAGCTGTTTGAGATCTATCGCGGTGCGAATTCTCTCACACCTCAAACACATTATGGCGACACTGTCGGCGTCGACACGACGTACCGCGATCCTGATTCGGATGATTAACATATTGGGCCTTGCTCTGGGTATACTCTTTGCAGTTGCTGGCGACCTACGTGCGCGACGGTCTTTAATATATTACTATGTCATCGTAAGCCTTTCAGCATAGGATTTCCTTATCAGTGTTTCTGGTCGCTAACTCAGCGGCCCAATTGAACGAGTCGTGTAGCTCATCTTATGGCTCTTTCACGCATCTTGCGATATGTTTTTGCTACTACGAAATAAAAGTCGACTGCCCTTGGGGCTGTTAATATTTTTCGATTTCCTTGGAATGGGTGCAGCAGGAGGCACATTTATACTTTTCACCCTGCGAGCATTCTCCCATCGTTATCGACAAGGAGAACGGAGGGATACCGTGAATGATCATATATGGTTTGGGAGTGTTGTTTTATGTGGACTGATAGGGTAAGAACTTGCCTGACACATATTGGCTAGAGCCTACGTCTGATCTTGGTCTGGTAGGGGTTCGTTCTTCTTCATGTGGGTCGTAGATGTTTTTCAGGCAGTGCGCGGCTACATGTATCGACGTAGAAGAAAGAGGGAGCTCCAAGAAGCTCGACAGCATCAGCGAGTCGAGCAAGTTCGAGTGCAGCCACAAATCGAGAACCAGATAGTATTATAGACAGTAAAATGGAGTGGCGGCGTGAGATATCCCAATAGGAAAGAGCACATATAAGCTGATATTCTAGAGTATACAGCGGAAGATAAACTAATGGAGTTGCGATGCCTTTTATATAGGATGGTATATGGAGCAATGTGGCCCAGTGTTGTTTCTGGTGTTGAAAGTTGACACTAGCTACTAAGTTAATTAGTTAAGGTTTGACGCGGAAAGGCCGACACGATTTCTCTTGGGAGAAACGCTTTTCTCGGCAGAAAAGAGCCATTAACTATTCCATCGCCTCAGCTGTCATATACCATCAAGTCTGGCTTGTACCCTTGACTTATACTAGGATATTAATTGGCTGCAGGACTTTTTACCTTATTGCCTGGCAGTGTTGGTCTTAAGAGTACCTATGCTCTGAAGAGGAACGCCGTCGTGGATTGCTATCAACGGTATAGAGATGGATTACATACTTGGATAGATGTAACATCCAGTTGAATCCTGCTGCAAAGATGCGCCTTCATTTGGTTATTCATCGCCACGAGCTCCCTACTATTCGAATCCTATGGACTCCGCCCTCGCGTTCTCCAGGCCTCTCTCACCAGCCCTCCGCATCATCATCCTTTACCCTAGGCGCGCCTCAGCCACCCACTGCCGGACGCACATTGAGCGCAAGTACAAGTTTCAATACAGCGTTGACCACATTGTCTACGGTGGGGGGGTACACAATCGCGCAGCTCCTAGCAGATGTGAATGACGTTGTTCCTCTTGAAACCCGCGTCGATTATCATGGAGAGCAAAGTGACTGTGGACATTGGGGCCTGGAGGACTATGTTGTTGAGTTAATGGGATCTGAGTGCCTGCATTTTATGGAGACTGTAAATTTGTTGAGAGATGGTGATGAACTTGTGTAAGTTTTGCATTATTGGAAATGATCGGAGTTCGTATCTAATACCCAGAATAAAGAATTCGGCCGTTACACTACGAAGAGCTTGAAGCGCGACACATTACTGGCCGCCACCAAGTTGCCACGGATGGAACACATCTTATTGATGGTGTAGCGTTTGGGAAGAAATATCTTAAAAGGGCTGCGTCCCGTCGTCCGCCGATTCGTATTCCACCTCGGAGTAAAAGGAGACGTTTGGAAGAAAGAGAATGGGATTATGATATTCCAGTGAGAGAACCCTTCGAACCAATAATTCTACCACCCAAAGGCCGGGAAACGGAATTTGTACATGGAGTAATTCTTGCGGAACCAATCCAATCCGAGGACCACCAGAAAGATGAGAATACGCGGCTCCGGAAAGTAGACGAGGCTCTCTCTACTAAAGCTAGCACTCCATTAAACCATAAGTCGCCTTCTTTCTCCGAAAACGACATAGAGATACTGCATGTTGTGAAGAAATCCTGTACCAAAAGCCCTAACTTGGAGGGAAGTGTATACCCAATTAGTGTGCTCGATAGAGCAGAGGAATATCGCACTGAAAACGAATCAAAATATATCTCATTATCTTCTGGATCGGAATCTTCAGAAAGCGGAAGCGAATTGAGCTCTGCAACAACAGATGCTCATGAAGACGGGGAAACAGAAAGTTCTGACTTAAAATCTTCAACCAGCGTTTCTGGAACAAGCCAATCGTCGTCGTCATCTTCAGTATCATCTTCCTCAAGCAGTGAAGATGGCTTGGGCTCAGAGTCCGGCGAGTCTGTGCCTGAGAAAGAGAAGCGGCCGCTTAAACCAGATGTCCCGTTTACCCAGCCTGTTACTCCCCGGGTCAATAACGCCCCTGGAACGGGCTCTCGCAGGACAAGACATAGCAACCTACGAACTAAATTACGAAAGAGACTCGCAAAAATGAAAGCGGCAGGTGTGTTACCTCAAGATGCTAATTTCGACGATTTACGTAACTTGGATGAATTTGGTGCGTTGAAAACTCGGCCCAAAATGCCAGTTCCCGCTACACAAACGGACGAAACAGCACCATTTACGTTCGCAAAGCAAGAGAATGAGCATCATCAGTATTTAGAAAGTATCGAAGCTATCGGCTTAGGTATCAATCCTGACACGAAAAAAAACACTGCACAAACTTTTGCAGTTGCCCCTTCCCCGATGAACTCCAGTGCTTCTGTTGTTGATGTTCCTTTGCCTGAAAATGGCGTCAAATTAAACTTAGCTAATACCCGACGCCTCCTTTTTGGATCTCTTGGATTACGAACCCCAAAGACCAAGGGTGACGCGGAACGCCTCAAAGCACAGTTAACAGAGAAATTGAAAATATGCAAAGTGGCTATCAAAGAGCAACAATCCCAAGAGCCCATAGAGAAGTCCCACGCTCTTATGCCTGTTGAGAATTGGCAAGATTTTCTAAATGTCAAAGCTATTGAGTGCATCTATGAAGATGTGTCGATACCTCCGCCGCCGTTTCCCTTTGTACAACGATGGGATTCTGAGAGTCAAAAATTGATTCGACAACGGCGAAACAATGGGTCATTTAACAAAGGTAAAAAACGAAAGCGAAAGTCTCGTAACGATGAGGAACATGATCACTGGCAACCGTATGAAAATGAAGAATATTCAAACGCAAACATTATACTTAATTACTCAGATACTGAGAGTAATGAGAAAAGTAAACAGGAAACCTTGCAACCCGTCATGGAGTCTGCCACTGAAAAGTTACATATTCAGCAGTCGGATACCGCACAACAAACTAATGAAAATGCCATTGAACCAGGCCTAGGTCAGACTGAAGAGGATCTTCCGGTATATGAGGGTTTGTCGTCATATGAGACTGCCACTGAGAATGATTTGAAAGTCGGTGCTATCATAGCATTCAAGCAGCTAGAAGTGTCAAAGACGACTAATTGGCAACCCGTAGTCTCCAGTTACCGTACTGCAATAGTGGAACAAGTTATAGACGCGTCCAACGTTCAACTCCGTCTAGCAATGCGAGACAGAGAAAAAAAGCCAGAAAACCAGGAAACAGAGCCCAGAGTTTATTCAGGGTTCGAAATGCCTGGGTACGAAGACGAACAGGGCGACGATGATGGTATCAGAGACATGGAAGTGTATCAGTTGATAGAGCCAAAATTGCTGCGTTCTGCACCGGCTATAGATTTGGAAGGCGCAATAATGGTGAACGGGACTCAAGAGAATGATATGTTTGTGCATTCTATCCCCCCTATCAACCTTGGATTAGTTGCTAATAATGATCTTCGCGAGTTAGACCTGACTGTATCCCTGAATCTATTCACCAAAACGCCGAGGAACCGGAGCTTCCACCAATATCTTCTCAAACAAGACGTGACATTTCGCAGATAATAGACGATGCTGGATTCAGATCAGCGATTGATTCGGATTTAAATGTGCTCGATGAACCAATTCCCGTCGCTGATAGCCCTAATTCTGGAACGGGCAAAGATGATAATGGTCCCGAATTGCAAGCAGAAGATGTCACTCCAGTTATTGAATCACCAAGTTTTAATGGTTTCGAGCGCAGTCCTCCACACGAAACAAATGAACCACGGAGCCCAGATGCCACACCTCGGCCGAGTAACTCTGCTCCGATCAAGAAGGACGTCTGTCACAAACCCTCTCCTGGCACACAAACATCCTCCGTAAAGAATTCTGCCCAGCAAGAGCATGCAGTACCATCTATGCCGTCTGAAGACAGCCTTCATTACATCTCTGATCTGGATACAACAGTACCGGATAGCGGTGCGCCTAATGGAAGCCAGCTATCAAAACTTAAATCATCAAGGAATGCTACAACTCATAGTAAGCTGTCGCAGAGCCAAGAAGAGCCCGATCCTGAGCGCCAGGTTGGATCACTATTATGCACTATACACCCATCTGCCGTGGAAGCCGAGAATGACCGTCCTAACTCGTCCGGCTCAATGGTTCCCAATCCATTTTATGAAGTCGACCGCCTTCTTTTTGAGGACAGTGATTCTCCGCCTCTAGATGCCATTGTTTCATCTACCGCCCCCCCTCGTCTTGGTGAATCGGTTGATGGGAAACCGCCAGTTCGAATTAGAAAAAATCGCCTATCGTCCTCCCGTCGACGGCAATACACTCCACAGTTCTCAGACGATAACAATGGAGATGTCGAGGACGACGTCAAACTTCCAGAGCCGCAGAAGGCAGTCAACCAATTAGAAAATTCCCAAAAAATAAAAACAGAAATTGCGAGCTCTCAAGCCCACTTCCCAGACCCGCAAATTATCGTCCAAGGCTCTCAATTTGTTGATCTTACTATCTCAAGTGATCCTGTATCTCCCGGGGGTAGTGACGGTGATTTTGCAAAATCTCAAGGTCTTCCCAATGGCTCTGGTTGGGTTCAAAAGCAAACAAGCAGCTATAGACGGACTCGTAATTCAATCAATCGAAATACTGACAAATTGTCGCAACCTCGAAGGACCAGAACAAGAAGAAGTGTTATCTAGTCCTTAGGGTCCGACGCATGAACACAAATGTCAGGTGTATATTCTATGGCGTTTCACTCCTTATCCATTCATGTCGGTATGCCTATTCATGTATGAGTTATGTCATTGGCCGCTTGCAAGTTCAGAAAACATACCTGTGGAACAATAGCCCCAAGCCTGGACCTTAAAAGGCGATTGGCAATTAGCTTTCGAGTTTGCAATGGTGTTGGAGATAACTTAGGTGGATGGGAGGTTAGCATTCCTGGTATGTTAAAAGTATTAAATATGTGATAATAATCTATCCACCATGGGACTTATTGACATTGCATAAACTAAAAATGAAGATGTAAAAGATACTATATAAATTGCCATAAAAGTATCTTTTGCTCTTTTCAGTGCAAAAATTATGCAATGGGGTTGTCAGAGAATCTAGATTTTGTTTTGTTTCAACTGCGAACTTCCTTCAATTCTAATTGCTCTTCCTTCGTACCTCAGGAGTTTTACGGAAGAACTTGTAACTAATACCAAAAGTTAAAAGGCCTTGCTGAACAATGTATTAAGCAACCAAGTAAGATGAGACCCGGCCAACCATCTGGTGTTTTACTCCGTACTCCGTACATACTGTCTAATATGACATGCTCCGCAATGGGCCAAAAAAGGGCTTGGCAAATAAGCCCTAACTGGTCTATTTTTGGAAGAGAGCCTGACAAATAAAGAATCTTCATTGGCTGAGGCTAGCCTCCAATGACGCCATCCTGGCCTTTGAGTCGGAAGCCACGAGGATCACAACAGCTGCCGCATCGGCAATGCGACCAGAGCTGGATGCCTATATTATGTAGAGCTGCTGCTACCGCATAGCTATTCGATTCACCTCTCCAGCCTGCGTAGAAACCCGCTCGGGACAATTGCAATTCTGTTCCTATCAGGCTCAACAGTCGGAACACCCGAGTCCATGCTACGGCATGTACTCCGTAACTAGCTCACCTCTGAGCAAGGATAAGATGTACCCCCTCTTCCGCGTCCTTCAGCGCCCCGCATCTCACTCTGCGGTTTGTTCCAGGAGATATTTTTGTCTTTCTCTTCAACCACAGCTCTCCATCCCGATTCCTGTCCTGCAATCCGAGGCGTTTCATAGCCGACCCAATATCCCAGGGAAAAGTTTGCAGAATACTGCGCTGCTTTCCTCTCATAGATACTCTAGATTCGCTAGGTTTGTCAGTAGCACTTCCAGTCCTGTTAGAGCAATGGCGTCCACCTATAAGCTTAAAGACATCGAATCACTAGATTTGAAGAACGGGGAAAAGAAAGAAGTTGGCATCGAAGATCTCGGCGATACAAAGCTGTTGCTAGTGAAACTGGATGGCCAGGTTCATGCTTTGACGCCAAATTGCACACATTACGGTGCTCCTTTAGTAAAGGGCGTGTTAACTCCAGATGGGAGGATAACGTGTCCGTGGCATGGAGGTATACACATTATTCAAATTCCACTAACATTGGTTCAACGAGCAAGGCTAATATTTCTTGATCCCATGTAGCCTGCTTTAATGTCACGACGGGTGATATCGAAGATGCCCCTGCACCAAACGCCCTGGAAAAATTTGAAGTGTTCGAGAAAGATTCTGCTGTCTATGTTAAAGCAGATGCAGAGTCCCTGAAACGCTACAGACGAGAGCCTATTAGCCAATGTAGCGTTGTCGGCGATCAGAAGGTGGTTATAATTGGAGGGTAAGAATTGGGTAAGAGCCGATACTATAGTGGATTGTGCTAACCTTGGAATCTAACAGTGGAAGTGCTGCCTTCGGAACTGTTGAAGTCCTTAGGGACCAGGGATTCAAGGGCAAGATAACGATGATTTCCCGTGAATCAAATCCTCCACTGGATAGGACCAAACTCTCTAAAGCACTCATTCCAGACCCTAATAAGATCCTTCTGAGGCCGGCTCAATGGTATTCATCTGTTGGTATCGACCTTCTCTTCGATAATGCTACCGCCGTAGATTTTGAGAAAAAGGTGGTCTCCGCGGAGTCGGGGAAGTCATTTCCATACACAAAGCTTGTATTGGCAACTGGTGGAGTGCCCAGACGGTTGCCTGTGCCTGGTATTAAGGACCTTGGGAACGTTTTTGTCCTGCGTTTTTCAACGGACGTCCAGCAAATTCTCGAGGCTGTTGGAGATAAAAACAAAAACATTGTTGTAATTGGCAGCTCCTTCATTGGCATGGAGGTTGGAAATTGCCTATCAAAAGACAACAAAGTCACTATTGTGGGAATGGAATCGGCCCCATTGGAGCGTGTCATGGGCAAAGATGTCGGCCAGATCTTCCGCAAACTCCTTGAGAAACAAGGAGTTACCTTCCACATGTCGACTTCACTGGATAAAGCAACGCCAGCAGAAAATGATTCATCAAAAGTCGGTGCAGTCCACCTGAAAGATGGCACAGTTCTCCCAGCAGACCTGGTTATCTTGGGCGTTGGAGTAGCTCCTGCCACTGAATTTCTTCAAGGCAACGCGGCAGTGACACTGGAGCAAGATGGGTCTCTCAAAACTGACGAGTCATTCGCTGTCAATGGCCTGAAGGATGTCTATGCTGTTGGTGACATCGCGACATATCCATATCGCGGACCTGGTGCTGGTCAAGGCGGCAAAACTCACGTCCGCATTGAGCACTGGGACGTTGCCCAAAATGCCGGACGTAGTGTCGGGTTCACACTAGCAAATGCTCTCGCCTCTCCTCCCAAAGATTTTCGTCCGAAGCCCTTTATTCCTATCTTTTGGTCAGCCCTAGGACAGCAGCTGCGATACTGTGGAAATACGATGAACGGATGGGACGATGTTATTATTACTGGAGACCCGGACAACTTCAAGTTCGCTGCCTTCTACACGCTTGGCGATACCATTGTTGCATCGGCGAGCATGAATATGGACCCGTTGAACTCCAAGTGTGCGGAGCTAATGAGAAGGGGGAATATGCCAGGTAAAAGAGACTTGCAGAGAGGTGTGGATATACTGGGACTAGATCTCCCTGGAACGCTAAAGATGTAAGCCTTCAGCTGGAGCAGCCATGTTATTATAAAGAAGAAATCTACACCATAATTAATTCGCAAACTGAACGCCCTGGTATGATTTTCCACGAACAAAATTCTCCTGTATCCAAGCGCTTGAAGTTCGAGCATGAAAAAAGAATAACACCTCAACAGAATATTCAATCTTTTGACTTTTTTTTCTTTTTCTTAGTCTTCTCTGTACTTCCAGTAGCGCTCTTGCTAGCCGCGTGTTCTCCAACTAGTCCTCCAGACACCATCACGTCATCGCCTTTGTTCACTGAAAAGTCAACCACACCTTTCTGAGATAGCATAGCCCTTCTTTTCTCTTCAGTAATCAGCTTTGCCTCCTCCTCGGGGCTCAGCATTGTTCCCTCAAGGCTGATAAACCCTTTATCATGCTCACTCCCCGGGATAACATCAACATCCTTGACCCTGAATTTAATCATGCCCCTCACCCGTTTCCCAGAGCCTGTCATAAAATATCCTGTCGCCGCAGATGCTTCATCCTCGTAATCGTTAGGAATATGCTCCCCGCTCGTCAAAGGGCGAAAGCCATCCTTATCTATATCAAAGTTGGAATCTTCTTCATCCGGCACTCTGTCAGGAGGTTGCTGGCCGGGCGCGATCCATTTCCAGGCTGGAGGGAGGCGTTTTCGATCGATCCCAATGGAAAAAAGGTTATGGACGACGGCACCAAGAAACCCTTCCGATTGCACATTTATCCAACCTTCTAGAGCCTGGCCACGCTCTGGGCGAAATACAAGCAGAGTAACTGTGAGGTATACGTATAGAACACCGTACTCGCCGCCTGATACGGCGAGCGTGAGTGCTGTGGGGTCTAGGGCGTCTTTTGGCACTGTAAAAGGAGAGGAAGACAGTGATGGGTTGGAAAAGGCGAGGACGACCCCCCGAACAGGCGGGTAATATGTCAATAATAGCGGTGTGATGTGCTCTGACAATAGTCCGGAGAGAGCGAACTCATCAGAGATACAAATCGGCGAGACAGAGAGGTATAAGGTGGTTTTAACGAGATGGAAAGGAGATGATTCTATAGATTCAAAAGACGGGGCTTGCGACTCTGAGGGCGTCGGCTTCGTATCGTCTTTGTGCTTTCGGTGTTTGTCCTTCTTAGACTTTTTGGGAGTCGAAGCGAGGGCCTCGTCGTGATGTTTTCGTTTTTTGGAAGAATGCCCATCATCATCTTTGTGCTTTCGTTTCTTAACGGGGGAGGATATCGAGGTATGTTCCATTCTGTTTGATGAAAATAGGCTGGCCGGGCTACTGAATCGCGAGTTTTTCGTCTGGAGAACAAATTTTTCTGCGACCGTTTTTGGGTTTGACGCTCGCGGGAACTAAAGTTGCGAGACGCGCGCTTATTTCATTCTCGCTCTCCAACAACGGCTTCCACGCTTCCATCAACAGTTGAATTGAGTGCTTGATGCCGGACAGAGCCCTTCTCTTCTCTTTTCATTCACCCACAATACTCTTCCATATGCGCTAGCAGACATGGGAGATGCTCTTGGTTCTCTTCTTTCCTTTGCCGGCTGGGCCTTTCTTCCCCGCGTAAGCCGCACAATTCCTCTCCAGATATCTTTTCTAACCTATCTTCAGTATATCACATCTTTTCTTCAGTCAATATACTATCGTATCACAATACGTGCTGGCTCTCCGCATCCTCATCCTTCCACTCCTCGCTATGCCCGCCACTACCGACGCATATACATCGTGGTTGTAACGAGCTATCTCCTCTACACAATTTATGAAGCCTATCATCGAATCCGTTCGCAGGATGATTTCTACAAGCTGCTGGGGTTATTTCCTACAGCGGATGATCGCGCTATCAAATCCCGGTTCAGGCGACTTGCGGCACTTCACCACCCCGATAAACAGGGCGGTTTCGACAACGCGGGCAATGCGAACTTCTTTGTTCACTTGAAGCTGGCGCAGGATACGCTACTTGACCCAACAAGAAGATTTGTATATGATAGGTTTGGTAGGGAAGTGGTCGAAGGAAGCAATGCTAAGACTGTAAGAGAGTTCCTCTACCAAGGTTTATTCGCGTTGTTACCCCAGTACGCTGGTGGGCTTGGAATGTTGGTAATATTAAATACCTTTTGGTTCTCGCCGTGGGGAAAATACGTGAGTTTTGTCTTCTTCGGTTTCCTCTCTTATGGCCACTGAAACGAGACTAGTGGCGATTTTATATTCTCATTGCCCTTTTCACGCTCGAATTGTCTCTCCTCACACATCATCATGGGGTTTTTATGCCCTTTACGTATCTTCCTGATCGGCTCTCGAAAATCCTCGGCTTAGATACGTTCTACCTCCTCCCGTTTCAACTTCTCAGTCTCGCGCGCACCATGTCTGTCACGGTCAATATCTTCATCTCTCAGCTTGCACCACCTCAAGAACCATCATCCAAACCATCCACCACCCTCTCACCGCAAACGCAACAGAAACTTATGCAGTTGGCTCAACTTAGTCACGCCCATGATATGGAAGCTACAAAACTGCTTCAATTCAACTACAGACCTTTTAAGGGGCAAAAGGGCCATGTCTCTAGACTACGAAAAGGGATGAAAACAAGTTTGGTTATGGGAACTGTGCAGGACAGCACAGACGTGGAGAATGCAGTCAAAAGTGTTGTCGAACGACAAAGTGCTTGAGAGACTCATTGCATTTTTTTTCGCGATATTTGTATAGAGACTATCAGTGGAATGGGTAATCAACTGCTGCATCATGTACGGAGTATTAAAGTGTTTTTTTTAGATCTCATCTATATGCCGTTTGCTCTCTGGAGAGTCACTGCCGGATTATGACTGGCTGCGATTTTCTTCTGGTAGCGAACGGAGTTCGGAGCATGTCTAGTTCGGAGCATGTCTGGTGTTCTCCGACAGATTCACGGACAGACCAGTGTTGGTAGTAATATAATAGGATTCCAGGGCTTACCTTACGTCTTTCATAAATCCTTCTTGTTGAATCTAGCAGAATATGCTAAGGCGACCAATTTCCTAAGGCACAATGGACAAGGATGCAATCTATAAAAATGTGCAAAAATATTACAACAGCTTAGCTGCCAAAAGACCTGATGGCGAATACAATAGAAAAATTGCAGAGGCATTTGGGTATAATAAGGTAGTGCTTGAGAACGTTCCAAAGGGTGCAAACTTGGGGTTGTGCTCTGGAAACCCGGTAGCTCTGGCAGACCTGAAGCATGTAGGCATGCCTTACATCGTCAATGCTCCTCCCGCTAACAAATGATTTGATAGGGAGAGACAGTAGTGGATTTCGGAAGTGGTGCCGGGATGGATATATTCCTCGCAGCTGAAAAGGTTGGCAGCACTGGGAGAGCCATTGGGATCGACATAAATCAGGTAAAGCCCTTGTTCTAGTGGCTTGAAATATGGTATCTCTATTAATTAGTAGCTCGAAATTAGCTTATGCTTGATCGAGCAAACAAAAATAAAGACACTGCCCAAACAGAAAACGTCTCCTTCGTTAAGTCCCTTATTACCAACGTCAACCTACCCGATGGTATTGCCAACTGCATCATTAGCAATTGCGTCGTGAACCTAGTTCCAGCCGTGGAAAAGCAACTTGTATTCAATGAGATGTTTCGACTCCTTAAACCTGGTGGCCGCGTAGCCATGAGCGATATCCTTGCAAAAACCTTGCTACCGCCAGATATAAGAACTAGCATGGCTCTGTACGTTGGCTGTATAGCTGGTGCCTCTTTAGTATCAGAGTATCGACAGTATTTCCTTAATGCTGGTTTCAAAGGTAACTTGAGTGTGGCCAGGAGAATCCAAATTACCTTGGCTAACCATCTAAACAGACGCCGTTATTACTCCCACACACCGTGACTTGAATGCTTATCACGACAAGGAGTCAAATACTAGCTGCTGTGGTGATATTAGTGTGTTTGAGCCGCAAGGAGTCATCGAAATTTTTGATTTCAACAAATGGGCCGGTATGGATCCTTGACGCCCCTCTTATCTCGCAAAACTCGATGCTGATACATGTTAGGGTCATTCGAGATTTCCGCCATAAAAAGGTAATTTTATGAATCTCCACGGAAATTTAATTCCTTGATATGCTCAATACGTTGTACGCACACAGGTACTTTTGAATAATCTTTTGTATGCATGCAAAACAAAATTTCGGCTACCATGTCAGGCTATCATGACACTCTAAGTAAATGAATCTTCCTGTAGGCTTTCTATGTGCAAGCATTCAAGTCAGCCATTTAAATATATTATCTAGCCCAAATGGTAAACGAAATCCACGAATTCTTATTCAGAGAGGGGCACAGAAGCCTTTTATTAGGGGGAGGAGATCATTAGAAGGGTAAGCTAAATTGTCCTTACCTGTACCGTGCCATCAGGGCTGGTGTTCCTCAAAGACATCTTTGAAGCTATCATTAGAAACGTCATCGTCCAAGGACTGTGTATCTGAATCACCACAACGAGCGTCACGGGCCTCAAAGCATCGTACAAAAACCCGAGTGAGAGACTGAAATGGTATGTAAACCTCAAGTTGAACAGGTAACGGTGATTGTGAATGGAAACCAGCTTCCAAATTGCTCTCAGGGCTTTCTCTTACGTCGGGGATGTGACTAATTACATCCAGTAAATTATCGAACGCAGAGATTAACTTTTCATTGATGTCACATCGCTGAAGAAGCCGATCTCTGAAAGCTCCTAAAGCATAGTGCTTGTCATACTTTAGTCTGAAATGCTCTGCTGATGCCAAGATTGTGATCGTTTTAATGTCTGCGTAGGCAGCGACAAGTTGAAGAATATTGGGGCCTTCAAGGCGTGAACACGAAGTATATTCGTGCCATCTATCAAGGATCAGCCAGAGGACATTGTGGCTGTTGTAGGTAATAGCAGTTGTCAACGGGCTTGAACTCGTGTCAGAGAGTGCATTGATATCTGCACCGTAGTCAAGCAGGAGCATGGCAGTGCTGGAATTATCCGCCCAGGAGGCATGTATTAATGCCGTCTGGCCATCAGAGCCTCTTGAATTGACGTTGGCACCAAAATCAAGAAGACTCTTTAACAACATTGTATCAGCAGCATTGCGAGGAGCGACAATAAGAGGGCTTCCTTTTCAAACACCACTGGGTAGGGGCGGATCAGGATCACCCCCAGCCTCTAGCAATAAGCAAACACAGACAGTATGACCCCGTGCCGCAGCATTAAAAATGGGACCAGACAACTGAGTGTCCGTAATATTTGGATCCGCACCATGACTGAGTAAGACAACTATTGTATGGCTATCCCCACAAGCAGCTGCCCATGCAAGCAGAGTCCTACCCATGGAATAAGGTGCATTAAGATCCTCAGGGTGCAATTCTACCTCTGTATTCAAGTCTAAGAGACGCAACCCCAGTACAATCCAGTGGATGCTTGTGAATCTTGAATCCTCAATGAAATCTTCGAGGTGGCCCCCTTGTGTAATAGTTTTCAGAGCCGACTCTCCACTCTCTGAAAGACAAGCTTCAAGCAAAAAGTGACATGCTTTGATCCGAGGACAATTATCAGAACTGGCAAAGGGCCTGTAATCAGGGTCAGCCCCAGCGTACGTTAAAAACTTGCAAGTCTCATATTGCTTTGCATATAAAGCCCATCAAAGCAAGGAGTATCCTCTACTGATACTAATATCGCGAGGAGAAGCCAGTCCATGGCTAAACAGGTAGTTTAGACCATCAATATCTCCTTTGACGGCAAAATTGACACACTGGGCAGAGTCAGTTACTCTTCTCAGAGTATCAAAATGGAAGCGAGATCCAATATTTGCCTAATGTCCAAGCTGGATTCTTACCAAATGGGAACCAATATTCCATACTGATTTGGCTAACTTGTGATTTTTGACAACCTTCGGCCTCACACTTTGAACTGAAAAAGGCAGCCCTGCATAGCCGATAAAAAGTTTCCCAATAAAATGGGTAAGAATAGCAGGTGTTGATGCTTTCTTCTGGGCATGGCAGGAACAGGAACAATTGCGTTGACAGGTAGTGGAGTAAGGTGAAACACGAACAGTTAGCCCTTCAGGGTGAAGTGCGAAGTTCGATCGAGGGTGTGCTTGTCCTTCGAATCTGCCGATTTTGTTTATAGCCGTAAAGCGAGCCAACCTGCCGAAACTGGCTTGCCTGTAATTGATCTGTTTGCGCATGAATCAGTTCTTCGACTCGAGCTATTCGGACATCAACATCGGAAATATTTTCCATGAATTGCCCTTTCAGGGCTGTTTTTTCCTTAAAATATTGAGATATTACTGCAGATATAGCTTGAATATCAAGGCGAATCTGGAGCATATCATACTTAGAATTGAAGTTTTAGTGATTTCGATTCCGTTCAATAAAACGGCTAAACACAAGTTATGAAACACAGCAAAACGTACGAGTTTGATGCCCCAAGCAAGATGTTAAGATTGCACTTAATAGCCCGAATGTCGTCCTGGAGGTCCTTAAGGACATCCTGCTCCTTTCACCACACATATCCCACTGCCGCGGATAACTTGGCTTTGTGAAATGCATCAAGTAGCCGGTCGGCAACAATTTTAAGCTCACTTAACTTAGAGTTGCTTGTTTCAAAAGGTATGGAATTGTAGAAAGCTGACTACGCGGCAAAAGACAGGCGCGTTCCTTAACCAGGACTCCCACCTGGCACGAGACGACTTCTAGATCGACTACTTCATTGTTGACCGCGTGAAGTCGCCCTGGTAGACTCTTACACAGGGAGCGTAGCTCAGATAATGTCGAGCATATCTGAAACGAGAGAGTCGTAAGGCCAGCCAAACTGGCGGTCATGGATAAGGGATCCAGTAGGCAGCAGGTCCGTAGTTTAGGTTCAACGTCGTAACATTGCGGTAGTTATCATGAAATGTCGATGAATCGCAAAGCCACTTTGATTTTGGGAAGCTCTCTGACTGAGTGTGTAGTGTAGACTGGGCTCTAATGAAGAACGCACCTCTGTTTTCAGTTCATCAAATATCAGCCGCGAAAGAGTTGTCTAGGTTGCGGTAGGGCGGGGCGATCATGCAGGCCCCGCGATTAACCACACAGTTAACTAACTAGTTAATTAAGCAAGAGACTCGCATCGCTTCGCTTCATTCCTCATCTCTAAGGCTCGGACGCGGTTGTGAATCGGTTGCACCATGGGGTTTGGCCTGAACTTCCACCGATACCAAGTTCCCAACAACTTGAAGGATAGGATCAAAAAGGGGCAAAGCTCTCAACCAGGGGCAAAGCCAAAGAAACAAGGTTTGCGTCTCAAGCTTATTCAGTTGACTATAAGTCGAGACGACACCCGCTAATAGCAATACTAGTCAGCTACTCCGTACTGCTATGCGCGTCTCAAAGCAGAGGTTGATCTCTTCTGAAGAACTTATCAATCAAAGTATGGTGTTGACATAAAGATGGAGGCCGAGCTCTGCTCACAATATCGCCTACAATCTCCTGTGGAGGAACACCAGGCTCTCGTCGAGCAGGTCAGCAAGGCTGATTTGTGGGGCTTCTTTGATCGTTTATCTAGTTTGCAAGCCTACTTGGCGAAGTTGCATTGGTTTGCTACTGTCAATAGCGAGGCCATTTCCAGAATCTACAAGAGAATTTCAGATATTGACGTGCTCGAATGTTCTGGTGCTCCATTAATAGAAGTGCCGGCTGCGTGCATTGCCGAATGTGAAACCGAGATTAAAAGGACATGCAGGCTCAAAACATTCCTCACTTCTTACCTAGAATCTAATGGGCTAGAGAGGATTGGTCGAGACGGTCAAGGGCATCTCTCGCTCCACTACGGTGCTACTCTTGGGGACTATGAAATCTGTCTATCCGCCCTCAAGCGTTTGATTGATGCGAATGGTACATCTGACGACATTAACAATGCCCTCCTTCGATGTGATGAAAGGAAGTGGACACCTCTACACATCGCAGTTATCCACAATCATTGCGCAATATTAGAATTGTTTTTGAATGCCCTGAAATTGAGAGCGGGTGAAAGCAGAAAAACTGATGATGGCTCAATTTTCTCTCTACTTGAAAATTTGTTAATTATCGCCCTCAAATACCAGCATGACGATATGATCCCCATGCTTGTTTCCGCTAAACCTATTGATAATCGCAACATTCTACCCGGAACAACACTGCTTCATATAGCTGTGCAGACCGGACGAATAAACTACGTTGCGTTGCTCATAGACAATATGGACGACCCAAAGTCATGCATTGATGTGTGCAAGGCTGCAAGAGGGTGGACGCCGTTGATTCTTGCCGCTGCTTCTAGTAATTTGGAAGTTGTCAAGATACTCCTAGAAGCTGGCGCGAACCGCACGGTTCTAGACAGCAAGGGCTGGACAGCTCAAGAGCACGCAGCGTTTCGAGGTCACCTCTACACAGCTAACTTCCTCGGACCTTGCAATACCTTAGACTCTTTGGACTCTTACGGTTCAAAATTGGACAGAGTGAAAATAGATCCTTTGTGCAAAGATGATCGAAAGTTCATTATTATCCATCTCGGCAGTATGCAAAGGAATAGAGAAATACCAGCAGTTGATTTAAACTGCTGCTCCTCCGATCCTTTCAAAACGGCTTGTCCCGAGGCGTGCTAATTGTTGGAAATTTCCGTGCCAGGATCGTCAACATTTCTCTACGGTTGCCGATCTTAGACAATGCTAGCAATCCTTTGGTGTTTCCCTTGACGATTGAGAACTCATCCCATGTTGCGTTCAATATTTTCCATTACACGAATGCTAACATGGTTGGTAGCGGTATGGCTTTTCTCGAGGATGACTGTCTTTCTATGACGCCTCCATGTGAGCCATTATTGAGAACACGCACCATCCCTATTCTCTCTAAAAAGTCCTCTGAATATTTAGGTACCGTTTCATTTACTTGTACTATTGCAAAGCCATATGTTGGTACTATTTTCAGACGCACGCAAAACCGCTCCAAGCTATCTAATGGGGTTAAGTTGGTGGGACATAGAGGTATATATATATGGATACAAGACGAGCTGAGCTCGTATATTTACATCCATACAATATATATCAATCTATTGACGAAGCTAATCATGATTAGGGGTTGGTCAAAATACAGCCTCCCGTGAGTACCTCCAATTAGGAGAAAATACGGTTGATGTGAGATATACGGACCCTAATATATCTTTTCATTTGAGCTAATGAATTCAGTCTTGCCTTTCAGCAGCCGCCCTAGGGGCCTCGTTCGTTGAAGTACGTAACTACTCCTTAGACCCTCATTACGACTTTCTCTAATGATCTGCGTAAAGTTTGGTACTTTCGGCGTCCTATCCCCAGGCTTACTAGTAGCGTACTAAAGCACAACCTTGTTACAGACGTCCAAGTGACACGGGACCTGGTCCCAGTCATATACCATGATTTCTCATTGAGCGAATTAGGGTCAGATGTGCTAATACACGGTGTGGATTTGGCCCAGGTAAGCCCAGAGATCTGGAACAACTGGGCAGTACTTATGGAATCAGTTCCTCCACGCAGGCAACTATTCAGAGTTGGAAAAGCTAGAGTCACGGACACCGCGATCGCGTTCTCTAACCAGAGAGGATGACAGCGAGGCGCGCAGTAGGACTAGGCTTCAGCATACAGTCGATTTCATGGGTAAAGGATATAAGCCCAATAGTCGGGGTACGTTCATTCAAAGCCCATTTGCGACACTAGAGGACCTACTTGTCCAACTTCCCAAAAATCTTGGGTTTGTTGTGGAAATTAGTACGTGTTATCAGTCGGACTTCTAGTGAAGTGCGTATTAACCACGTTCATAGAATATCCGCGACTACACGAAGCGGCAGAAGCCGGAGTGGCGCCGATGGCAATTGAACGTGCCTCGACGCCGTTCTCGGCAGGATCTACCGCTTTGTCCTTGATAGGGGCATCATCTTAGCGTCCTTTACTCCAGAAGTATGCATTCGTCTAGCTAAAAAAGCCACGGGATTTCCAGTTTTCTTCATCACTAATGCTGGCAAACTTCCAATCACGGACATGGAAAAGCGAGGCGCAAGCCTCCAAGCCGGTTTTCAATTCGCAAGGTTGTGGAATCTGGCCGGCATTATTCTCGCCGCGGAAACGTTCCTTTTGTGTCCCCGCCTGATAAAATACGTGCAAATGGCGGGGCTTGTATGTGCTTCATCCGGTCTTGTGAACAATGTGCCAGAAAATGCTAAGGTGAGCTATTAATGTGTTAAGAGGTGTAAGACTATCCATTGACATAACTGCTGGTAGCTTCAATCCGACGCTGGGATCGATATGCTAATTGTTGATCGAGTTGGATTGATTTCTAAGGCTTTACTCCGTAAAGCCTAGCTAGACCTTACTTCGAGGGTAGATCAATCAGGGACCTGTGTGTATCTCCTGATCCACACTTCTATGGCGCGTTTAAAAAGCCTATTAGAAAGGGGCATCCCGGGTTTGTGGGTGTTATTTTGAGAAATTCCTTGCCAGTACTCCGTATGCCACCAAGTAATAGGAGAACAGGGGTAAGATCACATCATTTCGGGCCAGCTCTTGTTATACGAAAATTTTGCGGAAATGTTGGCGATATTCGACCTGCAGGACCTATGAAAGTAGGCAGCCAACCGCCCAATGCTAATACATCCACGCGGGCACTCTCCCGGCTTGGGCCGTCTGTGGTGTTTGTGACCAACCCCCTGCACGGGGCACAACGGGGAGAACCTCTGCGTGGACAAGCACTTTTTATGGAACGGGCAACGTGCCTCTAAAAACAAGGAATTCTTCGGCGGGTGCCAAATTGAGAAAGCGCTCGAAGCGCAGCTTTTATTTTGCTGGCGCGGCATTGCCTAGCGGGATCTGCACTTCAGAAGGATTGCTGGAGCCTCTCTTGGGTGCCCCATTAGGATGTGCGCCCGTTTGGCAACACTGGGTTCTGAGTGGAGGCTTTGGCAATAATGTGAGATGTTTGACGTTCTTCATTCATGTATCGTTGCAGAGAAACCCCACCATCTCTTGTTGCGGCGCAAGAAGTTGTGTCTGTCTTTGACTGTAAAGTCTAATCCTGGAGAGCTGAGCGTCTAGCTAGCTAATTTAGTCTTATAGAGCAGGCACCGAGATGATGCGGAGGAGTTTCCGTACGAAGATCTAACTCTTTGGTATACGATGGCTAGTGGGCTACCCCGCAGGTATTAAGGTCTCATTATGTGCTGCGCCAATGGGTGTTACGATCGTTTCAAAGCATCCCAGAGACCTTAAATAGTGACCTATATATAGTCTGCACCACGAATACTACAAACAAGAACCAAAGCAGCCCTAACCAAAGAATTATATCTCTACTTTCTTCCCTAATGGATGAACAAAAAACTATACCTTTTGACGCGATAGTCGTCGGCGCTGGCCTGAGTGGGCTTCAAGCCGCCTACGATATCCAGCTGGCAGGCCTATCGTGTCTTGTTCTTGAGGCAAGAGACCGCGTGGGGGGGAAGACATGGACGAGAACAACGAAAAACGGAAAGTTGGTGGATGTAGGTGCAGCATGGATAAATGACACCAATCAGTCGAAAATATACGACCTTGCTAAACGGTTCAATTTGGACCTGATACAGCAAAACACAAACGGATATTGCGTGGTACAAGGAGAGAATGGAGAAAGATCAACATTTCAATATGGGAACAACCCACAGGTGAGTACAGAAAGATGGTAGGTATACTTGTTGGAGAATAACATATCATACAGTTCTCTCCTGAAGAAGTGGCAAACTTGGTTGGAATTCGAGAGCTTGTTGAGGATTTATCCCATGCTACCAGCGAAGAGCAGCGAAAATATGACGATATAACATTTGAGCAGTGGGTAAAGGAACATGGTGGTGGCAAGAAGACATTATCGACCGCAGCGATATGGACAAGAGCCATGCTGGGATGTGAACCATCCCGCGTCACTGCCATGTACGTTTTCGACTATTATAAAAGATCGGGGGGTCTTCTGCGAGCTCGTTCGGACAGCAAGGATGGGGCGCAGTATCTTCGAATTCGACAGGGTGCGTCTTTGGGCATTCCGATTTCTGGCAGATAGCTTTTGCTAACGTTGAGCCATAGGCACGCAAGAGATTTCCAGACGCTTAGCCGCATCTTTAAAACCCAACTCCGTGCTCCTTGGGAGTCCTGTGGTTAACATCACGCAGGAGGACGACGCCGACAACATTGTGCAGACGAAGAGTGGTATGATATATCACTGCAAAAAGGTCATAATCTCTATACCCACTCCGCTCTATTCGAAAATCAACTTTTTGCCTGCGCTCCCGACCTCCAAAACAAGTCTCACCGATAAGACTGAGCTCGGCTTCTACGCTAAATCAATCCTAGTTTACCGCGAGCCATGGTGGCGGCAGTCGTCGTTTTGCGGCCTGTCACAATCGTTTGTCGGGCCAGCCTCCATCACCCGGGATACAAGCGATGACACGAACGGCCAATACTCACTCACCTGTTTTCTCGTGGGCGACCTGGGAAAGGCGTGGTCTAAACTGGCTGTGAAGGCACGCAGGGAGGCCATTTTGAGTCAGGCGCTGGCCCTATTCGGCAAAAACCATACAAAGGACATTTACGACGTCGTCGACATCGTTGAGCAGGACTGGGCACTTGAAGAATGGAGTCAAGGGGCGCCTTGCCCGGTCACAGGACCGGGAATCTTGTCGGTATTCGGCGACCAAGTGGTCAGACCATTTGGAAATATACACTTCGTGGGGACAGAAACAGCGGAGATTTGGAAAGGGTATATGGATGGAGCGGTGAGATCGGGGGAAAGAGGGGCGAAGGAAATCATAGAATCAATAAAGAGCCGAGACACAAAGCTCTGAGGAATTCTGTCGCCAGTATCTGGTGATTTTCAGGCGAGAGTCCTCCGTCGGAGTAACAATGTACTCCGTACTCCGTACGGACGGGCCTTTTCGATCTTCCCTTATCGCTATTGTTATTTCTTTTCTTTTTTTTCATCTTGGTAAGATGATCGATAATCTCTCATGTATGGATGTAGTAGTTGTTAGCGAGGAAGACGTAAGTGTGTCTCGGCGGATTGTCAGTGAATCCACACTCTGGTAGCATTTAAGAAGATTGAAATTGCTGTTGAACGCATCGTTATCGGACCGGAAAGCTCTTCATTATTATTTTTATTGCTTGTGAAAATACTCCGTGGATCCAGGATCCATCACCTTCCATGCCAATAAAATTGGATCGCTCGGAGCAGCGCGGGGCTGCGAGGGAGATAAGAATGGTTTCATTCTGATCGACCCAAACCAGAGAAACCCAGGATGGATTTGATGGCCGCGACATTTTGCGACTAGTTTGGTCGACTCAAGCAGTCATAGCGTAGCGTCACACACGGCGAGAACTTTGGGCAAACTCTGTAAGGTTCCGGGCGAGCAGAATCGGACACGGTTTGTGCGCCACCCGCACGGCCAGCGGCCAGCAACAGCGGGCACTACGCTGACGGCGGGGACCAGAGGCGCTGCGACGGATTAGAAGCAGCAGAGCACTGCACAGGAGACGACGACGCGGTCGAGGCAGGCGATGAAGCGACGTCGACGCGGCCAGAAAGGGGCGGTCACGTGGTGGCGTACGGGACGATACGGACAATACGGTACGGGGCAGGCGGGGGCCGCCAAGCTGGGCGGCTGGGCGGCTGAGCGAGCGGCGATTGGCCGGCGCGTGTGGAGCTAGGCCGAGGCGGGCTAGCGCGGGCCGGTACGGGCGGTACGCGGCTGAGTCAGCGGGCAGGCCAGGCGAGCGCTCGACGGGCGCGCGAGAGAAAAGCGAGACGCAAGCAAGAGACGGTTATCGCCAGTCCAAGATGGCAACAATGAAACCCGTCTGGCAGCCAACCCTCGCCGCCGCCCACCACAACCACCACCACCACCACCGCCGCCTCCTCCCCGTCCGCCATCCTTCCATCCTCCCACCCTCCATGTCCGCCGCCCCCCCAACCGTCTTCGCGTCGCCCGTCCTGCACCACTGCCTCTGCTCCTCCGATACTGCTGTTGTGCACGATCCGAGTTAACTCCCTGGCCCGGCCTCCCCAATTTTACTTTCCACAATCACCCTACGCTCCCCCAAGCGAGCGGGGGAAAATTCTACTCCGTCCTTCCGTGTCCGTCGCCATCGTGTGAGACCTCATCGCCAGTGCTCGTCTCTGAACAGCACAGACAATTAAAAAAAAAAAAAAAAACACGGCCTTTCCTGCAGACCATGCCGTCGTCCTCGGAGACCTCTGCCTCTACACCCTCGTCCACCGCTGGCCGGCCGACCAAACCCTCCAGGAAGACCAAGCTGCTCGTCTTGAAGCTCTCGTCCACCTCTCTCAATCGGTTCTCTGCATCCTCCACCCCCGATGCATACTTGGACTCCAAGCGAAAGGACTCTCCAGCCGCTTCGTCAGCGCTCGACGTACCTTTCGCAGCCTCAGTCGACAATGCCTCGGAGCCTCGCTCAACACCGCCCAGCGCTGACGCTCCGTCGGCAGAGCCGTCAAAGAAGAAATCCGGCACGCCGCCCAAAGCTGGCACGAAGAGAGCCGCTGGCAGCGACGCTGGGCCCAAACCCAGAGCTCGCCCTGGCCCCAAGAAGAAGATCAAGTTGTAAGTCATCAATTCTCTAATCGTACCCCTTTTCTCCTCCAGCCCAACCCTTCCGACAACCCATTCACCCTGCCAACCAAACCCGCCCGCTAACCCTTTCCTCAGGGACGACGGCAGCACAGAACCCAATGGCCGCACCACCACCGGCTCCGGCACAACGGGAACCCACAAGCTCGGCCCCAAAGCCAACCAGGGCGCCATCAACGCTGGCCTTCGCGCTCTCGACCGCACCGGCAAACCCTGCCGCAAGTGGGAGCGCAAGTCCTTCCAGCTGAAGAGCTTTACCGGCACCGTGTGGCAGGTCCCCAGCTGGCGGGCGCCGCCCAAGTCCGTCAACCTGTCTCTGAACGGCGTCAACGGATCAGCGGCGACGCTCACTGATGATAATAACAGTTCCAAGGAGAACAATGTCGCGTCTAGTGCCATTCCTAGCGAAAGGAGCAATATCGGAGATAATGATACTCCCCCTTTCCCCGGAAATGCTGAAAGCTCTCCCGCTTCTATTGCTGCCGCTGCTTAATCAATTCATTATATATTCTTTAATGTCCTTTCCCTATCTCCCACTTTTTACCGCCCGGATGGCTTTTTTTTCTTTGTTGTCTTATTTAAGTATGATACCAATGCTGTCTGCTACTTTCTAACCCCCTAGTTCTTCTTGCCTGCTTAATTTTGTTTCCTGTGTACAATATCATGCTGCATGTATTCATATCGTCTGGCGTTATTACCCTCTTGTGTCTCTTGTTATATGGCTAAATCGGCGCAGTTAAAATAGTGGGACCAAAGAAAAAGGCCAAAACCTTGCCAAACATTCTGCATATGGTTGGGATTGTGGTTTTATGTGTCTTCAATATTTTCTTGCTCTTCTCTTGGGTGAGTCCCATTGGTATTGTGCCTGAACATATTTCTTCCTTTAATTGCTATATTTCCTTTAAAATAATCGATGATGCGAGATATGTCCATGTTAAAACTAGGGCGAGGCCTTTGACAGCAACATGCAAAGACCCGAAAAGAATAGATGTGGTAAAAAGAGTAGAGGGATTAGTAAAACATAGACATGCGTGTGAATGGAATGACAAGATGCAATTTCCCAGTGGTACTCCTGGCCGCCTGAAAAAAAGAATAAGACATATGCGCCGTACCGCCGACGGCTTTTTACCCAATTAAATAGTCGTCGTGAACATTGATAAACGCCCCTACGCCACCATCCTCACTGAGCTCGCTCACAAGCACTTCAGTCTGTGCATATAGCCGCTCCAACGCAGCCAAAGAGGATTTCCCAAGCGACACTATAGTATCGTCAGCAAATCTCACGTTACAAGGCGGGGAAAAGAAGGGGAGGCAAAAAGTTACCAAGAATTGCAGCATTGAGTTCCTCTGCTACCACCACGCGTCCGCTGAAGTCCAGTAGATGGCCGTAGGGTGATGAAGTTGGATTTGAGTACGCAACCAGCGAGAAGATTTCATTCAATGGCTTCTCGTAATGCTTCTTGTCGTGGTTCATGTAATCTGCTTTCAACTGCTGTCCATACTCAAGCGCTGCTTTCGCATGGTACAAATCTTTAGATCCTGGTCCGGACGTGTCCATATCTTCATTATCAGAAGCATCTTGCATCTGATCGTCCAATTCCATATCCTGCGCGAAGACGTCACCAACACCTTCGTTTCTGGACGTAAATGTTCGTTTTGCCGGTTGTAATTTCTCAATCTCCGAGTAACCACGGACCATTTCAATGAACTTTCTACACTTAAGGCGAAAATGCAATTGGGGATTGTCGTCTAAAACACTTCCATAATGGGTATTCATTAATTCCAGTGCCCTATCAATGTTCCCTTCAATGACTGCTTTGCGTATCCCTAAATATGTATGTTAATAGCAAGGGGGCAGAAAAGTGAAACGGATCACGTACTTTGCCTATTGATAGCATCATCGTCATCTTCGATAGGATAGTCTTTGAGAGACTTAGCACGATTTTGTTCTAGTGATTTTGCTTCATCTCTTGCCTCCTCGGCGAATGCTCGAGCCGTCTCGACAAAACCATCGTGAGCAAAAAATTGAGCAATAAGCTCCTGAAGAAGCGTCTTTTCGTCTAATGGTGGACTAAGTGTTGAAACATCAGTAGCCTCTATCTCTGCTTGGATGCTCCGCCTCTCTTGCTATAAAGACAGAGACACAGGTTAGTAGGGCTACTCCAAGTAAGTATAAGGTAGACTTACAGTCATCATTCCATCAATATCAAATACAAACGGATTTTGCCCGAAATTTGCTTTGACGTGACAACCAGGATACTTCTTCATTCCAATAGATGGGAAAACCTTGAGAGCTTCCAAGTCGCGGAACGCGTTTCCTGAGTGATGGTTAGTCATAGGGTATGCGATAGAAATAGATAACACTCCTGAAATGATGCCTAAGCTCACCTAGAAATATTCCGTTTTTGGTGAAGAAAGCTGTACCCGCTGCAAAATTGACTCCACAGCCGATCGTGTCTTCTATTCCAAATGTGGGACCATAGGGCTTTCCCTGCCCCTGATTATCCCCAAAAAACGTCTTTCCATCATCTCCATGGTACGCCCATGAGACTTGCTCCCAGCCTGGGAGTCTCTCCAAAGACGCATCTTTGTTGGAAAATCCGACACCGATCATCCTATAAAAATAGCCAATTTTGTCAGTAATTACGGGCGAAAACTAAGCAAAATAAATCGCCACATACCCGTCTGACGATTTTGCCAGTATGGTAACTTCGAAATAATATATTCCGCATTGCGGAGGCATCATAAAATTAGCACGAACAGCAGCTGCTTCGTGCTCCTGTTTATTCGCCGCACCCATATATCGGACCTCCATCCCATCTGACAGCACATCAAGTCCGCTGTATTTATCTGCCTCGTTCCACCTCGAAGGTAAAGGTGATAGTTTCTCCTCGTCACCTGAATCGTTCTCGATGATATCATATGTCATCCCGCGGTGTGATGGCGCTATGCGAGGGAGGTTGGCATTATTGGAGCTTGCGGGTAGAGAGGAAGGGTTCGGCGAATGCGTTAAAGAGGAATCCTTGAACGCCGAATTCTTTGGCTTGTTCGCAGCAGCAAGACGAGCAACATATTTCGAGTTTTTGAGGTACGACGGGGTAAAAAATTGATTCGATTTCTGCGCAAAGGTCCGCCATCCTACGTCAGGCGCCGAGGCTTTTATGTATTGTCGCGAATAGTCTGGGAGAATGCAAGCTCTCCAGGCATCTCCTCCATTTCCATCACCGTTCATTTGCATCCCCAGATCGACACTATAGCCTTGCCGGGGCAACCGATTGTATTGAGGAGGGTATGAGCTGCTGGGCGTAGCGGTTCCTAGTCCTTGCAGAGCTCCAGACCATGTGGGCATCTGTGCAGTGGCGGTGCCAGAGACAACTGAGGCGTACGACGACCGGCGCGGATGGGAAATGATACTATTAGGGGTCGGGGTAAAGGAGCCTGTCGGAGGACCGCCGCCGGCGGGGAATGAAGCGTTGGCCATAATTCAGTCGAGGTGGGATAAGTAGAGCGAGACGTTCAGGCCACGAAAGGCAGCGAGCATTCACAAAGAAGCTTGGTCACAGTACTTGATCACCGCGATAGCCTAGTTAGCACTTCGAAAAATGTTCGACTCTCGCTCGTAACATCAAAAAGGACCCAGGTGGTTCGATGGGGATGTTGGGCCAGGTGGCTCAGACGTTATGGCCGGACGAAAGTGCGGGCTCGAGCTTCAGTAGTTAACTAGTGCCGGAACATAATCGAAATGCAGCACAGGCAGGATGTGCTTTCAGAGAGCTGAAGCCATTAGACAAAACTCCCAAAATATAAAGGAGGAGCGTAGTGTTCGCTGTTGGGTGTATTGTATGGAATCCAAGCAGAGCTTACTGCGACGACGTATGTAACTTACCTGAGGGGGTGCCTTTTAGTTAGTTGGCTAGCGGAATGCTGTGGGGAAACCTTCGCAGCAGGAGACGCGAGCACCAATCCACAGGTGAGGGGCGGGCTCATCCAGTAGAGTCAGACAGCAACCGGAATCCACGGATTAAGCTGGAGGAAAGGGTGGCCTGCTATTGTCTCGATATCATGTCTTGGAGAACATGGTTCTCCAGGTGAAGCCGCAACTCACGCGAGCCTGGCCTGAGCACATGACAAGCAGCATCCATGCACGTACCACACGGCCTGAATCGCTTGAGATTCATGTCTCACCAGCCGGTGAATCTATAGGGCCGTTCTGTTTCTATTTGCTAAAGATCGTGGCAAATGAGAATCGCCCATTTCAGGCAACACATACATACAAACATACTACGTAGTCTACATCTAGATCTGTGCTCCGTTGACAAACAGAATACCAAAGAACGCCAAGTACAAAATATACAAAATACGGCTCTTTGGCAGGCCCTAGAGGAGAGAAGAACAGAGGCGCACTCATGCCTCAGAGTTGCACTAAGCCCGTGGACGATGCAGATTGTTCTTTCCGCTATGCCGACGGCGTGTGGCCGGGCCTTCTCAAGAAGCTCGATTTCTTAAAACGCGCTCTCAAGGTTCTACCGATGGCGCAGGTCCATGGGCATCTTCATTTTATAATCCACCTGTTATAACTTGTCGGAGAGCATCAGCCATATACTTAGCTTAAGGGTACATTCGTCGACTGACAGGAATACACCCTCAATTGTTGCACCGTTGCGTTGAACTCATGGCAGCCAAGCTGTAGTGCAAGGGCAACTTCAAACCTCTCACACTGTTATTGATGCTACACGAGCTGTTATAAAAAACATTTTGATCTTGATAAGAATGATGAGCCCGTCCGGGGTGCAAGGGGTCTTCCGAATATGCACTCGAATGTTCCTCGCTGTCCTCATTTTTGCGCTCGCAGCAAAGGCAGCATGCGAATGCGGATTTCGAATGCACGATACCAGTCAATACTTCACGCATATCATATATAGCAATTTTAGCCAATACGACAGGTCTAAGAAGCTAGCTGCACATAACGAATTCAAACGGAATTGGGTCATTCAGCGATGGAGCATGTCGTCGGTGAGCTGGAGGACTCCTCTCCCTGTCCAGAATTGGGACGAGAATGTATACCTTGAAGATGGAACTATGGTTCTTCGGCAGCTCGGATACCCTGCAGAGGGCATACTGGCGGGCAAAAATGTTAGTATTGCTTCAATCGCGGGGCAGTCCGACGAGATTTTTCACGGAAGCTTCAGGACGGAAATCAAGATCGAAGGAGCACAGGGCGGGAGCGTTGGCGCATTCTTCTGGTATCATGTTGGTAGCCCCACCTTCACTTCATATCGTGAACAACATTGCTGATCACTCTGAAATTCCTCGGTGCAGGATGACAACAATGAAATTGATATTGAAATACTTACTAGGGAAATAAAAGCGCACGAACTGCTAGTCCACTATACAACGCACCCAGCAGTGGATGCAGCTGGCGGCAGCATCGATAATGCAACGGCAGTCATGTCTATAAAAGGCCATGAGCCGGGCAACTGGTTCCAGCGGCATCGATTTGACTGGGGCAAAAAGGAATTGCGTTTTTACCACAACGGCAGCCTCTTGCACGCCAATGATATGAAGGTGCCTGAGGTTTCAGGGCGCGCACTAATGAATCTGTGGGCAGACGGCGGCCTTTGGAGCGGGGCTCCCAGCACGACCAACGTGTACATGCGAGTGAAGTATGTGGTGATATATCACAACACAACGGCCAGCGACGGTGGCCAGGACCTCGAGTTTAACGCTCGCTGTGCAAGAGCTGGAGGTCCATCAGATGAAACCGTCTGCCTGGATCTTAATGTTGAAGATGGAGCAGTTGATCCTTCATCACTAGCCGCGGTTTTAACACCGTTGCCGTTTTGGGTATTGTCTCTGCTTTGGCTGCTTCTTGTGGTCTTCTTTACCTGTATGTAAAGTCCCAATCAGGCCCATGGGCACTTGTATCCGAGGGCGTCTGATCACCTGGGAAGAAATGGATGTACGAACTCCGTAGTTGAAACATCTTAGGAATGGAGTTGCTGGCCCTGGCTGTGCCCTGACTGGACCGATGGCGCCGAAGGACCACACGTGACGTTTATCGTGCGACGTCACCGGCATTTCGGTGGATTGGCGTGTTTGCACTGCAGCCAAACTTAGCAATGTGCACACCGTGGTTGGTGGGTGGCGGCGACTTTGGGTATCGGCCGGATACACTCGGAGGCCGGCCCAATTCCGGCCAGGCCAATCGCAGCGCGATAAGACTTGCTTAGCCTAATGCTTGGCGATAACCTTGTTGTACCCCATCACACAGTCAACAATGGTGGGTACCTCTTTGCGACGTCGGCTCTCTTGACAGCATCTGGCCGAATCGCTCGCGCAGCAACGGGGTTGAAGGGGTGGAAGGATAATGGAGCCTTTTAAGGACAGCGTAAATGTCTGTGGTTGCGCTGCGAGCGAAATTTCCATGCCGAGTGGCGACTTTTGCGGCTCCAGATACCCCGGGTCACGGGCTTTACCATCGATGTTGTGGCTCCAGATCTATATATCAGATCGAGTCCTGAGGCCTCTCTGGGCCATTTATATCCCAATTCTTCATTGCTAAAAGGCATATATTTGATCGGCATTCAAAAGAAGACCAGCATGCAGGATCTGAGCCGCGTGGTCCAGGCCAAGTTGCATTCTACCACTCTTCCTGCCGCTTTCATGGCTTCTCGCGTAATAGTGTGTTGCGAGGCCGGTATCAATTCCGGCCTCATAAGGGTATATAATCCCCCGGTGTTCCCCATGTTTTACCTGTCTCCTTCGAAGTCCGTACGCTCTGCGGCAAGTGCGAATCCCGTCAAAGACCGAAATCCGCGTTGATCCTTCCCAGACGCTGTGTTGTCCTCTGGAAGATATACTCTATATCCATCTTCCTGCTCATCTCGCCCTACTAGCCCATACCCACCAACACTTGCTGCCTCTCATATATTCAAGAGCATTTCGTCTCACACTCTCCACTCTGCCCATCATGCCTACTCTTGAGGATCTGTCGTCGGCCTCCACCATGAAGAAGTTCCCTCATGTGCTGGATGACCCCATCACCCTACCCCGGTCGCTAGACCCATTCACCATCACTACCTCCACGGGCTTTATGCCTCTTGTTCTTCCTCCTGTCACTCTTCCTGAGGTCTTCGCACCTCTGACTTCCATCCTGGACCGTACCCCTGTTGAAAAGGAAGATGGTACGCCAGGTCTCCTGGCTACCTTCGAGCTCGGCCCAGTGGTAGAGAAGGAGCTTCCTGACCTCACCGACGAGATCGACAAGCTCCTCACTGCCGATGGTAAACCTGATTTGTTTACCATCACGGCTGTCTTCAGAGACTATTCCTTTCTGGCCTCTTCCTATCTCCTTGAGCCCTGTTGGGAACAATGGAAAACAAACCCCGACAGTGGATATGGTTTAGGAAGAGATCGCCTTCCACACTCCGTTGCTGGCCCCATGTATCGATGTGCTGAACTGTACGTACCACACTGTTGTTATGATATTATCTTTCCGTCGATGTTACGTCGAATCTTCATAATCGCACACACTAACCCATCCCCAGCCTGGATATTCCTCCCTTCCTATCCTATGCCGCTGCATACTCTCTCTTCAACTATAAGCTCGCGGATCCATCCAAGGGCCATGAGTACTCTAACCTGCGGCTTGTACGAGCGTTTGAACGTGGCCTTAACCCAAACAGTTCCGAAGCTGGCTTTATCCTGACTCACATTCACATGGTCAAGGAAACCCATGCTTTGATCAGTGGTGTTGTTCGTATCCTCAATACCCTTGATACCGTCAAGGACCGTAAAGAAATCAATGATGCCTATCGGCAAATTCTCACTGCCATGGACAAAATTGAAGAATGCATGGAAGGTCTGTCTTTAAAGCCAACCCTCGTTGATTTGCACTGAGTTAACCACCTTAACAGATATGTGGAAGAATTCTAAGCCTCAGGAGTATCTTTGTTTCCGTGTGTTCATCTTCGGCATCACATCTCAGTCTATGTTTCCCAATGGTGTTGTGTATGAGGGGATCCATGACAATAAGCCTTTATATTTCCGTGGTGAAAGTGGCGCCAACGATAGCATCGTTAGTTCTCCCATTGAAATAAGATTTGCAATTACCCTAACGATCGCACAGATTCCCCTTCTAGATCATCTTCTCGAGATCCCGATGCCAGATACTCCTTTAACAAAAATCCTTCACGAATTCAGGGCTTATCGTCCACTTCCGCATCGTGAATTCCTGGCACATGTGCGCGTTCGATCTGCTGAAATAGGAGTTCAAAAATACTCTGTTCAGGATCCAGAAACCGTCTTCCTGTATCTTAAAGCCCTTGATCACGTACGAAGCTTTAGGTGGAGGCACTGGTTGTTTGCAAGAGAGTATATCATTAAGAGAACACCCCACCCAACTGCAACTGGAGGAAGTCCCATTGTTACAGTAAGTTGCGTCAGGAAATCGTTATTTCGTTACGTACAAACTAACACTAACTTAGTGGCTGCCGAACCAACTGGCTGCTGTCATGGATCTGATGATCTCTACTTACGATGAATATGTTACCCCTGTCATCAAGAATGGGACTGCAGCAAATGGCGGCGCTCCATCTGAAAGTAAAACGGGTGCAACTGCCGAAGGTTTGGAACTCGGCTCTTCGCAACATTATAGGAAACAGGTTGAGGAAATGATGGAGACCGTGCGTGATCAGAGAGTCAAATTGGCCAAGGAAGTTGAGAGGTGGTGCGCCGAGCGGGGTGTGCCCACACAACCTAAGTAAAGGTGCTATACTTCGATTTTGCAAGGGCGCAGCTCTATCCTCATTATATACCTATTTAAAATGTTTAGTACTCATGGAATTGATTTTACGAACCCGAGAATCTCCTGTAATTACACGCCACTCCTCATGTCGGGCAGTATTCACATTACATGCGTACTAATATGAAGAGACAGTGGTGAGAAAAATCCGTCAAATAATCCATAATAAAGATTATTCATATCCATCATACAAATATGATAGAGCCGTTGGGACTTCTATGAGTCCACCGCACGTCGCACTCCTTGGAGCTAATCCTAGTCACATATTGAATATCCCGACTAGATGCGTATTCAACCACATCCAAGCCAATATGATCTGTAGATAGTTTTTTCAGCTTCGGCGTTTCTGAGTCACAGAATTGCTTGACTGTAAGGCCTGTAATTTTTGTGTGCGAAAGATCAAGCACTTCTAGTTTGGGCATATTTTCAAGAATCAGAGGCGCAATGGCGTCGTTGACATTTGTTATGCCAGCAATGTCAAGATGAGTGATAGATTCAAAAAGGCCCTCGCGCATAAGACAATCTAGATCCTCAAATAAAATCCCAGAGCACCATCGAATGGACAACTGCGTTAACGACTTGTTGTTGGACAGTATATCCTTGAGGATTTTTGGTGTAAAGCCACTAAATTGAGAAAACTCTGCAGATTTAAGATCAGTCACCTGACCGAATGAATCACCCTGAGAACCGCGATAAACTATGGTTTGATCGACATATAAATATTCGAGTGTTTTTGGCAGATCTGGCAATTCAGCCAGGCGGGCATTACTATATTGAAATAGTTTTAAGCGAGGATGATCTGGCATGCGAACAGGGTCTATTGACCCAATAGGAAATAACCGGAGTTCTTCCAGATTCGGCAATATAAAGTTGATGTCCCCCTAATTTAATAAGTGAGATTTTAATAACAAAAGACTACCAAGAGTACATCACTTACGTTGCGAAATAGAGGCCATGTAGAAATGCATGCTGTAGTGACATTGGGCAAATAAACCGAAGCCAGAGATAAAGACTTCAAATTTGGGAACACGGGTGGAGTATTATAGGTCCACGGACCTGGATAGATCCATGTCGTTACTCTCTCGAGGTAAGGACAAGATGACAAGATACATAGAAATGTCTCTGTTGAAATAGTGCTAGCTTTCATGAGCGTCAAGGTTCGGAGTTGTGGTAGACGTAGAATATCCCCTTTAACCGCGTTAGGCAGCCCGATTTCGAGAGAAGTTAGCGTATTGCAGCGAGATAAAAGTTCGAGAACGTTTGGCACGAGGTCCGGTTTTAAACGGTATAGAAACGCTTCCTTCAAGCCCCCGTTTGTTTTCATAATGAATGCTCGTATTGTAGAAAGACTGGGTCGTTTCCTTGCAATACGTAGATCCAGGCATCGCCATTGTTTGGACAGGTCATTGCTGAGGCTTCGCCAACGTTTGCAGACACAGGTTGCCTTCCTAAGATTTAAATTATTAGCTGCATAAGGCCGCTATGGTCAAGAAATACGTACAGGGTCGAGCGTAAATCGAGATGATCTAGTATAAGTGACACCAATTCGGCAGGCAGCGCAACAAAAGGGTCTATTCGCTTAGGGGGCGTCATTGCCGTTTCTAACTTCAACAATAAGACCTCGATTTGCTACAGATGATTAGGAGTGAAACAGTTAAATTTAAAGAATATAGAACAAACCGCACGCCTGGGAGCATTGCAGTCCAGCACAAGGAGGGCGCGTTTGTAGAGCCTGATGGCGTCATCAAAGCGTTTCATCAATTGGAGAACTTTCGCAGTGCGAAGGTATCCCTGGCAACCATTGTTATTTTTGTAAAGAGTTCAAGACAGAGAGAGAACGGTACCCGAGCGTCATATTTGTCAGTATCGATCATTTGCCTTCCATCCCGGAGGCCGTGCGTTAGACTACCAATAGCACAGTGTGCGGCAGCTCTGCTATCAAGTAAAGTTAGGGCATCTCCTCGTCCAATATCGATAGCCTAGCTCATAGTTTAGTAAATCTGGCCCCATTCCGGAGAAAGTGGGTGGCCTGACCTTCGAAAACGTTTCGATTGCTTTCCGATAGTTCTTCATGCGATAATGTGACTCTCCAAGTTTTTGGAGAGCACGCACATCAGAGGGCATAGGAGGGCTGTTCCGGGGTAACATGGTGGGAATATTTCACATGGAAAGTAGCTATGCTGAGACCGAAACCTACCAGGACTCCAGCAGTCTCATTGTGGCTATCCCAGACAATATCAAACCACGCGCGGTCTGACGTGTGGGGTAGACGCGCCGGATGCACTACGGCCCGAGAGCGCACGGGCCACTTTGATCGTTAGCCTGTATTTACTTTCTTCCTATTTGGGGAAAACGCTGTGTCAGATTCCAACGTTAGATCTCCTTTTAACGTCGAGCGAAATTCACAACTCGACCGGCGCGCGAGGACCTGATGCTGGGAGCAGAGGAGGCATGGAAACCCATGGCTTGGAAAACGCGTCTGAGTATCTCAACAACCTATTGCTTGCCCGTGGCCTTCTCAGAAATGGCAAAGCGATTGATTTTGCAGGGCTGGCAACGGCGCCTGATGGCGTGGAGGATACAATGACGCGAATTATCAACTTGATCCACGACTTGGTAATGAGGAGAGATGTGTGTTACCTTTCATCCGAACTTCTCTCCTTCGAGGACTGACGGTGAAAACAGCGAGAAGCTGAGCAACACGAGACATACGCCACGACGATCAGAAGCCTCCGAACCACAGAAGCGAAGCAGACCCTAGAAATTGTATGTTAACTCATGTTTTTGTGTGACACATTGCTAATAACTCTATTTGAATACTTAGGAGCGTCTGGAGGTCAAAGTCGATGAACTAAACCGTTCTCTGGCCCTTACTGAGGGACAAGAGCGCGCCTTCAAGTCCAATATTCGAGCGGCAGAGTCTACAATACGCACATTAAAGGAACAAGTTCAACGAATGAAATCCACGGTCCAGCAAATACGGAGCCAGTACGCTACCGAGATTCGTAAAAGGGATGTCGAAATCCAGAAACTGAAGACCCGTTTGACGGAGCGTACTCGCGGCAAAAAAGACGCGCCTGGCGTAACTACCATTACTATAATACCTTCCCCAAAACCTACCCTTTTAAAAGCCAAAACTAGCGAGGGTGGGGAGGGTCTGGATGCACCTGGGTATAGTCTAAGGCAAGAAACTACGGATTTCCTTACCCAGCTTTGCCAGAGTCTCAGCGATGAAAATGACGACCTTATTCGCTTAGCACAAGATTCAATACGGACGTTAAAAGAACTCCAAGGCTTGACTGAGTCCGTGGTAAACGATTGCTCTCAGAGTGTAGAGGTAGCCGAGTTAGAAACCGACTTTCTAACAGGGCCGGTGCTTCCCTACGAAACACTCTCTGCCGAAATGACGTATGTGCTAGATCAATTAAGGGCACTTTTAACAAATCCATCGTTCGTGTCCCTTGAAGAGGTAGAAATCAGGGACAGTGAAATATCTCGGCTGCGCGATGGCTGGGAGAAAATGGAAGAGAGGTGGAAGGAGGCGGTTGCAATGATGGATAACTGGCATAAGCGTATGGCAGGGGGCGGTGATGGAGTCAACATAGACGAACTTCGGCTGGGTATTAAACTGGGCTCGACCATTGATCGCCGTCTTACATCGCAAGGGCCTGAACTTTCGACGCCAAAAATTGAAGCAGACTCAACATCAATCACTGAAGTTGTTGAACCAACGGTAATAAACCATCAAGCATTGACTCATACCACTACAAGTAGAAAGTCAGTCAAGTTCGCCGAACACCAGCAAAAGGTCCTGGAAGAAAGCTCGGGAAATAAGCAGCCTAAAAGATCAACCCAAGCTTGCTTGTCGAATGAGCCCCTGGAGAATGTCATGAGCAAGGATGACGATGAATCTGGCACTGTTGAAAAACACAACACTATCAGCCCACGGAAAAGACAGATTCGAAAGGATACAACCCTCAAGGCTCCCCCACAGGTATAGTTTTCTTTATTTTTGTTTATGTTTTTCTTTTGTTTTTTCTTTTTCTCCGTATTGGTTACTGACTGATTTACGCAGGGCCATCGAATTATGACCCGCCAGGCAACCGGTGCGAAATCGTCGCCTGTAAAATTAGGACCTACAGAACAGCAAAACAAGCCACCCCGCAGCAAAAAACGAAGTAGCACTTCTGGCGACTCAAACCCACGTAGCCGACGACGAAAGAGCGCATTTTCCGCGAAAGAGCTGCAAAAGCTGTCAAAAATTGCTGATTGAATGTTGTTCTGTACTGTCTCGAATTGATACCCTTTGCTTGAATACCCCTTCATCGTTTTGGATGCATGCCTGGAGTTACTGGAATTGGTTTATATCCGATCCATAAGATTATCGTTGTCTGTCGCTATATACAAAGATTTTGGTTAATAGGCGTTTTGTTTATATAGTACGATATTATTATCGTCAAACAGCACGCTCCTCCATATATTCAGCGCATAGGATCAAATTTATCGTTGAGTGATTCCCCAAGCCACAGTGCCTGGTTTCATAGGTTGTTCTAGTCACACCCACACTCTACAGGCAGTGGACGAGTGTGGCCGTGGTTAAAAAGGATAGGTAAACAAGCTTAAGATAAACACTCTTCATTCCACTGGAGCTACCCCTTTATCACGTGAGGTCTTAGAGTAACGAGCCTCGGCAAAGTCTGGCAAACTGGAATGCATAATTCAAGATCGACTTGAGAAACAGTTTCCCACGTTTCTGGCTCTTTAGCCAAGATCGTGGCGTATGAGGATGCTCAATCAAGTATTTAACGGGACGGGATCCGTCGTTCTTCGCTCGGCTCCATCAGTGGCCCGCCTTTGTTCCCGATTATTACCTCGGGAACGCAGCCAGAGGACAGTTTTACTTTTGGAACAGATATCCGTATGACCTTCGATTTGTGGTCTTGAAGATAGTCGTCATAGATCTTAATTTATCGAGAATTTGCCTGGGTTTACTGCAAAAAACAGAGCAACATGGACAGTTCACCAGCCCCAGCATTCGAGGGCTGGGTTAGCCATTCAGCGACATCCCCTCTAACTTTCACCACCTTCAAGCCAAAACCTTTTTCCCCTTTCGATGTCGATATCAAAGTTACGCATTGCGGCATATGTGGATCGGACATACACACTCTCCGCTCAGGCTGGGGTCCGACCAATTACCCATGTGTCGTCGGCCACGAGATTGTCGGCCACATTGCCCGTGTAGGCTCGTCTGTGCGCAGCCTTAATTCGCCGTCCAAGGACTTGAAGGTCGGTGATCGCGTTGGCGTTGGCGCTCAGTGCAGTTCGTGCCTCAAAGCAGACTGCGAAGAATGCACATCTGGCCTAGAGCACTATTGCCCTCGTGGGACCGGAACATACAACAGCAAATTCGCCGATGGAAGCAAATCATATGGTGGCTATGCAAAATACTGGCGAGGACCGGCCTACTTTGTTTTCAAAATACCAGACGCTTTGCCTAGCGAACTAGCTGCTCCATTATTATGCGGCGGTATCACGATGTTTTCACCGCTGCTGAAAAATGGTGCTGGGCCAGGAAAATCCGTGGGAATCATTGGCATTGGTGGCCTAGGCCATATGGGGTTGCTTTTCGCCAAAGCAATGGGCTGTGATCGTGTTGTCGCAATTTCACGAACAAACTCGAAAAGGGCTGACGCTTTGGATGGTTTGGGAGCTGATGATTTTATTGCTACAGATGAGGATAAAGGTTGGGCTAAGAAGCATGCAACCTCATTGCACTTTATTATAAGCACTGTGTCATCAGGAAACATGCCGCTGTCCCAGTATCTCAGATTGCTCAAGCGTAATGGCTCATTTATCCAAGTTGGAGCACCAGAAGATCCGTTTCCATCTTTCAAAGTTGGGACGATGATAATGAAGGGCACCGTTATTGCTGGATCGCAACTTGGCTCTCCTGGTGAAATCCGCCAAATGCTTGATTTGGCTGCTAACAAAAGAGTTCTTCCATGGGTTCAGCAGAGAAGCATGAGCGACGTCAACAATGCTTTGGAAGATATGGATGCTGGAAAGGCACGTTATCGATATGTACTAACCAATCCATCTGAAGAGCTGGCAAAACTATAACCTGACAGAATTTGAAGCTGCAAGGGTTTTGGTATAGTAAATATATTCAAGGTGCTAAGAATAGAGGCAATAGTAGCAATCAAACAAGTTCTGACCAAACCCAATTAAAATCTAGAGAAGCGCTGAGCCAGTAAACATGGTTACAAACCCGTCGTTCCCGGGCTGGGTTTGCTCCGCGATTCTGCTGCCGCATGAGTTGTGGAAACGGGAAGCTCAACAAACCATGGCGGACGAAATAGCATTTCGAAATCGTAGCATGCTAGAAACGGTGCGGTTGTATTCGCCTCCTCGACCTTTGGTGTTGGGCGGCTGCATATGGGCAAGGCGAAGAAACCCCCGCCCCAGTGCAGCGACTGGGGAATTCGATGGGGCTTTATCATTTGCCCATGTAGTAGAGGGGGGTTCAAGCTTCGCTGGCCATCTTCAGGGGAACAACGAGAAACTGGAGTAGTGCTTCGTTGCTGTTAAAAGAATGCCATGCTCTTTTCGAGTTTCCGAGCTTGCAGGATTGTCGTCGGTTCCAGGCTCTCAACCACCGCCGCCGCCGCCACCCCCACCCCCACCGCTGCTGCGTGCTGCCTCACGACGCGTCGCGCGTTCAATGATAGTAAGGCCAGACACAAGAAACATCAACTCGAATTCCTTTCCATAAGTCTCGTTGAGTTGAAATTTCCCTTGCTTTTTAATGCTCTTGACCCCGTTGTTCGCAAAAACGCCCAATACTTCATTTGTCTTCTCGTCTAGGAATTTGAAGTTCAGTGAGCTAAACATAGATGGCTTCGAGCCATCCACACCAATAGAGTGGGTGCGTTTCCAGAGAAAACTCTTCCGTTCAGGACCGGAGTCGGTGGGGATTGTCATCTCCAGTCGATATTTCGAGTGGTCCCTGCTTTCCTTCTTCAAGTCTTCCCACACCATCTGTCCAGCGTCCACGGGGTCCCCGAGACCGAGTTTGGAGCTACTGGAGAAAGTGGTGAAGTTGGAAATGGCAACAACGGGACCGGTACGGTCCGTTCCCACGTGAAAGGTCATTTCGGGTCTCCCAAACGTGAACGTCAAACATCGGACATAATATAGGGGCGTTTTATCCGCCAATGTCACGGTCATATTAGTATGGGACTTTGTAAGGTAGACATTGAATATCTGGGTTTTGTCTGTGTGAGGTAGATCGATGGCGGGCATTATGAATAAAGGGGGCGTGAAGTAATTAGGATCAGAGTACCCACGGTTGCCCACAATTTAAGGCTTGGATGCAGGCGGCTCAAGGAGGGATGTGTGTTATGAATCGTTCTCCTCCCTGGGAGATAGTGCCTTGATTTATACCCCTAGCCATGGCGATCTCGGAAGATGTGTCGGATGAGGCGTTGTGGCCATTGGTTGCTGCGGCTCTGTCGTTCCAGGCGCTAAAAGAGGATAAAAGGACATGATTGGCTCCCTTGGCACAGCCGCGACATGACATAATCACACTATACCCAGGCAGGGAATATCTCGTATAGGCCGCGATCTTCAGCCTCTCCGACTCTCCAGGCCTTGTGACATGGTAAGGCAAATTTCTGTGGAGCAAGAGCCAAGAGAAATTATGCTGCCGTGGATCATATCCACGGCGGTAATGTTCGAGCTGCGGGCTTAATGCTTGTGTTGTTGACGGATAAAGTAGTACTGGGACAGCTACCCATATATCAGTACCTAATCCAATGCCTAAACTAACATGTTTTTTTATGCCAACAGTTAGTACGTTGTAGTTAGCAACAGACAGAGAACTACCTAGTACGGAGTACCGAGTACATAAACGTTTGAGGGCGTAGTTGGTTTTCGAACTTTATAGGCGCCGGGCGGCTGTTGGCTTCTCGGCCCGAAAATTTATCCGGCAACGCTTTGCGACTTTAAAGCTTGGGCTGTGAAAGTGATAACAAACGCGCAAAAAGAAACAACAACAACAAAAAGGCATTCGGTTGTTCTTCATGGGCATGACCATCAATATTCGCGTCTAAACTCGATACCTACGTTCGCTATGGCGTTTCCAAGCTCCTACGGGAGCTCGAGCCCGCCGTCGACGCCTGCCAAATCCCCAGGCTTTGGCTCAAGCGGATACTCAACGACACCAGCTGGGCAGCCCCCCTCGTCCTCCCGCTCTTTCGCTCCAGGCGGGGACTCGTTCTCGTCACCTGCTTTCGGGAGCTCGATAGGCTCTGAGGCGCCAAAGGACCTGCTGTCTTTTTCGACGACTTCTACAAACTTCGGCTCGCCCTCGCGAAATATGCCTTTGTTCGGCTTCCAGCACCAGCAGGCGAAGAAAGCTGCTGGTGGGAGAACGCCTCGAAATAGAAATTTTACCAAATCGAAGCTGTCGTATAGCTTTACGCCCTTTGATGATGACGATGATAACGATCAAGAACACGAAGAAGGTGATGAAGAGGAGGAGGAGGAGGAAGAGGGGGAGGAGGAAGAAGAAGAAGAAGAAGAAGAAGAAGAAGAAGAAGAAGAAGAAGAAGAAGAAGAAGAAGAAGAAGAAGAGGAAGACGAAGATGAGGAAATGGATGAAGACGACGATGATGAGGAAGACTCGGACCTTTCAGACAAAGACGCAGATGCCGCGGTGCCTGCTGGTACTAACATCTTCTCCGGACATGTACGAAAAGGAATGATCTACTCCAACCCTCAAAACGCCAAGCGCGCCCGGCTGGACGAAACCTGGGTTCAACAGCAGTCCTCCAGCCCGATGCAGCTGACCTCCCAGAAAAGCCCTTCTGCATTCCCCGGGATCGCGCGCGACATTGCATCCAGGCATCAAGTAGCTGCTGTGGACGAGCCGAGCGGCCTGATACTTGGAACGGAGGATATTATTGGGGGCTTATACGATGTGGTTAGGGAGCGGGGCGCGGATGATGACGACGATGATGATGCTGTCGAAACTACGTTGTCTGATGTTTGTGAGAAGCTGTCAAGTCTCTGGGTGGAGTACGCTGGAGACGCCGGCGCGGCGGTCAACTACCAGAATGGATGCATTGGGCCTGCAGCTGAGTCGTCGGGCGTGATGAAGGCGAGTTTTCTGGCATCGCTGCTCCTCCAGCTGCACCATCCCCCCATGTTCCAGCCTCAAGCGCGAGACCGGGGCCTGCATCCGTCTCGCTCTCCCTTCCGCTCGATTTACCACACCCCGCCAAAATGCCAAACACCAATTCCAAAAGTTCTGTTTGACTGGATCTCCAAATACCACTCTCCCCAGTCTGCCCGATTCAACGCGCTGAAGAAACAGCAGCCCAACCCCACAGCGTCGCCGACCTTCTGGAACACCGTCCTCGCCATGACGCTCCGCGCGGATTTCCCCTTTGTGATCGAGTTGCTCGAACTGGCCGATTTCACGTACGCGCGCACCGCGATGGAGGAAGGCAGCCGCGAGCCCGGATACCACGGCAGACGACTCCAGACGATCCAGCAGTGCGTGAACAAAGCGCTGCAGCTTCTCCGGTCGAGTCCCAGCGTGCGCAGCGACGACTGGGACATCAAAGGCATGGAATGGGCGCTGTTCCGCAAGCAAGTGGCGGCGGCGATCTCTGAGCTCGAGGACCTGGCCGAGGGCGCGGACCGCGGCGGCAGCGGCGGAGCGCCCGGGTTCCAGGCGTCGCACTTCGGCCTGTCGTCCAGCGTGCCCCCGGGCTTCCTCTCGTTCAGTCAGAGCGCGCGCATGGCCGAGAGTGGCATTCCCTGGTCCGTGTACCAGCACCTCCGGTCCCTGTACGGCATCGTACTCGGCGACGTGGCGGCCATCCTGAAGCACTCGGACGACTGGGTCGAGGCGACGGTGGGCCTGTCGGCGTGGTGGAGCGGCGACGACGACAGCGAGATCTCCGTGGACGGCAGCGGGGCGCGCGCGGTAGCAGCAGCAGCAGGTAATCCTACGACGCGGACGTCCGTGGCGCCGCGCGTGGTCGATGTGAACACGGAAGATGCATATCTACGACGTCTGGACTACGCGTTTACGTGCGTGACGGAAACACTGGGCAAGGACGGGCTGCGGCTCAACTCGCTGAACGCGTGCGAGGTCGGGCTGGCGTCGGTGTTCGAGGGCAACGTCGAGGGCGTGCTGCGGCTGGCGCAGACGTGGAGCGTGGGCGTGGCGGCGGCCACGGCGGAGGTGGCCAGCTTCGGCGGCTGGCTGGAGGCGGCGGCGGGCGCGGAGCCCATGCGCGGCTGCTTCAACGAGAGCGAGCGCATGGTGCTGGGCTACGGCGGCATGGGCACGCGGGAAGAGGGACAGAAGTCGAAGACGGAGAAGCTGTGCAAGGACGATGTGCTGGTGGCGTACTCGGCGGGGCTGCGCGCGCGCGGCCGGCTGGAGACGCCGGCGAGTGCGCCGCGCGATGGGTGGGAGTTGGCGCTGGAGGTGCTGAGTCGGCTGGATGATCGCGAGGTGATGAAGGCGAAGGTGAACGAGTTTCTGGATGGAGTGGCCGTGGAGTCGCTGGAGAAGATGGACCGGCTGTGTTTGCTGTGCACGGAGTTGGGGTATCAGGAGGAAGGCCGTCGGATATCGGAAGTAAGCTGCCAACGCCCTGCCCCCCCCCCTTTTTTTTTGTTTGTCTGACTGACTTGATATCCAGCGCTACGGCGACAACATCGCGGAGACGACGGAGGACTACGGCACGGCGCTCTTCTGCTACGCGCGCGCGCACTGCTCGCTCAAGATCAAGAACGTCACGGACATGCTGGTCTCGCTGTGCCTGGTGCAGTCGGCGGCGTACCCACCGGCAGCGGCACTAGACGCGCAGCTGCGCTCGCTGCTCTACGAACCCACGGCGGCGTTCGCCGGCATCGCAGCGGTCGACGCCGAGGGCGCGGCGCTGCTGCAGTTCTCGTTCAGCGGGTACGCGACGCTGCGGCACTTCTACGACATCCGCGACGGCGAGCCGCGACGGCCGTTGGCGCGCAAGCGGGCGGCGGCGCAGGCGCTGGCGGCGCTGATTGGCAGCGCGGCGGACAGCATCTACGGCGGGCTGTACGACCCGGACCGCAAGACGGCGGTGCAGGTGGACGGCTTGCTGGTGCTGCTGGGCGAGGCGCTGGCGCTGGTGGCACGTAAGTTGGCGGCTGTTTCTTTTGTGTAGTACGTACGGATCATTACTCACACTGACTGGCTTTACAGCGGATCCCAACCGGCACTTCACGGGCGGCGAGCTGCGCACGATCCTGGCGGCCATCGAGGACCTGCAGACGGTCACGGCGCGCGTGTACGAGCAGTGCGAGGCGTGTCTGCGCTCGGCTCTGGCGCAGTACGACCGCGATGCCAACAACGACGACAATGACGACGACGCCGCCGGCTCTGGCTCTCACTCACCACCGCACTTCCTGCGCCAGTCGATCGCATCGTCGGGCTGTGGGGGTTTGTTCTCGCTGGTGGGCAGCGAGCTGGCGATGTCGCAGAGCCGATCGCGCAGCAGCCCAGGCGACTCCGGGGTGTTAGTGGCGCGGGTCGAAGGCAGCGGCGGCCAGCAGGGCGTGCAGCGCGGGTGGGACTGGCGGGCGACGGTGGGCACGGAGGTGCCGGGACGGACGATTCTGCGGGCGCTGCGGGCGACGCTGGCGACGGGCCTGAGCCAGGCGGCGGCGGTGGTGGGGGTGCGAGGCTAGCTGGTGGTGGTGGTGAACGAGCCGGCGGAGGAGGATGGGATGTATGATAAGGCCGAGTAGCGAAAACAGCGTCTCTCGTAGTGGCCCGGGGGGGCCGGGCGTTGAGTCACGGCGTCCGCGGCCGACGTCATGGGAATACTACACACGATCATAATAATAGCAGCCAGCAGGCGTGGCGGAGACGGGCGCTCAGACGCGGGCAGGTTCAGCTGGGAAGGGATGCGGCGCGTGGCTTCGGGCTGAGGCTGCTCATAAGTACTACTACTACTACTACCACCACCACCTCCTCGACAGCCGACTCTCCGCGCGGCCTGGCGGGGCTGGGCGGGGCTGGGCGGGGCGCGCCGGCGCTGAGTCACGCCAGCCAAAAATAGCGGCGGTGGCGGTGCAGCGATACGGAGGAGGAGCGTAGGTAGTAGTCAGTGAGTTGGCTATTCTGTACTGCGAGAGAGAGAGAGAGAGAGAGAGAGAGAGAGGCCCTCACGGTACCGGCCAGTTAGCTGTTAATTAGCTAGTTAGTACCTAACCTGTTAACTAGCTAGTTAGTCCCTGTTAACTCAGTGTTAACTTAACTAAGTTAGCGACCCAACTTAACAGCCTCAGCCACACGCCAAGCCCGCCCGCTGCTCGCCCGGGCTAAGGGCTTTGCCGGCGCGCAAACTGGCGCCCGGATGGATCGTTCTGGGGCCGCCCGGCGCTGCACTGCGCTGCGCTACGCTGCGCTACGCTGCCCGGCGCTGGCTGACTCTGCGCGCGCCCGTCGGCCAAGTCCGCGCCCGCGCGCGATCCTTCCGGCCTCTAGCTGGCTGTCTGGCTGTCTGGCTGTCTGGCTGTCTGCCTGCCTGCCTGCCTGTCTGCCTGTTCGTCTGCAGCTCGCGGGCTGGCTGGCTGGCTGGCTGCTGCATCCCCCCACCAGCCAACTACCTCCGTCCCTCATCCTGTCTCTCCCGCTGTCTCTGCGCTGCTCCTCCAGGCTGCTTCCCGCCCCACCGACTAGTAGCTGCTCGCTGCCCGCCGTGCGCTCGTCCCAGGCGTCACCGCGAGCTATGGCCAAAGCTTGGTGTGCGCGACTTGACCGCGCTCGTCATCGTCATATTTATATCCAAACGCCCCTCGCTATATATACCGCCCTCCACGCCTCCCCCGGACATGCCATGCCTCGCCACGCCCGCTCCGCTCCCGCTCCCGCTCTTCCTCTCTCTCTCTCTCCCTCTTGACGCTCGTTTGCCCGCTGCTGGCCGTTCCTGCCGCTCGCTTGCCTCTGTTTCTCCTTGCTTGCTGCCCGAACCCTCCCCGCGTGTTTGCTGGCCTGCCTCTCGCTCTCCCTGCCCTCTCAGCAAACGGGCCTATCTTCTTAATATAATCCCCCACTGGCCCAGTCCACGCCTGCTTGCCCCTCCCCTTTCTTATTCTCTCAGCGATACCCCCCTCCCCGACCCCGTGCCAATGTGCTACCAAGTCGTCGAGCTGTACTCCGTGTGCCGCTGCCTCTACCACAAACACGCCGTCGACCCCTGCACCGCCTACGGCCAGCGCGGCCACCGCGTGCAGGAGAAAGTCGTCCTCGTCGGCTACGCATGCCCCTCGCACTCCGCCTCCGCCCGCGGGCTCGCCGCCGCCCCTGACCGCCCGGACTCCGGCTACTCTAGCGGCAAGGGCGCGTTCCGGTAATCGGCCATAAGAAGCAAAATTCCGACCTGGTGTGGGGTTTTGTGTGTGTGCATGACTGGCATCGCGAGGAACTTAGGGGAAGGCACGGAGGAACCGAAGCATGACGACGACGACGACGACGCCTGGAATCGCCGTTCTAACCAGGTAGCCGTGCAGGGTCATTGACACGTCACCCAGCCCTCCCACAATCTCTCCCACTAGAATGCCGGCCATTCTCTCTGCGATCGTTAGACGACACCTCTCCTATTACTGCTACATCTCCTTATTCCTCCCGTCGAGTGAGAGTCGTCTTCTCCCCTGGAAATCCCCCTTTTTTTTAATCCCTGGTCGATTTGCCAATAATGATCGAAAAAGAGGCGAACCTGAATACAAATCCAACAACAAAAAAAAAAAAAAAAACAAAATAATGTCCCGATCTCCTCAGCTACGGAGTATGCGAACCGAGGCGCGACTGGGCCCAATGGCTGGTCTCCGCTGAGCCCAGTTTGCCTCATTTGCCGACGCCGTCGCACCTGTCACTCCCGGTTTCCTTGGCCTGCATCCCGGCAACTTCACTCTATGTTTTCCTTTTGTTCTGTCTTTTGTTTTTTTGTTTGCTTGTTTGTCCATTTGGTTGTTCGGTTTTGTTGCTTTGTCTGCTAGAAATGCAGGAACTGTGAGCACTGGATGCGCACACCCCCCACACACACACACCCTCACCCCTTGTGGGAGGCCCACTACACCCCCTGCTTGCGTCCCCTTTCACTCCAAACCAAAAGACAACTTGACTTCACAACGCCTGGTCGTTGGAACTCACTGCTGCCCCGCTTTTTTGGCTTGTCCAAATTTCCCCTTTTTTGTAATGGAATGAATGTACGAAAAACATGGGCCGATGACCTCATAGCATTTTTGGTTTATTTTGCTGTTTTCCTGCCTCGCCTTGTCAAATTTCCCCCCCATCCATGGCTATAGGTGTTCTCTTATCTTTTGTTTTTTTTGTCAGAAGCAAGCTCATAAAGGAAAGCATTTTCATGGGCGCATCTGGGAATCTTATTTCATTTTTTGTACTGGAGTTATGTTTTTTTCTTTTCTTTTATTATCCTTCTTCTTCTTCCATGACTGGGAGTGCATTGCGCCCTCGCCACTGCCCTTTGGCCGGGGCTGGATCCCGGCCATGCTGAAGAAAAAAGAAAAAGAAAAGAAGAAAAAAGGGAGTATTACTCTGTGATGTATCTCCTTTCCTGCTGTTACTCATCTCGATCTCCTATTTTTATTCTCGTTTTGCTGTGCAGAATGATGAGGGGGGGAACTGGCTTTTTCCCAGAGATAAAAGGCGAGGATCTTGATTCGAGCTAGAAGAACTAGCAGTGTATGAAATTAGTATTGTTAGCATTCTCATTTTCTCATGTTGTTGTTACTTGTGTATGATCAATATGGCTTGATTAGAAAATAGAGTGAACGGGATCACCCATTTTTTGAGTGGCTGCGAAAGCTTGTTTGGTGCTTTTTAAGCATTTTTTTTTTATTCTGAAACAGGATGTGATAAGCTTTGGATGATGTTTCTTGTTTTGAACTCGGGGGGAGATTGGTTGATATTGATCTGCGAAGCGATGCATCAACAAGATCATGGGAGCTCGGCAACTAAGTAATAAGCAGGCGAGCATTGCTGGATCTACATAGATCCACTATTGGAAGTGAGAGAATGGTGGGCAGTGGCAATGGCGGGTACGTAGTTATGTAATTCCATAGCATTGAAACAGTCGACACTGTTCTTCTAAAGACAGCATCCTCTCTCGAAATATACATAGTATGTTTTGACATGCAGGTGGGCCAAGGTATACACAGACAGAAATGCAGACTTGGGGGAGACATGAAGAACATGAGCCATGTCGGGCATTAGCAAAAAAGACAAACAAAAGTACAACCAAAAGTTTCATCTCTCATATCTCGTCAATTTTTTGTTGTTTTTCTTCCCCTTTTCTCTTTTTTTTTTTTTTTTTACCGTGGTGATAAAGTAGTTATATAAACACACATTCGTCGAGTGCATAGCGACTGCGGGGACATTTAAGACACATACAATTTCGTTACAACGTCGTCGCTTTCTTGTCAGTTTTGATTTTGGGCCGCGGGCCTTCGCCCGGCCACACCTCGCGCCCGGGGTGATTCGTGACAGCGCGCATCCAGCACGTTAGTTAGTTATGTGTAACGGCGGACGCGAGATGTGCTGGCCAGAGAGGAACACGACTGGGCCGGATCTCAACGCAAACTCATATCTTCCCCTCTTTCGATTATCCCCGTGTGCGACGCCGACGAACGACGACGACGACGACGATGCTGGCGGGAGCGGGGAGGTGGGGAGGTGCAAAAAGATATACGCGGGATATGCGCGCTTGTGTAGTTCGTTATCTCCGCTTCGCGAGGGATGAGACACCCCATGTTGGGTGGTTTTTTTCTTTCGATTTCCTCCGACTTTCCGAGACTTCTCCGCGCCATTCAGCGCCGCACACGGACCTCGCCGCGGCGCACGTACGCGCGCGCGCGGCGGTACTCCTCCTCCTCCTCGGAGTCGGAGCTACTGCACGAGCTCGACGAGTCGGACGACGCCGACGACACGCACGGCGACGCGCCGCCGCAGCGCTTGCCGCCGCAGTGGATGCGCACGCGCTGGCCGGCGGCCGTGATGCCGAAGCGCTGGCACGTGCACGGCGAGGCGCCGCCGCCGCCGCTGCTCATCGACGACACCGACGACGTTGGCGACGTGCTGCCGCCGCGCGACGAGAACATGGAGCGGCCGGACGTCGACGACGTCGGGCTGGCCGAGATGTCCGAGTCCGAGTCCGACAGCGCGGCGTGCGCGAACCGCGTGTTGAGCGCGTCCATCGCGCGCTGCGTCGCCACGTACCCGTTCTCGCAGAACCGGCGCGACTCGTACGGCTTCGACGGCTTGGGGTGCTGGATCTTGGACGGCGAGAGCGCCCGGCCCTTGGGGATCGTCTGGCTGGCCACGCGGGCGTGCGAGGAGGTTGTGGTTGCGGCCGGTGCGGCGTCGCGCGGCACGTCGAGGATGTTCAGCGTGCGTCGTGTGGTTTTCTCCACAGTGGACTCCTTGTTGACGTCGTGGTAGACGTGGTGGCCGTCCAGGATGTACTGTAGAATGGATTAGTATGGCTGGTGGCTGGCTATGTTGTGTGTTCAGGGGGGCATAGGATGGCTCACGTAGTACCAGTATCGTTGACCAGGCTTCAACATAGACGATTGGAAGCGGAATTTCCCTGCCCAGGAAGCATACTTCCCGGCAGCGGTCCTGGTGAGGGGCAGTTGAGTGCGGTAGTTGTCCCAGGAACCAAGCAGCTGAACCGTCTTGATCTTTGGTGGGGTGTTGAGCGAAAAGTTCAGCTGCACAGCGGCCATATTCGCAATATTGTTAAGGGAAGAATCCAAAACAAATACGTTTAGGGAGCGTAGAGAGCAAATATTAAAAAATTATAATTATGAAAAGGATTGGAAAAGATATTATAAGGATAGTATTTGTAAAAAAAGGCTGTGTGATGGGCAAAAAGGGATAGCTAGCCAGAGCTCCCTTTCGACAAGATTGAATTCGACGCAAACAGATGTGCGTTCAGGGGACGTTTACTGCGAAATCGCAAGCGCACAGCCGCAAAAATAGAGAATTAAAGGGGGGGGGAATTGGGCTTAAACAAGACGAGCTAGACGTATTGGATGCCGGACCAGCGACAATCAAGCGGTATAAAATTGACCAACAATTAAGAGCCGAAGTAGCCTGCACTTCAAGTAGTAGCAACCCGTGGCGGGGCAAGGAGGTATAGTATATATTAACGGGGAGAAGCACAGCTCCTTTCCGCACGGATTAACGACGAGTAGCTAGCACTCGAAAAGGGGGGAGAGTCAGAGTTTTTTGGTAGTATAACAAATTCAGACAAGATCAAAATCAGCTCTTAATTATTAGGGGGGAGGGATAGCTCGCTTGCGGGGGAATTCAGACCAGCTGAACGACGAAGAAGAAGAAGAAAAAACGGAGAAGACACAAAACGGGAGATCGACCAGGGATAAGGAGAGAAAGAGAGAGAGAAGAGGACAGCGCTGGCGGCGGGCAGAGCCAGCTATATAGTCGGTGCGCGCGGCGGGCGAGTCAGCGGCCGTCGTCCCGGGCTTCCTCGCTCGCCATCGCAGGCGGGACGCCGTGACGATGGCGGGCGGGTAACGGGCCTCGCTGATTGGCCCGCACGGGCCGGAGCCGGTGGGCGCGCCCCGCTCCAACAGGCTTAGCCCGGCCAAGGATTACCGGCGCTAGCCCGAGCCGACGCTAGCGCCTCTGATCCTTGTAGCCAATCACCGCGCGGCAACGGCGAAACTTGTTTGTTTTGGTTTCTATTTTTGGGGGCCGTGCAGGGTGGGCGGGGGAAGGCACGGGGCCCGACAAGCTTCCGGGGGGGGGGGGTTGTGCGATCGCACCTGCCCTGGCTGGTTGGCCTTTTTTACGGACGCCGCACGCAGGGAAGGTGCGTTGCTTTCCCCCCCAGCACGAGCAGGAGCGACCGGCCGTATCCCGCGGGCGCGCGAGAGCCTCGCCAGCCGTGTTGCAGCGACCGCCAGCTTGCTCTTCTCACCGCGACGGCATTATTATGTCGCTCTCAAGATTAACTTCTTCATTCCAATTTTGCCTGGGCGTGTCCATCCTAGCTACACCAATCAACGCCAATACACTGCGCTTGAGGAAATGCAGCTATCTAGTGGTGCAGAAAACAGGGTCAAAACCATGCCCAGAGGATGCTGCATGAGGGAAAAAAAATAAAAGGAAAAGCAAAAAAAAAAAAAAATAATGAAAAAGACGAGGAGGCTGGGTGATCCGACCGGGTCCGTGGAAAAGAACAGATTTCCAGCTATGGACTGGGCTGAAAGGATGCGTGAGGGTTGGAGAGACAGGGCAAGGGGATTTTGAGAAGGGATACAGGGGCTTCCCTCGCTCCCAACACTTGGAAATGGGCCGCCATTGGAGCAGAGACGGGCCTCTGGCCGAGAGAGCCTAGCTTCTTGCTCTCGCTCACCAACCCCGCTCGCCTCTGCATGGCCTGCAATGCGAGTTGGGGGCTAGCGCAATGTCACGCCGGATCGCTTTGTGTACATGCGTGCTGCGATATTCATCGACATCAATTCCTGGAACAGCAGTTTGGCAGCGTAGGGAATGTGAACTTGGGAGATCTTGTTCTTGTTCTTGCATGCTCGGCATTCGAAGTCGCCCTTTTTGAGTTTCCTACATCCGTCACGAACGTTGTTAGCACTACCGTCTCGTCTTCGGACAACAAAAAATACCCCGCAGCGGATGGCGGCTTATAGCACACGGAATAAGGGAAGTAGAATGAGACTTACGCAATCGGGGTCATTAGCCCACAAATGTCGCATATGTGAACACGGAACGGATCAGACACGTCGAACAATCGCTCTTTCAAGAATGCGCTGGCGCCGTGGGCTATCATGCAATCGCGTTCCATCTCTCCGAACCGAAGACCACCGTCACGCGCACGACCCTCCACAGGCTGCCTCGTCAATATCTGAGTAGGGCCACGGGCACGGGCATGGATCTTGTCGTCCACCATATGCCGTAGCCGCTGGTAATATGTCGGTCCCAGGAAGATCTGCGCTACTAGCTTTCGTCCTGTGTGGCCGTTGTACATCACTTCAAATCCGCGTGATTGATACCCGTGCTCACGGAGCAGGCTGGAGACCGAGTCGACAGTCACGTCTGTAAAAGGGGTCGCATCACCTTCGTAGCCGCGGAGCGACGACACTTTGCTAAGTTGGCACTCGATCAAATGGGCAATCGTCATACGAGACGGAATGGCGTGGGGATTAATGATCAGATCAGGAACAATGCCCTCTCTTGTAAACGGCATATCCTCTTGTCGGAATGTCACACCGATAGTACCCTTTTGACCGTGGCGAGACGCAAATTTATCGCCAATCTGAGGAATCTTCGTTGTTCGCATGCGCACCTTGACAAACTTGAGGTCCTCATTACTTGTTGACACAAGGACTTGATCGACGATACCGCTTTCTGTACTTCTTAGGGGCGTGGAAACGTCCAGTTTGGTATGTTGTTTCGTTCTCTGACCGAGCTCTTCCGACTCTGGCGCCAATGGTGCAGTCTTCCCAATAATGATATCTTCGCCCGACACACGAACACCTGGCGCTACAATACCATCATCATCGACCTTGTCATAAGTGCCATGTTTCATGCGTAGCGTGTCTGATCTCATGGGCTTCTCAAACCGCTCGACTACCGTTAAGCCGATCATCTTTTCTGAGTCAGTGTACGTGCGATAGAATAAACTTCGGAAGAGACCACGGTCGATACTGCTTTGATTCATGATGACGGAATCTTCTTGGTTATACCCGGAGTAACAAGCAATAGCCACAATGGCATTTTGCCCGGCTGGAAGCTCTCGGAATTTCAGGAATTCCATTGATCGGGTCGTTGCTAACGGCTTCTGCGGATAGTACAGGATATTTGCCATGGTTTCCATTCTTTGATCGAAGTTTGTAAGGAAAACACCCATTGCTTGTTTACCCATGGCGGATTGGTATGTATTACGGGGCGACTGGTTGTGGTCGGGGAATGGGATGATACTGGCGCAAATACCCAGGATCATACTGGGGTGGATTTCGCAGTGAGTCCAGGTGTGCGCCTTCTGGCTGAGTTTCGACTTGACACGTCGATTTGGATCCGACGTGTCCTCTTCAGGTATGTATCCAGCTCGGTACTGTTTAGAGGCTTCTAGGTCTTCAGGGGTCATGACAATCATGATGGTCTCTTCCTCTTCCGCGTCCACATATTCGACAACACCAGATTTGACTAGTCCATCCCAGCCGTAATACCGTTCCCGACGCTCTTCCGGGTCCAAGTCTGGAGGAATTTCTTTGTCTGCTTCCAGCTTATGAATATGTTCTTTGCTAAGGACAAGCGACCCACTGTGTTCGCTCTTCGGGTCATTGTCAACAACGAATAGCGGGCGGCAAACGCGGCCCGCATCGGTAAATATTTTGAACTCCCGGTCACGGATATCCCACACCAAGCTGACCTCGTGAGAAATCATGTTTCTCCGGCGTAGTGACTGGACTGTGCTCACGAGATGTGACGGGTCTCTATGGACACCAACCCAAACACCATTGACAAAAACTTTGGTAGAGTTGGGAGACACTTGAGGTTCGAATTCTTCCAAAACTTCCATGTTTCGTTGGATCATAAAGTCGATGATCGGCTCGCTGGGAGTACCAACAGTGATGTAGCACATTAAAGCCAAATTTTTGACCAGGCCACAAGCTTGCCCTTCTGGCGTCTCCGCTGGACAGACCAAGCCCCAGTGTGTGTTGTGCAGCTGTCGAGGCTTAGCGATTTTTCCATCACGGCCGATAGGGGTGTTCGTTCTTCGGAGATGTGATAATGTAGAGGCGTAAGTATAGCGGTTAAGCACTTGTGAGACACCAGCTTTCGAACTTGCTGCTTTCTTCTGTTCACCCCAGTTACCAGTAGCAAGAGCGTATTTTAAACCGCCCGTCAAAGTGCTGGCTTTGACACCAATGTTCAAATATAGCTGGCGATTTGTCTCGACACAGCGTTGTACATACTTGTAGAGATCTTTTGTAAGTCTCATAAAGAGAACTCTGAAGAGATTAGCGAGCAAAGGCCCAGCTAAATCAAGCCGCTTCTTGCCAAAGTGATCACGATCGTCGACATCTCGTCTGCCAAGAGCGCACTGAAGTAGTTTATGGACCATGTAGCCCAAAAAGAAAGCTTTACGAGTTTCACTTCCTTCGCTCTGAGAAATATGAGGAAGGAATTCCTTCTGAATGATATCCCTCGCATATCTCACACGCTTTTCATGGTTCATGCTCGTTGGAGAAGAACCTCGCTTACTAATGAAATCAAGGGCGACTTCACGATCCTGAATGACGAACCCTTCCTCGATACAGGGCTTCAGCATTTCCAGCATCGGCGTATCGTTGCGGTCATAGCAGATGTGATTAAGAATGTCCTCGTCGGACACGACGCCCAAAGCTCTGAAGACGACGACAATTGGAATATCGGTTTTGATATAGGGAAGGGTAGACCGGATAGTAGGGCCGAAGCCGCCTTTAGAGCTGTCTCCTTTCGCGAATAGCTTGATAGATAATTGAGATAGAATTCGTGAACCCTTCTCAACAGCGCTTCGAATTTCAGCCACGTAGGGCGTGGGACTTGGGGGAGCTTTCTTAAAGACTTGGACGATATTTCCGGCGCTCCGCTCCTGCGCGATAAGAACCTTTTCACTGCCGTTAATGATGAAATAACCTCCTGAATCGTAGGGGCATTCATTCCAGTTATACAACGCATGTTCACCAAGGTCTTTAAGGATACAATATTTCGATTTTAACATGATTGGCATCTTTCCAATAAAAATATTCTCCTCGTCTGCTTCGCCCTCGGGAAGAGTTTTCGGCTCCCATTGTAAATATGTACCACGTGCCCGTCTCTCTTCGTCTCCCTTTTCCTCCGGGCCGTCGTCATCGTCATCACGCTCGGCTAAGGATCGTTCTCTTCCTTCTGCGATTTTTTTCGTTATTCCAAGATAAAGAGGACTAGCATAGGTAAGATTTCGAAGACGCGCTTCCTGCGGCAACATGATACTTGTGGCACCGTCACCCTCCGTCATCGACGGTCGCGCAAGCATCACAGTTCCAAATTTAAGCTCATAACGTCGTACTAGGACTGGATCTGGATCGTCTTCCTCTGGGGCAATAGTTTGGTCGAGGGTAACCTGGCCTTGCTCCTCGACCAGCTCTTGCATGGTTGTCGAGATGAACTCATCGAAGGAGTCAAGCTGCTGGGAGACAAGACCCTTTGATTCAAAGAAGGAAGATATGACGGTCCAACAATCTTCGGAGGTGATGCCCTCCTCTGCTTCGTAATAGCCATCTTCACCATATTCGTCTTCGTACTCTTCCATTCTGCCACCTCGAGTCCGCTGGATTTTTTTTTGAGGGCGATCGGAATGCTGAGAGTACAGATGTGACGAACGGAGGATCGCGATTCGGGGTGCAGGGACTAGGACGCGTCGTTCTGCTTCTAATCGAAGCTCAGAAGTTCCACGAGGAACGAGCTCTGCTATCCACCATCAAGGGGAAAGGATCAGTGGCTAAATTGCCAAACTTCACTTGAAATTATGCAAGAACAAGCTTCAAAGATCCACCTTAGAGACGTTGCAGGAGGTGGTGACTTTGGTGAAAGATTCGCCTTTTTGTCGGCTCTGCGCGCATTCATGAAGGATCCTCGCCATCGCCGCCACGGGACGCCCGTTTAGGCTTAGACCAGCCGCCAAGAGACGCTAAAATGCGCTGACTTGATGAATCAGCAAGCTTATTCATCACAGCCAGACGACCATGAGGCTTGATACATGATTAAAATACAGAATATTTGACTACTATAAAAATTCTAGTAAAGTACTAATCATATCCTTCTCTTCTTCATCTCCTTCTGCGTCTTCCATACCATTGAACTGTTCTGTATTGCTGGGAATTAGCATGACTATTACTGTATACAGCCAGGGGCTTTGTCCTTACCTTGAAGAGTAGCTCGAATGATGCTCAGATCTTGATCCTGTTCGGACAAATTTGATTTAATCTTTCTTTTTGCACCGTCATCCTCGGCCACCAGCCATGCAAGAATAATATCAATAGTCTGGATCACGTTAGTACTTGGAGAAATAGCGTTCTTGATATACTTCAGTACCTGGAGTGAAAATAGCCCAGCATCTAGCCTTCGAGAGAGCCACTCGGCAGCCATCAATTCTTGTTCCTCTCCACTCAAATTTACCTTCTCTTGAGAAATATTCTGGTCAATGGGTAGAAGCCTAGATGCATAACCCCGTCGAAGTTCCACTAGTCGGGTGACCTTTTCATATTCCTTTTCTACAAATTTCGCTAACGTTCGAATTCGGGCAGGGGATTCGCCAGGAAGTAAACGTAGAAGAGAGGCAAAAATGCCTAGCAAGTGCTCGATGGTTTGGTTATCTTGCTATACAGTTGTAAGAAGACTGAGAGAATGTTGTTTTGGATGGTGATAAATACCTTTTTCATAAACATGCCAAAAATGGTTCGCAATAACCCTACCTCAACAAGCCGCTCACATGCTTGTGCCCCATCTTGTCCACCAACTGCATGATTGAGAACTCGCAGTGCCCTGGCTTTGCTCATTTTGCCTTCTCGGAGCATAATCTGCGCAAGTTCGACTCCTTCTGCATCAACAAATTTTTGCTTTCCAAGTTTTTCGTCAACCATGCATGTCAAGCTATCAAAAAGATTTTCAAAATATTCCTCTTCATCAGAGTCCTTTTCAGGATCTCGCTTTCTGTATACACTAAGTGATTGTAATACCGTGTCTACTCCTTCCAGCTCAACAAACCGTTCTTTATTCTTTTTTGATGACTGGAGTAAAATTGCAAGAATCTCGGCGGCGTACTGTGTGTTTTGTGTGATAGGTAATTTGGCGTCCTGTATTTTCTTGTGAAGCCATGGCATTATTTCTTGTTCCTGGCCTATTTTTTCTGCTATTGATGATTGAGACGCTAAATTTTCCAAAACGTCTTGTTTCCATATTAGTTTGCATACATACAATGGGCCAGGGAAAATATACTTAAAACGTGATATATCCCAGATCGATCGGCTTCAACCTCTTCATTAAACCGGCCAAGATTTTGAGCCAAAAGTTCAAGGATATCTACACTTAGCTGTTAGGTGTTAGCGAGTCATATACTCCTCAAAATGAAAGAGTAATCCCACCATGGCGTTTACCAATGCCTCCCATTGATCTTCTTTTGCTTCCGTGTCCTCGTCCGTCAATTCAGCTATAATTTGGATAACATCGATAGCGATATCGGTATTTTCGTGTGCCAGTAACGAGACCATAGATCCAACACAGCCAAGCTCAGCGAACTCCGGATATAGCGAAGGATGCTCTGATAAAACCGACAATCCTTTGATTTCAACATCCAAATCTGCTTCTGAAGCCATAAACCTAATAATATCTTAGAACTTGTTGTTCCTTAAAAAGGATGTAAAAGGTCAAGTCAATACTTCTGCGGATCTCCCTCGAACTTCGCGCGCAGCTCTGCGTTCTTCGTTATTCGCTTTTCAAAATTCAGGGCCGCGCGCCTTAGCCACGCCGAATCAATCTTTTCCGCCTATCATGCCATAGGTCAGGACGTCTGTTAAGTAAATAGTAGAATGCAAACAACTCTCACCTGAACTCCTTCTTTATCCTGCTCTTCAACAAAGTCTAACGCTCCAGCCGTATCTCGCGTTACACCACCACCAAAGAAACGGCCCTCCTCGTCATCCGGGACATCTTCCTCGCCGAAATCGGGCGGCAGTTCAGGGCCGGCTACATCATCGTCCTCGCCATCGCCTACTGTTGCGGTTCTGCCTTGTCGCGTGTCGGCACTCGGATCCAATTTAACAGATTTGTAGATTTCATCTAAAACATATTCAGCTTTAGCCCACGCGATTGTAAAAAGGACGCGGACCAGGATTTCGAATAGGCTCAAACTTGCGCTTCTGGGCCGAGGGCGCTGAAGGTTTCTAAAGCCAGTCAACACAGTGGCCCGTCATAGTAAGGAACCGGTATACCTTAAACAGTTCGTCTATACTAGTCATTGCAGTCGCGTAGAATAGATAATTATTGTAATAGGAGCAGTCTGCCTTTTGCCAATTGAATTCCAAAACATTGAGAAAGCTATTACCTCTCCAGGTAGGAGTAAATGAACCGGAGGTAATATAGCTCTCTGCAGCCCGACGTAGTTAAGACAATGAAACTACGGAGCACTGCAGCAACCAAAAAGCAGTAAAAAAACATCTCAAACCTTCAATTCCGCCGCACTCTACATTCCTCTACAGCCCCCAAGTCTTAATCTACAGCTGCATCAATCCTCAAAAGGCTTACAGCACCCAGTATCTCGATTCCTAAATTCCTCCACCGGTTAACATGCCCCCAAAACAGCGTATCACTGCCTCTTCCCATCGTCAGCGCGGGTATATTTCGACGGCATACAATGAGCTTACTTCTTCAGAGAATGCCTCTGTAGTACGCAGTGTTATCATGTTCGGAGTAAGATTTCCCTCCAATACGCAGAATTGGAAATTTTACCTGACCTCGGATCTATGTAGGCCGCAGTGGCATTCTTGCACAGCAGTTTCAGCGAATGGCTTCTACCATCGTAAGTTCTAACTGATTCACGCCAGCGTCGCCCTTTCGACTCGTCAATACGTATTTGATGTGTCCAGTGCAAATCTCACTCTTGAATTGTACCATTAACTGGAACTTCACTCTGTTGACTCTTCCCTTAGGTTATAAATCGCCGCCAACGAAAACGATTCCGGAACGTCGAACACCCGCCGCGTGTAGTACCGGAGCCCACCTTCAATCTAAATCGGATGGAGCCGCTTGAATTTGTATAATACGTTGTTGGGTGGATACGACCTCGAGAATATTGGTCAATATTGCATTTTATACGGTGCTTTTTATTACCCCTGGGGCTTCAGTGAAAAGGGTAGAAAACACAGGTAATTGTTGCCTATGTGGCTCTGCCATATTGGCTGTTAGGCAGGAGTTTGGATCTTACTTTTGGTACGACAAATGGAATTAATTGTGATCATATAACGTGATGTGCTCATATGCCTCTGGGCTGACTGAACCTTTCCCTTCATTTTCAATTTTATTGTTTGCTATTTTAGCAACGTGATTCCTTCCAAATTGTCGAACCAGGAAGCCGCACTGTTACTTCACTTTCACCTTTTGGATTGACCTCAATTCAACCCCAACGCGCATTGCATATGTATCCTCAAGACCCCTTTCATATTGATGACTATGACGAACTTGGATAGAAATGGGAGGGGGCATTGTGCCTAAGGCAAATTATTCACTTTTCGCCTCTCTACCTCTTGGTTAATCCACTCATTTGCTTTCTCTTTCCACTCCTCATTCCAACGCGATAATGGAGGACGCTCCTCGGTAATATCCCCTACTCCCCAGGACATGCGAGCTTTATCTAAGTGTTCTTTGACTTCGTTATCCGGGCAAATTATATAAAATTTCCCATGGGTCATTTTCTCATACATATACTGGGCAACTTGACTTGGAAGCCACGCACCCTTGGGCTTTGAGGCAAGTGCTGCGGCATTGTCTTCAATTGGCCCGGATGTGCCCGTAATTCCGGTGAATGTCCAGCCGGGAACTAGAAGATGAACATGGGCGTTCTTATTAGAATGCAGGTCGTGAGCGAGATGCTCAGCAATGGATTTCAAAGCAGCCTTCGAGGCATTATAAGCCGGATTATCTCCTCCTGGTGGGTTGGTTATTCCTTGTTTCGAGCCCGTGAGAACAATCGCTTTTGGAGCGTGAGAGGCACTGGTGATAGAGGGGAGGAAAGTGTTTATTCCATAGAGTACGCCTTTCAAATTGGTTGCGAACGTCTAGTAAGGTAGTTGTCAATACAGAAAAGATGGACCACTTCCATACAAAAGATGAAAAGTCTTGGAATGTGAACTCGAGAAACCGCACTCGGGGAAGTGGAGGCTATTCAAAGCACACCTTTTGGAAGTAAAGCAAATCACCCCAGGGATAGCTGGGGTTCTTTGCCTGGAAACTCGCCCCTGCATTCAACATCAACAGGTCAACTCCTGACGAAAACTGGTTGGCGATATTGTCCCGCAGATATTCCCACGACGACAGCTCAGAAACGTCCATGACATGTGTCATAGTCTTGGCTGCCGGAGTGTCGCCGAGAACTGCGTGAGCTTTTGCCAGATTTTCGGCATGGATGTCCACCAGGATAAGATTCATGCCATGGGTGCGGCAGAGTTGAGCAACGGCGAAACCGATACCACTACCTCCTCCAGTTATCAGTGCTGTGGAACCGGGGTGGAAGACTTTCCCTGACATCGAGCTGTCTAGTGTTCACGAGCCAGAATTCATTAACATAGAATTGTCTAGAGTGATTAGAAAATGCTGGATGCCACCCATCTTATATCTGTGAGGCTGAGAATGACGTCAATATTTTAGTTAAGCTTTGATTGAGTTCATGCTCGGAAACAATGCGCCTTGTGTGGATTGCCTTTTCGGGTCTAGATAAGCAAAGACCATCTATATGAATTGTAGTGTGCACTATATTGCAAACTGTCACTCGAATATGAGCCGCCAGCCATGCCGCATTTCATGTAGAACATTATACCCATACGTACGTTGACCACCATACGCCCAAAATGCTGCCAGTACTCCAAGAACATGCTGAGGGAGGTTGAAAGGAGCAGAAACATATGATACAGGGTATATGATATAAACAAAAATCATACATAAAATCTCCGGTTTGATAATTCGCTGCTTTCTGGCAGGCGTTTCACCAACTTCACAAAATCCACATCCAAGAAAACACCATAGAGATCAGTTTGGCTGATCTTCACATCGACGATATCACCGGGCTGTAGTTTGATGTTGCTGCCTGCCGATATGCAACAGCGCAGCCGAAATGGGAGTAAGGAGCCCACATAATGGGCGTCAGTGGACCCGGCTTTGCCAACAGAACTCGCAGGTGGCTGAGTGATTATTAGACACTGGAACGTTTCAGGAAGCTCCGTTTCTTTATAGTAAAAGGCTCTAAAAAGAAGCTGCAAGACCCAGAAGTCACGGGACATTCTTTGAGCGTGATCCTTCATAGAGTTTTGCCAGTGCGATTGAAAAATAAGCGATTTAATGTCATCCGCTGAAAACGGTAAAGCAGCAGTTGTAGACTTGCTGCTTGCCTGCTTCGATGTTGCTTCTTGCCGCAATGCGGCTTCTATCTGCCAATGGGCGACCATATCCGAATACCGTCTAAGGGGGCTCGTGCATTTCGCATATTGGTCGATTCCCATGTAGGCGTGGCGAATTGGCTCTGGAGATAAATATCCCCTGGGAGGAGATGCAGTTGAAGGCGCGCTGTCAGTGCCAATCTTTTCATTAATCATGGTCTCTTCAGGTGATTGGGCAGATCCGCTGAACACTAGAGGTATACCTCTATCTCTGCACCATTGCGCAGCAATTTCACCGCCAAGAATCATAGCATGCGCAACCAGGTCTTCTGTCGTTGATCCGGTTGCTTCAAGCGGGTCAACCATTGGGCCACTAATGTGAATAATTGGGTCTTTAAGATAACAAAAGTTTGGGCCATTACGGGTCGCAGGGAAAGACTGAACTCCCCCTGAAACAAATGGTTGGGATGGGTGTCCTTGAAACGATTCTAATGCCCCATTTCTGCGCCTTACATTCCAGCGAGCTTCGAGGAAGCGTTGTAATGTGCGCAGATCTTGTTGGTGTTCTTCTGAAATAGATTCCTGAAGCTCCGCTCGGCTTGGTTTTTCGACTTTACCGCCAACAGACAAAGTCATTCTGGGAGTGTCATCGCGATTGATACCGTTTACTTTTCGAAGAAGATCAGGAGTGATATATACCACATTTCGGATATAACCATTGGTGACTTTCTTCTCAAGTATCTCCCCGTCTATGTTGATCCTGGCACTGAACGTAATCGTGGGCCTATTTGGCCCAAGACTGAAATTCTCACTAGTTACTTTGGAAGGAATCATAGGATATGTTCTTTCTGGCGAGTAAAAACTCTGCTTGAAATGTCCCGCTCCCTTGGCCAGCGGGTGGTCAGGGGCTATAAAGGCAGTTGGATTTGCCACATGGATATGAACCCAGCTTTCATTTTCGTTGTTAGGCACTGGTTCCACAGAGACTCCGTCGTCAATCTCCGCCGCACTCGCGCTGTCTATACAGAAGACAGGAATGTCACCCCAATCTTTTCGAAGATCCTTCATGGAATCAACAAACGAATCCGTTGTCATCTTGTCACTGAAATCATTGCAAATTTTGAGCATTCGATCAGAAACTTTGGAGACACCGTGCCCAGGTAAACCAATCCGCTCGTTTAATAAATGCATATTCTCCCAGGGCGCTATGACCCCGATCTCTTGCAAGACCATGTAGCCTGTTGGTGGTGTCAAGGGGTAATCTTCGTACATTTCAATGTTACGAATAATCAGAGAAGCAGTTGCTTTTAAGATACTATTCGACATAATAGACGGAGGTGTCGCCCATATTCTTAAGAAGGTAATAATCATGTTATCCGATGCTGAAAAGGTTGTGTCGATGGCAGTGCTCTTTTCACTGGGTTTCTGCGCCGCGGGGCTAATAGATGATGAGGTAGTAGGCGTGCGAGATTTTCGGCTCCGGTATATTAGTTTCCTGGCCTTACGCACAAATTTGTCTATCGGCGACTTCGCGACAAGTCCTTCGCTAGCACCTCGAGATACCCTTGCTTTCAAATTCTGATATTGCCGTGTCCAATTCACAACCATCTGCACAGCCTCAGCTTCGACTTTTGGCCGTATTGTATACGAATCGACTGCATAACGGATCTGGTTGGCGACAACATTAAATGAGTGTCGCTTCAAACCGGCGTGGATCGCGAATCTTTCGGCTTCGGTCAAAGTTCCGGCCTCGCAGTCAAATAGCGCTTCTCCTATATCGTCTAACGTCATCAACTTGGGATCCTGAGTATCTGCTAAGAGGCCGTGAATGCTGTTAAATCGGGCTGCATGGCGATTGTAGAACTTAAATGCGTCTTTCTTAAACGAGGCCATCCATTCGAGGGCTGGTTGACCTATGGGTCGCGGTACTCCGCCTTCGAGGCCTATTTGTGGTAAAAATGCCTTTTCAATAACGGTTGTCGGGAAGTAGGGTAGAAGGGGTTGGACCATTTCTAGAGGCGCGCGTAGTTTTATCGTGAAACTTATTTCAGTGGGAATGGCTACTCGCCATTTCCCCCGCTCCGTATAGAATTGTTGCTGATTGTTCATTGTGCGAACGTAGATTGCTAACTGTCCCGTGCTATAGCCGGTTTCCCTGTATCTTCTCAGCCTTCCAATGCTTTTCAAAATAGCTTAGGGAGAAACCATACTGATCAATCACCACCATGTCACCAGGAAATAGGTGGGGAAAATGAGCATATTCTTCGGAGACATCCTGATTTTCCAGTGTTTTCCAATCCCTGGGTGTCTCTCCATTGACATTCGGTTCGTCCCTTAGCATACTCGGGACCGATTTTGAGTCGTCTAGCACACGAATAGGATCAAGGTTAGGCTCCGACGGATCAGGTTTCCAGTTACGCAGATAATTGAATATATCTTCTTGTCGATCGAGCTCTGAGTGAAGAAGGGTTCGCGTCTTTGTGTCAGTTAGAGCAGTCGCCGACGCATACAGGCGCTGCAAGGGAAATCAACATTAGTGGAAAGCTTTATGCAAGACACTTAACACACGCACCTTTTTAGAGACATTAAATTCTATCTTTTGGTTGAGAGCTCGGACTTTTGAGCGTGAATTTCCGAGATGTTTCGGCAACGCAGGTGAGTGAAGTCGTCGCAGGAGAGCGACGCATTGTGAACAGACATAGGGTCGCATAGCTCTTCCATATAGAGCAGCTACTCGAGTACCATGAGGTGGTATCATTGCAAAATATGAGAGCCGGAGTACTGGGTCTCAGCTTCTTAAGACAGTGAACTCTCAAGCTCAAGAATCTTCGAAACTTTGAATTTCATCACCTTGCCAAGACATTTAAGTTTAGGTCAGCTTTTGGGATGTTTGGGAACCATAAATCAACCATCAAAGGCCTTCCAGGGATCGTTAAATCGATTATTATTATTATTAAGGTTCTATGTGACAAATATTCAACTATACATAACGTGATGCTTGTTGGTATTTTTTCATTCATGAAGAACAGGCCGTATGTGTACCCCGTAGGTATGCATGTATATGCGCTCATAAAGAGATGGTGGATACTCTAAGAAAGAGCAGCCCGTTTTCTCCGAGTCCTCCCCAATCTGAAAGCAAAGTTCTGACGGGCAGAGGGTGTAGAAAAGCCTCGCCCCTATGCGATAAAAGGCGTTAAGTACTTCATCTCACGGATAGAGAGGTCGGGCAGCAACAGATGCAGCTCATCGCCCATTGATCGTCAAATCGGCACAGGTGATTCAGAGAATAATGTGCGATTCCTGGGTGGAACAGAACAGGCTGGTTGAGAAGCTAATTCGGTAAGCGGCACTCCGGACAAATGCAGGGCGGGAAGTTGTCCAGCTGCTCATTGCAGCACCAGCATTCAGGCCAGGTCTCTGCAGCGCCATCGGAACGATCGCCAGGAGTCTCTTCTTCGGGCTCTTCTTTCCGTTGATGGCCCTTGGCGTCTGGTTGGAGGGCTTCCACGTCACTGGCACTCTCGGTCAGATTTGAAACTGGCAACCTGGTATCTTCTGATGCGACCATCATCTGCTAAGATGGAAGTAAATCCGGTGATTTTTTGATTCTCGGACAGGTGTTTCCAGCCAGGTATTCTGGAAATAGTAAAAAATAACCTCTGAAAATGCGAATAGGCAAGGAAGAGAAGCCTCTTAACAAGATAGTGCAGGTGGTAGAAATTGCAGCAGTAAGCTTTGGTATTTTATCTGCTAGAAAGGGTTCCTGTACATGGCAAATGGTGGAGCGCACCGGCGACAGGCAGAGCAAGCGCATATTCACTTAAACCACAAGTGCAGCCAGAGTGACAGCAAGCTGCTTGACAGGAAAGGAGCCTTCACTGGCCCATCACTTTGCAGTTTCCTCATCCATAGAGAGGCCTCAACCACCATCTGGGGAAGTTGTGATGGAGGAGAGCAAGGGGCGCTCCTGTCTGACGTCGGAACCATTCACTGTAATTGCAATCTGGCCATGGCTGTTATGGCCTGGTGGACATGATAAAACATGCCGACTCCGCCCATTCAGCTAGTTGTCTTTGGTACACATAACAGTTTGCAAGTGAAGGTCAGCCAGCGCTTTGAAAGCTGAGTGATTGTAAACGACAGGCCATCACTAGCAGAGATTGGTTAGCCAGGAGGACCACTTTGTTCATGGCACCAAGACGACTTGCATCAGCTGTTGAAATTTTTGTCTCTCGGGCCGGGCGTGTGACACTTGAAACTTGCCACCGGCCTAGAGCGCTTGGGATATCGGCTCTCAGCCCTGGCAAGTTTTAGATTATTATTTTCCGAGACTGTTGGGAACTTTGCCGCTGGTCTGTGCACAAGCGCCACATCTGGCTACAGGCCACCTTGCATTCAGACGTGACGACACATGATGATCATTTATTAGGGATCAAGTATTACATATTCACTTGCGCCGAGAGGCCTACGCAATCATTAATCAAGCGCGCCATTATCGTGGTCTAGCTCTGATCGTGGAGTGGCACACCTTGCACTGCAGGGCGCATGGGCTCGCCAAGCATAATTGGGGCGGTCCATCCATCGAGCCAAATCTACCTATTTAAATAATAGCACGCTTTGTTCGTATCCCTTCGATTTACCTGCTTTGGCCCTGGCTAGATCTGTTAGCTGAATGTCGAGGAATCCATCTGCACTGGTGCGGGCCAACCGGGATACTTGCCGGTTTTGCCGCAGCTTCACGGCTGCGCATCGCGGTTCTCGAAGCCCCATTTCGCACTGGCGATGCGCTCATCACTGCTCGCCCGGGCCAAAGGGAACGCTCCAGGCTGCTGCGGTGGCAGCCATCACGGTGCCTGACAGTTCGCAGCGCACCTCGGCGCTCGGCTACAGCCGGCAGAGCGGCTGCCGGCCTGGCTTAGTCAGCCATAACGGCCCGCGCTGGGGCACGTGACCAGGCTTGCGATCGCACCTCCGCCTCGCGGACGCGCCCAGCAGGCGGACGACGAGGCCGGTTTTGCTTCCAAGCCCGCTGGCCATCGCGAAGCCGCTGTCCCAGCCTCCGCACTTCATGTGATTGGCCGCGGAGCTTCAAGACGCGGGGTTCCTAACCACTGGCCCAGCATCTCTTGGCGGAAAGGCTCTCTCGCCTGGTTCAAACCTTGACCGCTGCGTTTTATGGTTGCCGAGCCCGGGGTTGAACAAGCCTAGGCATGGCATATGCCAGAGCCAGTCAAGCTATGAAACGCACATCGCGGTTTGGTTGCGCGGGGAGGGCGAGAAGGGGCCCTGGTCAGGGGGTGCGCGGTCGGTGGGAGAGCCGGGCGGCATGTAGGTATGCACAGATAGTCATGCAGGGAGTGAGGCAGCAGCACACAGCTGGAGCGCGTGGCCATGTTGTCGCCTGGTGCTTGGTGTGGAGGAGGACGAGCAGTATTTATTGGGCGCCAGCCAGCCATGGCCGTCTTTGCTACCGCTTTGTTGGGGATTGTCTGGGGCAGCGCGTCGCTAGTTGAACCTTCGCTGCTGCGTCTTGGCACTGAGGTTGCTGCTCCTCTTCTTCCTCCGCTCCAGCTCTCCTCTCGCCCCAGCCCCGTCGAGCCTCGTCGTCTTTTCCTCTCCCTGCCTCTCGTCCTCCCCTATACACTGTGTCTGCTCTTCCTGCCTGACCAAGGCTCTCTCTCTCCAACGCTTGTCTCTCATCGTGCTCGCGCCCTTCTGCAAAAATGTCAAAGAAGGACGCCGTTCTATACCCTCGCATCTCCAAGCGAGGCCCCTTCACCATCGAAGCTCCCGGCTATGAACCCGTAAAGGGAGAAACCATTCCGCGTCGACATCCAACCGCTAAAGATGGCCTTAAGCGCAGCCCAGATCCAGAGATTGCTACCCTGTACGACAATCTGCGATGGAGCGCGAAGAAATACGGAAACAAGAAGGCGGTTGGCTCACGAAAACTCATCAAAACGCACGTCGAGACCAGGAAGGTAAAAAAGCTTATCGATGGCGTCGAGCAGGAGGTCGACAAGGATTGGACGTATTACGAGTACAGTGGCTATACGTTCATGTCCTACACTGAGTTCGAAACTCTGGCGCTGCAGATGGGCGCTGGGCTACGAAAGCTCGGCCATGAGAAAGACAGCCGCGTTCATCTCTTCAGTGCGACAAGGTTAGCCAAATAGCCCCCGCTACACACCTGAAGCATCATAGCTCTCTGTTCTAACTCGAAAATCCCTTCTAGTGCCCATTGGCTTTCTCTAGCTCTTGGTACATACCTTAGAATTACCCTTATCCTGTCGCTACCATCTGACATGTGCCATAGGTGCCGGATCGCAGTCTATTACTATTGTTACCGCCTATGACTCCTTGGGTGAAGATGGCCTCAAACACTCGCTCCTCGAAACCCATAGTTCCACCATCTTCCTCGACCCACATCTAATTCCCGTGATAACGAACGTGTTGAAGGATGCAAAAGACATCAAGCATGTCATTTATGACACGTCTAGTGAAGTGAAGCCAGAACATCTTGAGAAGCTGAAAACTGAATTTCCCCACGTGACATCTATGTCCTTCGAAGATTTGAGGAAACTCGGAGAGGATAACCTAGTAGAGCCCGTTCCTCCTTCCCGAGATGACCTCTGTTGCATTATGTATACATCTGGCTCCACTGGACCCCCTAAAGGTGTTCCTTTGAGACACCGAAATGTCGTTGCAGCCAGTACGTAGTCGATTGCTCATAGTTGCCACCAGTGCTAACGTCTGAACTTTATAGTGGCTGGAGCCGATACTGTTGTTGGGGAACATCTTGGCCCAAACGATACCCTTCTTACGTATCTTCCACAGGCCCATATTCTGGAGTTTGTATTCGAAAATATTTGTTTGTTCTGGGGCGGTACTATGGGTTATGGAAGCCCAAAAACACTCTCAGACACCTCCATGCGAAATTGCAAAGGTGACATCAAGGAGTTGAAGCCGACCATTCTTGTTGGCGTCCCAATGGTTTGGGAAAGCGTCAAGAAAGGCATTTTGGGCAATGTTAACAAGAGCAGCGCCATCATTAAGGCCCTCTTTTGGGGAGGCCTTGCAACCAAGTCATTTTTAATGTCCACCGGTCTACCCGGTGCGGGCATAATAGACGCCATTGTCTTCAAGAAATTGAAGGAAGCTACCGGTGGCAGACTCCGGCTTATGCTGACGGGTGGTGGTCCTATCTCAAAAGACACCCAGCGTTTCCTTTCCATGTCGATCTGCCCCATGATTGGCGGTTACGGGTTGACTGAAACCTCTGCTATGGGTGGTCTCAATGACCCTATGACATGGAATGCTGATGCCATTGGTGAGATCCCTGCATCTGTCGAAATCAAGCTTGTCGACTTCCTTGATGCCGGGTACTCCACCGCAAATAACCCCCCGCAGGGTGAGATTTGGATTCGAGGAGAGAGTGTCGCGGAGTGTTATTTTGAAAATGAAAACGAGACCAAGGCTGCCTTCTCCGATGGCTGGTTCATGACCGGTGATATTGGCGAGTTCGATAAACACGGTCATATCAAGATTATCGACCGCAAGAAGAATCTGGTCAAGTCGCTGAATGGAGAGTACATTGCTCTTGAAAAACTAGAGTCGATCTATCGATCGGCGCATATTGTTGCGAACATCTGCATCTACGCCGCCCCTGATCAATCCAAACCTGTTGCCATTATCGTTCCCGCCGAACCAGCACTTCACCAGCTTGCGAAAGATAATGGAATCGAGGGAGACAGCATCGGTACCCTTGTCCATAATGCCAAGCTGAACTCTATTATTCTTAGAGAAATGCAAGCCGCCGGCAGAGCTGGTGGTCTCCGCCCATTTGAAATCATCGAAGGCGTCGTGCTCTCGGACGAAGAATGGACCCCTCAAAATGTAAGCCCTAAAACACTATAATGGATACTTTTTTTGTACATTTTACTAACAAAAAAACCTATAGGGCTTTACAACAGCCGCTCAGAAGCTGCAACGCAGGAAGATCGTCTCAAAATTCCAAAAAGACATTGACCATGCCTATGGCAAGTCCTAGTTACGATGCGATGCCAATTGCCTGTTTCGGTTATATCACTTGGTGCTTATGATCTATTCCATTTCTTTACTGTGCCCTTTCCCGTTACCCTTTTCGCGCTGTCGTTTACTTGGGTCTTTTTTTCGCTTCCTCCTGCTTTTCTCATGTTTATGATTTTTACGTATCGGTCCTGTTCACCTATGTATGTAAATTAAGGCGATTGATACCTCCGAACCCTACGCCGGATACCTAAGTAATCGTTAATAATCTTCTGGGCCTTCCATGTTCAAATGATGCTTTATATTTTCCATGTTATATGGAGCACATAGTAGAAAAGCCTCCCGATTAGTCAGCAACAATATGTCGAGTACGACAGAACAACCGCAAAACAGCAAAGCAGCCCAATTCTCCGTCCTAGGGGATGACAAAATGTCTTTCTGGAAGTAAGTAGGCATGCTCAAAGGCAAGCACGACAAAAAAGGACACAAACGTCTCCAGGCCATCCATACTGACCATATCTGCTCTTTCGTTCTCAGGTCCTACCGCAACCTCTCTCCTCGCACCCGAATGATCTTTGGCTTCGGACTCATGGGCTACGCTGCATTTGGGCTCTGGAGTGAATCCCGTGTGGAGAAAACCCTAGGAATGGTGCCGAGTGAGGCGGAAAAGGAGGAATTAGACAAACACATCAGCGTGAAGATCCATAGCGTGGATAAAGCGAATTGACGATATGGTCTTTCGAAAGACGTTCAAGTTGATGGATGACCCGGGGAGTTTTGGGGAATGTTTAAGCGTCTCGGGGCGCATTTTTCCTCGTGAAGTCTCTGGAGTATTGGAGCCTTGCAGGATTTTAACTGCCTGCGTAGCGCCTCCGCGATAAGCAGTTTTAGGAGTGTCATCTATTATGTGAGTATACCAAAACGCTCTTGGATTATTCCCAGCTGCATGTAAATACATATGCCTATCATATCTTCGCTCCCATACTGAATGCTTGTAAAATAGGCATTCTTGATACACAAGATTGAAGCAGGCTCTCTAGGGCCTTTTGTGTGCTATTTTGTGGGCACACGGGAAGCTACTGTGAGACAACACGTAGTAATTCAATTCATGAAAATTGACCATTTACTGCAGATAATCTGGTTGTCGAAGACCCTAAATAAACCTACAAAACATCCCAATAAAGCCAGTGACCCTTCTTTTTTCCCTTTTTTTAACATTCGGCCGTCAACCTTTACTTTTGTTGCGCCCGGTCCCTGTGACCCTGCCCGCTTGAGAAGCAGACAATCCACCCAAAATTAGAGATGTTTGGTAAAAAGAAATGACAGCACATTACCCTCTCTCGGTTTCTCCCATAAAATAAACATCAGCAACTTGTCCTCCATCCTTTCCTATATTTGCTGTCTTTTCTTCTTAACCATTTCTTGGCCGCCACTCCATATACCATCCCAAAAGCGAGCTTTAAAAAGTAATATTAAGACAATTCATTGACCCTGAAGTAAAGAAATGAAATACATGAAAGCTTCAAAGAAAGGTACGCTGCCCAAATAAAAAGGAAATCAAGAAATTGTTTTTGGTTCAATGAATCGTGAATTCGTTAGATGGATAGCAAGTGGTTCAAACTCCGCCGTGAATAGAAGCGAAGTCATTGCAGAAATGAGCATGTTACTGAACGAGGCTCGATTCTCGCATTAATGTGGGGTCGCCGTTGGCCAGAGGGGTTTCCGAGAGGAAAAGTTGTGCGACTCGAAAGGATTATTGTAGAACATTTTGGCTTGGGCCTCCGCAGGATAAAAATACTCGCCGCCTTGAAACTTAAAGCACATAAAACTCAATGCTGAACTTCGACCCCTGAACTACATATTGAAAGAGAGATGTTGAACTGGCCCTCGAAGAATCAGGTAGCTAAACTGCCAGAACAGACAATCATAGAGCAGGACGATACTCCGAACAAAGAAAAAAGTCATAAAACCCGCCTCACATGATGTGAGAGTTGGGCATCGTATCGTAGCGGCCGTAGGTATGATCCTCAGGGCGTGTAGAGTAGGAGTTGAACCTTCCACCGGATGGAGGCCTGCTAACTTCGCGGTTAACATAGCCATTTGGTTGTGCTCGAAGATAATGACCCGGCCCTCCATGGTCACTGTTCATCATTGGAATCATGGGGTCAAAAGCTTCGCCTAGGGACATGTCATTATGATCATGAGCTTTCGTGGTATCCCCAAATGATGGCAAAACACAGCGAGTACTCATCGGCTCTACAGCAACTCTTCGTGGAGCAGATGCGGAAGCATACGCAGGCTGCCCGTATCCATCGATGGACGAAGTATGGGTGATAGGCTGCATGGGGTTGAGAGAATCATTCAACATGCTGTCGTAGCCAGGGGAAGAGGAGGAGGATGACACAAGAGAACTTGCAGTCAGAGGAGATTGATCTGTAGATGGCATACGCCGATAGTCATACTGTGAGTTATTGCGCGGAATCGGATCATAGACTGATGGGATTTGGGAGCGTGAATGCGTCATATTTATGCCATTATGGATTCCGGGCCGGCTAAGGACTGAGGCTCCAGGATCTGTGTCGCCATTTCGGCTCGCACTATCGCGTTTAGCATCCTTATAATGGCCAGGTGACCGTCCACGGACAACCACAGGGTTAGAAAGTCTTTTTGCAAGGAGAATCCACTCTGCTCCATTTCCATGGGGATCGGCAATTTCAGCCCAGAGCTCTGCGGCAAGATTATAGAATTGCTGCTGCGCTCGTCGCTTGCCATTGTTTGCGGTTGCCTTCTGGAATTGAATTCGCTCCCAAGTGTGAAATGTTGGGGTTTGAGAGGACTGCTGTGCACCACCATAAGATGAGCTATAATCCATCTGCATACCAGCGGACTGACTGGGAGGAGTCGCAAAGTTGATTGAAGGATTATTACTGTGATTAATGAGAAGTGAAGGAGGTGGTTGGGGTTGGAGAGTTGCCTGTTTCGGTTTGCTCTCTGACTGTTTATCACGTTTTGGAGTATGCTGGATGAGCTCTCGAGTCTCTTTTTCCTGTCCATTTACAGAAGCTGAAAGCCTCATTGCAAAGGACAAAATCTTTTCTGGGGCCCTCCCGGGACGGTGTAGGAGGTACGAAACATAACCTAACCAAGGTTTCATGGCAAACGACAGTGAAACGGAGAAGTAATTTCTGCGGTAGCAGGTCCAGTAACCTCCAGCAGGAAAAAAACCTTTGTGAATACGAGCCTGGATTTCTGGTTTGACTGATTGGCCGTTGCCGGTAATTCTATGGTAAGTTTCTGTCTCAAGCCAAGGGGGGGAATCGGCATTTGGAGGAGGCAGGCGACTCGGCGATTCCAAGTAAAGGCCGTTCGAACTCCCATAAACTGCAGTCGGAGTGTTTGTCATGGTCACGTCATTAGAACGCGTCTCGTATTGATGATATCTTGATGTGTCGGTAAACGTATTAGTCGTTTGAGGGACGGAGAAGTTTCGAGACATCGAGTATGGTAGCGAAGAATACCCGTTGTCTCGATTAAGGAGGCTAGCCGATGATGGGAGCATAGAACCTGGAGATTGAATATGATGGGGCATTACTGGTGGTTGCCTACATAGATCAATCAGCCAGGTTCCGAAAAGACAATAGTTTACAGCAAATAGTCATACAATTGAGACCCTCGAGAGAACCTGTAATCAGCCATTCTTCCTGTAACTGGAACAGAGCCGTAGAATTGATGTGTTGGTGACGTCCTGGAAAAGTCACTTTCAACGGAATCGGAACCGCTCACGTCGCCGCTATGTAGAGAAGCGAATGAGAAAATTGAACTGTGGGATTTTGAGCTGTCTGGAGAAGATCCACTCGAAGATACTATCGAGCTTTTTATATCTCCAGGCAGATGGAATCTTGGTCTCAAAAAGAGTCAGCATCAGCATCAATCGATTTCAAGTTAACAAGGGGTTGGGACGGAAACTCCTCCATTCAGGCTTAAACAAAATGAAGACGAGACGAAAATATGGAATAGTGCCTAAAATATTAGGCGGAATGCAACTTACAACTAAGTTTCAGGCAAAAAGATCACAGAAGGGAACTGCTAAGACAAGCATTGGAATTGGACAAGAGAATTGGGAAAAAAAAATCACAAAAACAAAACAAAGGTATGAGAAATCAGAAGAGTGACAGATTGAACGAAAGTGAGGGCGCAGTAAAATATTTCAGGGGCCTCTAGATTGGATAGAGAAGAGGTAAATCTCAAAGTAAATATGCTGGAAAAGAGTAGGCAATCCAAGCTCAAAGCAACACTGAGTATTCACAAGGAACACATCAGGTTCTGAGAGTTAGATGAAGAAAACAAGTAGAAAGAAAGCAGGTGAGAAAATATGAAAGTGAGAACAACAGAAAAACACACAGTGCCTTCAGAGTCAAAGTGAAAGCTCGGCGCTGAACTAAGCGGTATCATGGCCTGATGTTCTTGTTTGTGGACGATAAATATTAGAGATAATAAAAAAAGATCAAAATTGTATAAAGACTAACAAGTGAGCACCAGGGCGTCAAGTCCCCTCACGCTTCGCTTTAGAGGATATAGAACAGATGACGGCATCAGTCAATAATATATTCACACTTACAGTGCATCCTGAGCGCCAGACTGTTGCGAAGCGGGCCTGGAGTTGTGGGAAACTGGCTCCGAATGCGCCACTTGATATCCAAATATACCCGGTTTGCCAGCACAATCCTCGATGGTTTCGGGAAATAGGTCGTTGGTGTGGGGGAGAGGTCGAGGAAGTCCACAGAAAAGGTCGTTGGACGCCGTCGTGGGTTCAACTTCGATGGATCTATGGAGGAGGGCTTGAAGCACGCGATCAATGTTAGAATTGCAGGTGACCATGAGGAAGAGAAAAATTGACAGAGCATTCAAGAGGAAAATGAAAGGAAAGGAGCGACAAGGAAGGGATAATTGATCATGAACATAAAGATGCAAATGCAAGAGAACAGTCCCTTCAAAACACCCAATAGCGACGCAATACTCTCAGGGGAGATAAAAATTAGACGAGAATCGATTCTTTGAAGCCGCCAAAAACGTGGGTGATCTTCCAATAACAACGGGGGAGAAACTCCAGAGGGGCCCCTGGTTTAAGCATAAAGTCATACCAGATAGGAAGAAGCTTACTAGAATTCATTTGGGAGGTTGCAAACAATCTGTTGACGATCGGTAGAGTGGACTTCACAGGATTGGATACCTCGAAGATGGGAACGTTTTTATAAGACAATTCAATAAAGGAGATGCGCCCAGATCTGCACAAGCGCAGACTAGTTATATGTTTGTCGGGCCAGCCTGGCAGCAACTTGATACTTGAATGGTTGGATGATTGTCAGAACTGGGCGGTCACGTCCGTTCTTCGGACTAATAAATAAATCAGGCTTCTGTTAATGGAGACCTCTATTAGCCGGAGTCAGCTCGGCATTAGGTTAAGGTATTGAAGCTAGAAGCAAAGCCATGAGAAGATGTCGGAGGGAATCAGCTGTCAAATATTCCACTGACAGGTCATTGGGGAGGGAAGCCGGGTGGGAGGGCCGCGGATACGGGTAATCGAAGTGGTAGGGATAAATGATGCCTTTCATACATACTTGGCAGCTAGTGGATACTTGCTGAAAGGCCAGCGAAGTCAGCGGTTCATCGCAGGCAATTCGCACGAAGAGGGTCCGGGGAAAAAGAGCCGGGGTCAAGACGACGTGGGGTATGGTAAAAACGCCAGCAGGGAGGGATATAGAGAGGCTGCTGCAAAACTGACTTGGCCTGGACGTGTGTAACGGGCCCTGTTGGGCCAATTTTATTATCTGTAGAGGATGAGTCTCAGCCCCCCCCCGGCCTGGCTTAAGCAGCAGCAATTACCGGCAGCGAATAAGGTAGGTGGGTCCCCCCTAGCAGTGGGATCGACGGGCGGCATCAGCCCTTGTCAGGTGCTCCATCAAAAGGAAAATAAACATTATTCAGACACCAACAATGAAGGTTGCAAGCACTGATCAGGCGTGAAAAATAAAAAAGAAAGCGGTCCGCGCTGGGGCAGAGCATTTCGATACAATAATAGAAACTGTATTTACCAGAGGGCCAGACGGCGACTCGGCTGGGCAGCGGAAACAAAACGCAATAACCGAAGCAGTACTCACCGGGCGGACTGTACGCGGATGCAAACACGACGAGAGGGCCCGCAGCGATGCTTTAGTAAATCGACCAGGTGGCAGGCTGAAGAGGAATGGTATTGGCTGCGATAGAACTAGCAATCGTTTCGCAGGTGGCCAAGGCCTATAGTTATCAACAAAAATTGATCCCTTTGAGGCCCCGTGGTTTGCAAAAACAAGTCTCTCCGAAAGATAGGAAGATGGCCCGGTTGTTATTGGGCGCTAATAAGGTTCTTTCTTTGCTGCATTTCTCCTTCCACCCAGCGAGCCGTCTAAACTTAACCAATTAACGTGATTAGAGCAGATGATTATGACATAAGAGTGCTAATCAATTTTTCGTACGGAGCAGTACGCACCTGTTTTGTACCGCGCGCGAACAGGAGTGTGATCCGGATGCGCTCGTAGGTAATGGGGGCTCAGCACACGGTAAGGAGATGGAGCTCCGACCTTAGAGTTCAAGGATCGGAGATAGCTCAGCCAATCCGAATTGAAAAAAAAGGGGGGGATTCGAGGCGGCAAGGTATCCGTGCGAATGGTACCTCGTATTTTAATCGGTGCCAGGCGCCAGGAAACCCACCGCGCGGAGGGTGCAAAAATGGAAAGTCCATACAAATAAGGCACAGCGAATTATACCTTCAACTGGCATGATGTGGACGAAGATCACGATCCACATACTGGATAACATAACTGCAGGTAGCCGGGCTTGGCCCCAATCGAGACACCTATTATAGGTCGTTCTGCCGAATTCGAGAAAACACACTGACTGTGTCCGCGGCGTGAATGCACCTAGGTCGCGGTTGCTAACAATCGCTTGATTCCCAAATAAGCACAGTGAACAATACTATTTGTATTGTAACGGCTACAAGGGAAAAGAGTAGAATGTTAATTGTATGCTTCTTTTCTTGTTTGCTGTCGAAATTCTCGAGGACAAAAAACGTAAATAGAAACACCGCCTCCGCTATAAGCTGCACGGCAATGTTGTAATGCCGCAAAGGGAAGTCGACTCGTACACTCCTGTTTGATATTACGGCTATTGGGACGGAGCAAGTACCATATACTTCTAGCTGTAAAGGAGATTTGGCCAGACTAGGAAAATCTGGAGTTGGTGAATCAGTAAAATGAATCCGCGAAGGTTCGACCGGGACGAGTCGCGACAGGCTGGTACTTAGTCACCGATCGCGACTAACTGCCGCGAACGCCATCGACTCACTTCAATCTGTATGGAGGGCCCCAATGTGCTCCATAAACCAGAGTTGATCTACCGCCGGAGAAACAGATGTAGATTGGCTTGGCGGTATCGAAGACCCATTATTAGCAGAAGGAAGGGGCTCCGTCAATGCTCTGTGCTCCATCCCCCCTGTATGTACGTATATACATACATGTATGTACATACATACATACGTAAGGTCGACTGTGCGCGGAAAATCAGGCGATCAACGGAAAGAAGCAAGGTCATCTATTGGTCAGATATATCAGCCACAAAAACTACTTTGCACCAAAAGTTTCAGTAGCTTAGTTGGATGATCGACCAGTAATGGCGGATCCCATTTTCAGGGAATGTTGGAGAAAAATCTAGACAGTCTATGATCTATTTTTCCAAGGTTTGGTTCGAATTTCGTATGTGCAATCCAGTGTCAATGCTTGATTCTTTTTGGACTTCCTTTCGCTATCCCAGGAAAATAGTACTCCATCATGTATAGTGCAGGAAACCGGGTCTAGAAGCGCGCTTGTTATGTTGCTGCGAGAAAGAAAGGCATCACATGTGGGAAACAACAAGAAACCATGTGTTGAGTAACAGACAGGCCTTGATCACCAGTCATTGTGCCCCTTGCCATTGAAAACCACCTGAGTCGCGTGCAGTGAAGTGGCGGAGAAAGGAGCAGTGCACTGTAAGTACCCGTTGAACAAAAAGGCTTAGTCCCCACCTACGCACTTGCGGGTGCCCTTGGAGGGCTCCCAGCCAGCGGCCAGCACAGCATGAGCGGGAATTCACCCAAACAGACAGCTCCATAAACCGACAGCCAGGGCTAGAGAATGTCTTGCATACTGCCCTGGCGACATGGTTGTACAAGCATGCTCCACCGACAGACACTGGGACTTCAAGTCACAGGGTAACTCACAACGGCGACCCGTTTTCAATCTGGTCTGGGCGTCGCTGGCAGGCCCCGGGGCCCAGACATGCAGACGGCACACCGCAAGTGCAGCGCAAACGAACCGTGACGACAGGCGGGATCAGCGTCGTGAGGCCATGCAGCCGGAGGCTGGAAGCGGCGGGTGGGTGGGGGAGGAGGGGGAGGTGACAAAGACGACCCCTTGCGGACACGTCCACCGGGCGAGGGAGAGAGGCAGCGCGAGAGAGACGCGGCGCAGACAGGCCTGGAGCCGATCGCCTGCCGGGCCTTGCAAACCAGCCAGACAAAGCCAGCGAGCGATGAAGTTGCGACGTTCCCTTGGCTGGCCCGATTGGGGAAAGGCCGGCCGGAACTGGCTTTTTGGCCCCATTTGGCAGCCGCATTGTGGTCCGTGCGCGGCTCGTGCCGATCCCTTGGCATCACGACCACTCGACCCGAACCAACGCGACTCTCCTCCTCCTCTCCTCCTCCTCCTTCTCCTCCTCCTCCACCGCTCCGACGTCGTCATGCTCGGACGACGAGCCGGAGACACCGCGTCCTGCGTTTCATGTCTGAGATCATGCGCCGATCAATGTCGTCTTGCCTGCCGTCGGCCTCTCCGTGAGCCTGCATGCTTGCATACCCGCTGCTGTTGTCTGCCCGTGCGAAAAGCCTAGCTTTCCGCCGCCTCGCCAGCACCCGTGGATCGCAAAGACTCGGTCCGCCCTCAACAGCTGCCAAGAACGGGTGAGGCGCCTTGCCTTGCCGACGAGGTGCGTATGTATGTATGTCGACATGGCCAATACGAGCCACTTGCGCAAATCCCTTTCTGACTCCAGGCGCTACTGCTTCAGGCCCGTTCCTTTGGAATAGGGCAACCGGACGCTCTCCCTCTCACACTCCATCACTACTGCTTGTTCTGATGGAATACATGTGGCATTGTCGGACAGGATACCCGCCTGCCAGGTATGTTGAAGCAGCCAAGGTCGCAGTCGCTCGACTACGAATGGATTTGCCAAGTTAAGTAATAGCACCGTTTGTACCAACAGCTGCGGCTCTCCTAGAGGTACCCTCCAACACCCAAAATACATCTATTCATTATAGGTGGAGGCAGTGCAGCCGAAGCCCATCGCTCCAGATGCCCTACAAGATACCTGCGTTTCGCGTAACGAGGCCTGGATTTCTCCACTCTAATGACAAATTCAAATGCCTTTGGCTCGGCATTTGATACTAGGATGTCCCTAGATGGTTCGATTTAACACTAGTTTATTCCCACCACTTGAAAACCATTCCCTTCCGATTTTAATAACTCCAATGTTTTTGAAGAGAAGCCTACTCAACTCGTGCCTTAAATTAAACGTTTGCAACTATATACGCATTATTCCGAATAAGTTTGCATTCACCGTGTTTTCAGCATATGTTTCTATAATTCGCGGTTCTCGTTCGCTCTAATACATGACGGACACACAAAACAGAGCCGGACGTGATTCTATCCTTTCCAGCCCACCCAACTTATTTAGCCTTAATCAAAAATCCCTAGAGGCCCGTTTTCCCTCAGGGCCATTTGACCCATGTGGGCAATTTTTGCGACATTTATTTTCGCGGAGCCTAATTCGTCCAATTACCCGCCTCCACCTCGTGTGACCGTCAACATGTTGGAGGTGTTCAACACCCTGGCTTTCGAAACCAGGTTTAGTGTGACAAGATTTTGGCTTTCACATTTTCTGGTGCAGCATTACTTGTCCATTTGAGTGATAAGTCGCATAACTTAGGCATCGGGTTTCAATATTTTCAACCTAATTACGTGATGGGCTCTGAATATCAACAAACATGATAGCTACTCGAACGCTACTACTGCCACAGATCTTACAAGTCTAATATCATACGCCACCATCTGCCCCAGGCACTGATGATAGGTGCAGCTATCACATTGTTGAGATTTCGTTTCTCTTACAAGTATATAAGTGCTGATACAGCATTTTACAAAATATGTTGATCTAACCCAAGACAAGCTATTCTGTATTTTGACTCGCTCTATTTATGACGCTGGTCACCTGGATATATAGGCAGCCTCCCGAGATAGCTCGATTGCCTATCCGCCTATCCTTCTTGAAGGACATGATTAACATAAAAATTGTTTGTCACACAGCGCTGCCGGATGCCTTTACGTTGCAGCCCCCTCGAAGATTCGGCATCGATACAAGGTCCATCCATACCTACGAAGTCATGCCGTGTTGCTGTCTGGTGCACCCAGTCACATGTCCATTCTATTCGGGGCTGCATAGATTTCGGCTACATGATTCAGAGTCCCTGCTATACAAGGCCAAGGATTTTCTTCAATCATATGGGATTTCGGTGTCTGGCTTAACAATTGCAGGAGATATAATGCTTCACATAAGGTTTTGTTTCAGCAGATTTCAATACGAAGTGTACCTTTACGACCCAGCGACCCAAATTCCAGTGCTAGATAGGCCAAACTACTGTTAGCAAAGGGAGGAACCTTAAAAACACACAACAGAAGAATCCAGAACTCTAGGAGAGCGGATATCTGTCACGTATCACCACATTTAGGGTTGGGGAACGATCGCTCGGATGATACCAGCTGAAATGCCTATGCCCTTGCTGCGAACAGGTACGTTTTTCTAGGTTATCTTGCAATGCCTAAGACATTCTTCCCATCTTGCTTGATAGATCTTCATCCAATATTTCCAGGTATAGCGGAGTTGGCTAGCACAACATATCTCTGACACGGAATCGCGAAAAGCTTCAGGCTGCTATGACTGTCTTACTGCGCCCGTTTGGATAAAACGTGGACTGATCATTGTCAACCCACATCTTCCGAAGTGCAAGGGAGCATAACTATTAATCGAACCGCTAATGGAGCTCGATAGTCAAAATAGGATACACAGTCGGACATGCCGGCAGTGGCGTGCAAATTTGGTACGCTGACCAAGAGAGAGTGTGTAACGTATTGTTTGTTTTTGCTCTGGTGATATTCCTTACATCCCCCTTGCTTATCACGAATCGGCGGTACGGATCATCCATCCAAGCGGCTCTTTACCGTCACGTATAACTTGGACCCGAGACTATGTGTAACACAGAGGGTTAGCATGACTGGAAACAGGGCATAATTATGACAGATACGGCTGAAAGTGATATCTCAATAGTCTTAATATATCCGGGGCTATTATTCCACATCTCTGCTCTCATGACTTGTTTGACGACTGGCATCCCCCATGCCTACTATAGCTGATGATATTAATGCTTGGCCCCCATATTCTCTTTGACTTTCCCACTTCTATTTGGAAATTTTCTCCTTTGTTTGCCTTAGCCCCCATTCCCTTGACTTTGGAAATTGCTTTTGTTCTACATCCCATCCAAACAGGGCCTCCCACATGGAGTGCCCTCTATGGCCGAACACCTCTGCCGTGGTTCACCGCCTTTGTTATCATACATTTAATCTAACTTCGTGGTCTAGCATTCTTCCATTGTTTGTACTCTTCAGAGCCATCAATTGCCGCTGTCCGCACCGTCTCTGAACTAGACCTAGTAGGCCTGCACCTAGTCTGCCAAGCACGTCGCATTGCCTTAGAGAGGCTGGGCGGAACAGACTGAATCCGAACGTCCGTAGGGCCTCGACAGGCCATTTTTGGGTGGACCCTATGATGGAGCACGGAACGGAGATAGAGCTTAATGTGCCGAAATAGGTTTGGGCTAAAATGAAAACGAAACAAGGCAGAAAGGAGCATAGTCGCAATCACATCCTAGAGAAGAGGAAGGCTTATTTCTCTTTTTTCTTTTTCTCGCTATTATTCTCTACTGTTCAAATGGCGAATGGCCATGTACGGATTTTTGTAGGGTTGTGTTTGAGACCGGAATGCAACTTTAAGGCGACTATGATGCCCCAACGGCCGCCCGGCAATTGACAGCTGAACGACTCCCGCGACAATGTGATAGGAGCGGCGTTTCCAGCCTTGGGTGGGAAGTTGCTGTCTTGCTCCATCGGCATCCAGCCTGATCGAATAATGCGTGGATGCATTCCGAAAAGAAAAGCGGATGGCCCCCTTCTGGCTCCCCGTTCCCCTCTCCAGAAGACGTGAAGAATGTAGATCAATCATCCTCCAGCCTATAGATACCAGGCAATTGGGAGCTTCCGGTTCTATAGCGTTATTCGACTTCTGGCGCAGGCGATTGTGAAACGGAGGCTGGTGGCAGGGCAGAGCGAAGGGCTTTTGGTTTCCGGGGGGCATGTCAAGTGGAGCTCTTTGTTTCGAGTAGCTAGATTTTTATTCTGGCTTTACATCTGCCGCCCAACAGGAAAAGGGGGAGAAGTGCGTGGCAGCGTCGTTGGAGACGATACCAATAGGGAAAAATTTTCCGGCCGAAGCGGTGTACTCCCTGCATGCAAGGAACTGGGGAGAAGGGATCCTGCTTATGGGCTGTAAAGTGCCTTATTGAGAATCTGCAAACCCTCAAAACCGGTGCTGTAATTCTGATTCCGCCGCCGGGTAAGAATCGCGGTTCGCCTACATCACAGGAGACCAATAGCCAGCCGGATGGCTGCTGTGGCAATGCGCAATTTGTCTCATCCGCGAGGGTATTCTTTCAGGAAAGAAGAAACGTTAACTGTAGAAATAAATTGTGCATCCTTGTTCCAATTTAGATGCATGCATAGTAGGCATCGAATAATGTGCTGCTGATGGCCGGGCCTAACGGGCCTGACTGCAACTTCATCGGCCATTTTCCATCGTAATGATGCTTAGTACATAGCCCTAAAGTTGGATGACTTGGTAAATCAATGACCATAGGTGTTGCGAAACGTGCCGTCCAACGGTGGGAGATAGCGAATGACGAATACAATCAGTCAGGCTCATGGGTGGTGGGAGTAAATATGTCAGACACTGTTCTACGACTAGAGGCAGAGAGGGAAAGGCCACAAAGCTTGGATGATTGAAATTTGCCACGTCCAAGTCCAGAGAATACCGTATGGATCCCAGAGATGTCCGTCGTTGGGTGGCACAATCCCCACACAAAAGGAATGGATTTCAATGGCCGATGTTAATACATCTCCGTCTGTATGTAATAGCACAAGGGTTAAACGGACCATTTTCTATTTTTCCTTCATCATTATCGAAGATTTTGGCTCATAAACATGAAAAAAGTTTTGTTCACCTGAAAGTACCGATTGTCAATCTAAATAGAATGACAAGAATATAGAAAAACCCTCCATTAAGAGACGCAATGCAACCAAGTTAAGTCATAAGAAAAAATTACGTTGTCTTCTTCGCGAACTCAACACGCAAAATCAAATGCCGATAACCAACTGTGCTCAATTAGAATATGTCCATAGAAGAATTCATATGGCTGAGCGGGATGAACTTACAGCCGTCCATTTTTTCACAGGCCCGAGCGGCATCAGCTCTATCAGCAAAACTAATAAACGCAAAGCCCTTCGCCATGTTGGTTTCTTTATCCTTGGCAAGGAATACTCTTGTAACGTGTCCGAATCTGCCAAACATATCACGAAGCTCTCCCTCTTCAGCAAGCTCGCTGACCTATTCAAAAATTAAGCATTAAACTTCTCATGGTGGGGTCGGGTAAGGCAAAAAGAATCACACGCACATTTGTAACACGTAAAGTTGCCAGCTCATCTCTTTCATATTTGCTTCCCATTCTTTCTCCACCAGAACCAGCAGCACCCTTCCGGAGGGCGGGAGGCACATAAGCGCTGCCACCACTTCCTAAACCGCCAGCAGGCTGCTCTCCGTCGTCACCATCCATACCGGCTCCGGGAGCCGGTTCATCAACGGGTGCCATAGTGTCTTTGAAAGGACACCTGGCTGTGAAATGCTCTCCGCTGCAAATACGACATTTTACCTTCTTATCTTTTAGTTGATCTTTTAGACCTCCTTTCTCGCCTCCTGCCTTCTCCTCCTCCTTTGCTTGTGACTTCCAGTTGATAGAGGGTCTGAAAATAATATTCTCTCCAACAGATGTGGTGTCAAGAGAAGGGCCAGCCGGGTGCCCCTTCTCAAGACCGAATTTGGCCCATCCCTTACGTTCCGCCACACGTGGGTTTACGTGCTCTTTAACCACTGTTGTCCGGATTCGTCTTGTGGTTTTGACCTTCTTGCCATCGTCGTTAAAGCGGAACGATATCACAGTTTTCGTACCGTCTTTGTTGGAAATGATTTGTTGTGGGGGAAGGGAGGCAGCTTCATCAAACTCCTCGTCATCGGCCCAGTCGCCTGCGCGGCTACGATATGTTAGCTCTGCCAACGAAAATAAGTCACGGTTTAATACGGGTTACTCACTTCTGAGACATTCTGAGTGTGTTGTATAGATTCTGTGGTTCAGATATATAAAAATTAGTTGATGATGAAATGCTTGATTATTGCATTTTGGTGTGCAGTCCAAGACCCTCGATCAAGTTTAGCTCTCGGCGAGTGGTCGGCCCGTTTATAAGCTTCGAGTTCCTTGTAACTAGAAAACGCTAACCGTATTCAGACTCTAGCCCTAATTTGTATACCTATCTTGAACTTTTAGCCCCCCATCCTTCAGAGTTGGCCTTTTCAACCAGCTTCTTCTAGGATGGATGTATTTTGGCTTATAAATATTAATAACACGCCAAAATTCTCTGATTAGTCTCCTAATTCACTAATATAACTATACTCGTCATCACTCATGTCAACGTAAGTTTGGACTTCCTTAATCGCCTTGAAGCGGGTACATAGCTCGAGTTTTCTTCATTTCTATGCTCCCCTCTAAGAAAATCGTTTGTCGTATATTGTCGTATATAGAATCTATGGTATATTTATCTGGATTCCAAGCATATCTTTTTACAGTACTCCTCAGAATTAGGTGAGTCACGGGGGATATTTTAAAGGGAATTTATATTCCAGTGTCTACCACACTTTTTCACGAGCGGACCTTCATGATTTAGTTCTATTGTACTCCGTATGTAGTTAATATGAACACATCATCATTTAACTGAAATGGAGCTTGAGATATCCTTGTCACAGGCTACAATATATACCGGTTTAGCGCCAATAATGCCAAGTGCCTCGGTTGGTGGATGTCGGCATTTCCCTATAGCATCTGCTCGGTACTGACGGGAAAAAAGAGAAAGTAGCCAGCTCAACTCAATTCTAGCATTAGGTGCAATCTACTGTAGCTACCGGGGGTATTCGCCTGGATTCGAATGCTCAATTAACTTTACGAAGGTACTCTAGACGACACTATCAATTACAGTGATATCATAATAAAACACAGGTTCCTACCGATACTCCCAAAGATGATACCTAGATCAGGTTTGTATATAGGGAGAACAAGAAAACAACAGAGAAAAAACCAATCGGCCAACTACAATTTAGAGATCATGCCATTGCCCTTCTTGAGCCAAGCAACAGCATCGGTAACGAGTTCGTCGACGATTGCCTTCGCCGATTTCTTCTCGTTGACAACAGCGGCAGCCTTACCCATCAAATGTGGGCGAGCATTATCGATAGTATCGTCATCAACATCATCACCAAGCTCCTCAAAGTCATGTTCAACAGGAATAATACCCTGGCTAGTAAGATCCTTCATTTCTTGGACTCGATTCTCTTCCCAGTTCCTGATGTATTCATTCATGCGGACACGCATCGGTCGGCCCTACAAATATCTATTAGCTTTGCTTTCTCAAAGTTTTGCGTGACGTTTTGTTTGGAAAGCCTTACAGTGAAAATGATGGTGCGGACATTGTCATCGAAACCGGCAGTCCTGACGGCTTCCTGGTGGTCGTGTGGTGCGCCAGCTTCGTCCGAAAGAACAAATCGAGTACCGACCCAGACACCAGAAGCACCGAGCATCAAGGCCGAAGCAACAGTTTGGCCGTTAAAGATACCACCGGCGGCGACAACCTGAACCGGTTGGCCGGTCAGTGGACTCTTGTGGCCCTGCACAAGCTTTGCAACAGTTGGAATAAGGATTGAGGTAGGGGTATCTCCAGTGTGGCCGCCACCCTCACCGCCCTGGGCGCAGATGATATCCACACCGATGTCTAGACATTTTTGCACATGCTTCGGGTGTCCGATCATGTTCATATAGAGAATACCGGCTTTGTGGAGGCGCTCAACAACATGCTTTGGTGGAACACCAACTGCCGAGACGAAAAGTTTCGCACCACTTTCAATGATGATTGTGACCAAGTCGTCAAGTTTTCCCTTAGTGTAATCATAACTAAACGTAGTCAGTGCGATTGCCCTTTTTGAGATTCATGAACCGAAGCATACTTTGTCTTGCGAGCACTGCCGCCAACTTGAGGGAGAAGGAGATCAACACCAAATGGAGCATTCTTGTCGTTGAGGAAGCTCTTCAGCTCATGTACCTGCTCCTTGAGCATATCTGGAGTGTAACCAACACCGCCAATGACACCCAGGCCACCGGCATTGGTAACAGCTGCAGCAAGCTTGGGGCCAGCCGCAACGTTCATACCAGCCAGAAGGACTGGGTGTTTGATCTTGAGAAGATCAGTCAGAGGAGTACGGAGTTGCTCTTGAACGGATTTTCAACTGTTAGTCAAGCAGTCAAGCACATGAAAGAGGAAAAGAACAGTACAGTGCTGGGGAGACTCACGAGGCGACGCCATTTTTGCAATGCAATTTTGGTGGATATTGATTATATGAAAAGAGGGAGGGTGAAAGGGAGGAGTTTTTAATAAGAGAGTGGTGTGGGCGTGGAGGAGGAAAAGCCAGAAACGACTATTTATGCGCTCGTGAGAGCACTCGGCGACTGGCCAAAGAGCCTCGGTAACATACGCAGGAAGGCTTGGGCGGATCCATGTCGGGGTAGGGAGCAGCGACCTAATGATAGTTCGTCGCGCCATCCCCGCCCGCTAAGGTAAAGTGGCTGCTTATGTCATCCGGAGAATCGCTCGGCACACGTGCACTCCGCAATCTCCTGATTCGGAAAGGCGGTGGGCTTATGTAAGTGGCAGTATGGATCTCGGCTTGGACTTTTTTGAGTCGTGATAGCGAGGATTGTGTTTAAGGCCAATTCGCATAGCAAACTACCGAAGAAGGGTCTGAATTGTTACCCCGGTATGCGGTAGGATGAGGAGTATTGTATCGTGTCTGGTGATTGACCACAACCCGACTAGTGCGCTGCAATTATTGTGGCCTGTCTTGCTTTGTGGACGAAGACGTTTTCGGTCTCATGTTTACCAGAGGTCTTTGTTCGCTAAGAAGCCACGTCAATGCGATAAACTAACTATTAATAAGGCCCTTGATTACGCGCGAGTATATCTTAGCTATACTCCCAAACAATACCCTGCCAGGCTGCAATATATACCACAATCGCAGGCTCGGACTAACAACGGCCTTCGTTCAAAATGCAGGCCATTCTCAATGGAGAGCTGAGCCTTTTCGTCAGGTATATAACAGACGTCTTGCCAGCTATAACTGCAAAAAGTCTGCGGCTAGAACCGGTAGTTTTGCTAGAAAACGCTTCTACTCTACCTTCATGAAACGCTACATGAATTGTCCCCGCAATCTTGTGAAAAATAAGAGTACCATGATAGGAGCATCCGGACATCGTGTTTTTATTGCCTTGGGGAGCAATATGGGTGATCGAATTGCCATGATGGAACGCGCATGTGAAGAAATAGAAGCGAAAGGTATCAAGATCATGAGAACGAGCTCTCTGTTCGAAACCGCCCCCATGTATGTGACTAATCAGGATCCCTTTCTCAATGGAGTTTGTGAAGTCAGTATACCCCAAAAGTAGTCATTTTGTAAACATGCCTTATAATTCATCAAGTCTTTTATCGCGGCACTCTCTTTTACATGTTGGTCTGACAGACTCTCTCAGGTAACCACCAGCTTACAACCTATCGAGCTATTGGATGCTCTTCAATCCATAGAGCTGGCTATGGGAAGAAAAAAGGTAGTAGACAAAGGGCCTCGGGTTATAGATCTGGACATCCTTTTGTATGATGGAATAACCCTCGCCAATGAACGTCTAAACATCCCCCACATGCTTATGCTGGAACGTGAATTTGTATTGCGACCGCTTTGCCAGTAAGATAATATTGAATTGTCAACTACAATCCTTAATGGTCTAACAATATCAGGTTAATTCCAGGAGAAAGACCACCTGAAAGCGAGAATACCACTTCTTATCAGACATATCTTCACTCTCTCCCGCCCTCCAACCCTTCACCTATAGCTATCACACCAATACACTCAAATATTCCAGCACTAGCGCCTTCTAATCCCAAAAGGCATACTCATATCATGGCTGTGCTGAATTTGACACCAGACTCTTTTTCGGATGGTGGCGTGCATTCCGCAACAAACAGCTCAACGCTCTCCGACACAGTTCGAAGATTCATTATGAACGGAGCCAGCATAGTTGACATCGGTGGTGAGAGTACCCGGCCTAATTCCAATCCGACCAGTGAACAGGAAGAGCTTGCTCGTGTCGTACCAGCTATCCAACTCGTCCGTTCCCTACCAGAAGCGAAAAACGTTGCAATCAGCATTGACACTTACCGCGCTAGCGTCGCCGAGGCTGCCGTTGCAGCTGGAGCAGACATCATCAACGACATTTCTGCCGGCCTACTGGACCCTGCCATGCTTCCCACAATGGCTCGCCTCGGGAAAACCGTCATTCTTTCACACATGCGCGGCACGCCCAAGACAATGACAAACCTCACTGACTACCCGTCCGGCGTCATTGAAGGCGTTAGCACAGAACTCGCTACCCGTATAGCTGCCGCTGAGCGCGCCGGCGTCCGGCGTTGGCGTATTATTGCGGACCCTGGCATTGGTTTCGCCAAGACGCAGGCGCAGAATCTCACCCTACTTCGGAACTTGCATCACCTACGCGAATCTGCTGGCTTGAGCCACTTACCGTGGTTAGTGGGCGCAAGCCGCAAAGGATTTGTAGGGCAGATAACGCGTGTTGAAAAGCCGAGTGAGCGGGTTTGGGGCACTGGAGCGGCGATCACAGCAGCTATTGGTGGCGGCGCAGATATTGTGCGAGTGCACGATGTGAAGGAGATGGATCAAGTTGCGAGAATGGCGGATGCGATTTATCGACAAGGGTATGACGCCTGATTGTATTTGTTCATGTATGTATATTACCGCACCAGCCGGAATTTTGAAAATGTTTATATAGCTCGGATGCATTGCATCTTGTATTTTGCGAGCAGTTTGTATATTTCGTTATTTCCAGCAGATATATAAAAAGTGTAACATATTCCAGCCAATATTCGAGAGTATTGATTCAATAGTCATTGAGTTACTAGAAAGCAGATCTCTGGGTTTCAAATTTTTTGGATTCAAAATCTGCTTACATGAAGTCATGGGCCAACAAAGTGAAAGGCATTAAGACAAATAAAGGCTGATCAATCGGCATTCTTGATGAGCAAGGTGCAAATACAAAAGTCGAAGCAACCAATCTAGAAGAACATAGCCTAATTGCAGGAACTTTTGTTCTGCTAATTCAACACCTGGATGATTCCACAGCTGAAGTCAAAGGAAAAAAAAAGGGAGCACGTCGGATGCTGCCAGGTAGGGTGTCCAATTGGGGGGAATCCTCATCCTAGTTAGGCATGAATGTTAGATATGAATATATTCATTGAATAACGAGTGGGACAGCGTTTGGGAATCGCTCAACTATTCAAATAGGTCCGAATAGCATCTATAGAGCACGTCAGCACATAATAATAATCTTAAAACCAGTGAATACTTGCCTTGCAATTTGGTAGCCCCTTCACCCAAAGCGTGGGTAAGATGCTCCAAATCGTCACCAGCTGTGATGCCGAATTTTCGCACAAAATCCTTAGCAGCGGTTTCTAAGTCTCCATAATTTCCATAGTCCTCTACTTGCTCTTCTTCGGGTCGGCCAAAGTATGCATTGCTGGATATAGATGTTGCACCCTCGAAACCGGCCAATCGAGCTTTAGCTTCGGCTTGAGCGGCTGAGCCAAATTGGTTTCTGCCGAAAAACTCATCGGACGAAATGCCCTTTTGGCCACCGAATTTTGACCGGGTGTATTCCAATTCCTCATCTTCAAGGTTTGGTTAGTTGCAGTAAAAATGAAGTGTGATAATCAAACTAGGAGCGTACCATCAACTGTAGGTTTTGCATGGCCAACAGCACCAAATCCAAGTCTTTTAGGAGCAGGTGCTTTTGGTTTTCCAACTTGGCCAAATCCTAGCCGGCCAACGCCCATACCAAGCCGTTCAATGTCGCTCGACTTCCTCTCATGCCCTATAGATGTGTTTAGGCTCGACCTATTAGGACTGACCGGTGTGGGTGAGACAATCTTGCTCTTCGTTTCTTCTTGCTCAGCTTCTGGGTCGTAGCCCAATTTTTCAATACGCTCGGCTTCTTCCTTTGCTTTTTTTTCCGCTTCTTCAAAATCAATGACCTCTGGGCCAGCAATTTTCTTTGCTCCAAGCTTAGGTCCCTTTTTTGCACCGAGTATACCTTTTTTTGCTCCACCAGAAGCGCCCTTGCGAACCGCGGTGTTTGAACGGATGGCAACAACCGGAGGAGATGCATCGCCACTCTTATCCGAAGCCGATAGAGGAGACTTGGAGCGATTCGTACCATTTCCAGAGGCACTCGGATTAAGAAACGGAGAACCAGCGCGCTGTCCGCTTGGAGTAGATGTCCGAGAAGGGGGGTTGCTTGGTCTTTTAATCACCGGTTTATCCCACGAGGAAAAGAAATCGTCATCTGGTTCGCCGGCAGGTGTTGAAGCTCCGTCTGGCGTTCCGGTAGCCACAACATCTGTAATAACGACCTCGTTGGGATATCTGCGCAAGTTCGGAATTAATATAATCACTTAAATGATTGGAAAGCTAGCACCATACTCTTGTGCATCTAAAGCCGCCCGTCTTTTTAATTCTTCCTTATATTTCACGGCAGCATTGGACGTGTATTTGACTTTCGGATCCTTGCTTGCGAGGGCGGCGGTTCCGCCATGTGACTGGAAATATTTGGTGGCAGACTCATTGCCTCCCACCTTCATAACGCGCAGTTGGTCCCATTGCCATTCTACACGAAATTAGTACTATCTCAGGATCTGAATTCGGTTCCTGTAGGGCTCACGATCTAGGTTTGTTGAGCGAACGAACGAAATGTGGACGCCGAGGTTTCGATGGTTGGAAGAGCAATCAAGACAAAGATATATTCCCAAGGGAACTGAAGACCACGTCGGGTTTTTTGAGCCACAATCAAAGCATAGCTACGATTGAGTTAACAGTGAGCGTTGTAGACTCAATATTGAACGGCGTGACTGACCTTGTTTGCAGGTTTGGCCTTTAGTTTTTCAAAGATCTTTTGAGATTGTGCTTTCGTAGCACTCATGGTGAGAATAGAAATAGAAATGCCCGCTAAGGATTTTAAGAATGTGGTGATTCCACCTTTGCAAAGAGAATGGCAGGCAGCGTGGTCGGTGTTTATTCCGAAAAGGAGTTGTTTCGATGCTGGCCTCATCGGGCGCTCTGTCTGAGCCCGCGGCCTGTGGGCACGGAGGAACAATAGGGGCACCGATGCTGACTAACACTACGTACCATACCATACATATTATTGGCAATGTCTTGAAACTTACTTCCAAAACTGTGTAATACATTGTAAATAATACGCGTCGATGCCCATATTGGGGTTAATGTGGGTTCCGAAAAGCTTTTGATTTGTGCATGGAAGCCTCCCCACCAACTTCCCAAAAAGACACTTTTCCTCATCCAGCGATGCCGATGAGAAACTTTGAACAGATGGACTGGCCACCCTTTTCCTTCATATAAGAGACAGCAGGCTGTACCGACATGCGCTCTGGCTGGATGCTGATTCTTGCAGCTCCTACCTATACTTTGACCGAATATCTTCTTGCAGGAGTTGACGCTGTCGAAGCGCTATTGGATCAAGTCCCAGAGTTTACTCATGTTGCAGGACCGAATCAGACCGATTATGCACATCTCATTAAAAACAAGGTATCGTATCGCCTAGGTACCAAGTGAATGTGCAAATAAGATTACAGAGGATGAGGCTCGCCCATCTTTATGCTATGACTACAGAGTATATACACCACATCCATGCTATAACATTTTATATTCTCCCACGGCCAGTACGTACCTACTTTTCCTAGCTCAGCTGCAGCTACTTTTGTTACTCTTTTAGATATGCATATACCGAGCAAAATATATCCGTCAATCAATTTGTTTAGTACCAAGTACATTGGGAGGCACTTTCTCTCAGGTCTCTATCCCAACAACCCAAAACCATCTGACATATGGAGTATTCAAGACCTTGAGTCCTACAGTTTCTGCTCAAGTATATATGTATGGACAATTTCTCTTGCCCTGTGAAGTTGATAATCCATATGAACTGCTTTGAAGATGACGGTATGCAGTATGCTGAATTTCATTGCCCAGAAAATTGAGGACATCAAGGTTGACCAAGAAATCGGAATAGCTAGCGCAAAATACGGTAGTTATGGAGTAAATATCCTGTGTTTCTCTGGGCGCTATTGTTTCTTTATATATTCCAATTATGTACTCCGTAGTAAATGCAAGCTACATGCGACATCACATTTCAATGAATTGAAATAGACAGCAACTCTATTTAGAGATTTAAGCTGCCAACAGCTCCATCTGGGGAAATATCTAGTCATACCCCTTGAACCACCGTGTAAAAGAAGCTCGGGTGCATCAAGACTTAAATAAGTACGGAGCAATTGCGGCTCAAAGCTTTGCCAAGAACCTAAAAACTCACCTTCATCAACTGAAGCGGAAAGTCTTCAAGTTTCACTAACTAACCATATACTCAGGCAAGCTCTCAAAAAGCCAGTCCTCAATTACCAAATGCCCGGCACCCCACTACTATCTCGTTCTCTCCCTTGATCGATGGGCCCATTTTGGAGCGCTACTTCGTGCGAAGATGACAGCTGCGCGAATTCGACGATCGTGGATTAAAGCGATTCCGTCGACTTCACCGCGCGCCACCACCCCATCCAGATTGACCATCGCATGCTCACGACGGTATGCCACTCATAGTAGCTCAGGGGGGCCCTCCAGCGGCACCACGAGGAAACAAATAACCGTTGCAAGCGATGATGGTCGGATAAGATGGGGCGAGCTGTCTCGCAGGGAAAAGGCGGCGCGTGCAACGCAACAATCAGCCAACTTTCTTGTTATACTTGCCGGTGTCGTCATGACAGGGGCTGTTTTTACGTTCTTGTATACGGACGTATTTGCGCCCGATAGCAAGACGAGGACCTTCAACCGTGTTGTTGATCGGATCAAGGATGACCCTAAATGCATAGAAGCTTTAGGAAACCCCAAAGAAATTAGGGCTTATGGTGAAGCGTCATGGAATAAATGGACTCGAAATCGGCCTATAGCGTGAGAATACAGATATGCCTTTGGCGTGTGGTTTTTGCCCTTTACTGATGTCCCGAGCCCATAGAACAACCCTGGAGCGCGACCGGCTAGGAAATGAGCACATTAAAATGCATTTCAACGTTACCGGACCTCTCAATGATGGTGTTGTCCGTGTTCACTTGATAAAGGCTCGGGATGAAGGCGAATATAAGTATCACCTTCTCGCGCTTGACGTTGCAGGTAAATGTTTCTAGTCCTTTCTTGAGGGGTGCTACTCACACATCATAGGCCATAAACGAATATTTCTCGAAAACGCCGCTGCTGAGGCGAATCTTGCGAAGAAGACTGCCTCAAAAATATTCGGCATACAGTGGCGATGAGATGAAAGGATTAGCGAACAGAGTTTACGCTTACATTTGTTTCTTCTGCAACTGCTTCGCTTCCCATGGTGACATGTTTGTCTCTTAAGAAAATAAGCAGTACAATATATCCAATATCACCCAGCACTATTGCAAACAGGCCACCAGAGGGAGATGTTCATTGACTTACGTACATTCTAAGGTCATCAAATACTTTAGAAATGCTGTACTTATGTAGTCTAATGAAAATTAGAGAAGGATGATTCTATCAGATAACCCTTGCGCCGATAGTAAATACCATGTCATGACAGAAAAGAAAGGATATAAATCCTGGGATACTCCGTACAGCATTACAGAAACTCACATACTCCACACTTGGTTGTGCTTACTTCGAATTCTTGCCCTTTCGGGGGCAGGATGGTTTGGTAGAATATCGATTTCGGATATAATTACACGATCGCCCACGAAAGCAAACCAATTCATATATAAGTCGACTCGCAGGAAGATCATTGGAGAAGCAAGTATGCCTGAAATAGGCTTCCGCAGTTCATCGAACATACTGGTTGACGCCATATTGTCTTCATTATAGCAAATTAATAGACGAATATCAATAATAACTATCCTGTAAGACCTCTTTTCTCGCTTTCGGAAAAGAATATGATCATTCGCCAAAGCTTTTTGACTAGAACCTCGGCTTCCTCGTCGAGCGCCTAGAGATATTGTCAGTAAAGACATCGTTGTTAAAAAGAGGACGGCTAGAAAAAACTTACTCCCTCCAGTTGTTCCACTAATTCCTGTGGAGAACCTCGCTTGCGCACATGCTCTTCCACAACGTCCACCAACATTTGCTCTTGAACACCGAGGTATTCCATGATCTTCTTCTCGACAAATGGCTTGAGCTGGTCACCAAGAACAGATTCGTCGACAAACTCCCATTTAACATCCCAACTCCACAGCCCTTCCTTATCTAGTGGTATCTCAGCAGCAAGCTGTCTGGCCGCCTGAGCGCGTTCTTCGTCATTAAGACCAGCGACTTCAGCGGCGGTATCAAACTTAATAGCCGTGAGAGGACGTTTTGCAGTAGCATTTGTGTCTTCTTCATCCTCCAAGAGACCTTCGACTTCGGCAACAGTTCTGCGTTTGGTAGAAGCTTGGACCTTTTGAGCGGCGGCGCCAAGGGAAAGCTTGAATCGCTGGGGCTCTCTCGGTGCCTGTGCGCGAGTCTCCAGTTCTTCAGCTTGACGGGCGAGGAAGTCATCCGCCAGTCCGCGCGCCCGTTCTCTTTGTTGCACAACTCGAGCCTTCTCCCGAGCTTCACTGGATCGGTCGGCTTCATCCAACGCCATTTCACGATTTCGGAAAGCTGCTCGGTTTCGAATCCACAATCCACGGTCGGAATAATATTCTTCTACCTTACGACTTGCTTCGACATCATCATTCCATTCTCTGAGACGCTTGGCCATGGCTTGCTTCTCATCCTCTAAGCGTTTCTCTTCGTCTTTATCACGGTTCTTTTCTCGTTCAACGGCCGCAGCTCTACTACGCTCACGGTTGAGCCAGCGTCTCTCTTGATCCAAAAAGTGCTTTTCAGCCTCAGTAGTAGTTTTTGCATGGCGTCTCCTTTCAAGTTCTGCGTCGCTAGCATCGGTATCTTCTTCCTCCTCATTGACGCCAATACCACCAACAAATGACACGCCCTTATGGTAATCTTTAGGTATCTGATGGCCGAATCCCTTGGGGCCTGAGGGCGCATTCAAGATACCCCTGTCACGCGGGCCTGATGGTATTCCAGAAGGACCAGTTGGCGCACTTAGTGGGGGTGAGGATAGCCTATTGATCCGCGAAGCACCGGGCCTTGATTTCTCTAAAGACTCTATCTCCTCCTCCCTCTTTAATCGTTCAAGATCTCGACGGTTGCTCCTTTCACGAAAGGCTGCAATTTCTTTCGCGACAGTTTCTCTCATCTCGGGTGGTATGTCCGATAACTCATCTTCAACAGTAATAGGAATTGTCACAACCTCAGTATTTGCAGTATCGTGGCCATTGGTATCAGTCATCGTAATATCTCCATCACGATCAGCAGGCTTCGTTGTGTCCTTTTCAGCGGAAGGACTTTGGATTTCAGATAAAATCGCAGATAAGGCCCCCCGTGCAGACTCAATACGTGACTGACCGGCTTCGGAGTCATAATTACTGCTCGCCTTGTATTGATCAATATATTTTAATGAACTCTCATCAACTACAACCTAGAGAGATTTGTTAGCGGAGGGGTTAAAAAAAGAACAGAAGTAGGAGAAAGAACAAGGCATACTAATAATTTGCTTTTCTCACACTCCGGTGAGATATTTCCTTCCTCAGTGGGAGGCTGCTGTCGCTTTACAGGTACTTCCACATCCCTTAGCACTTCGATAGCCGTATTTAAACTATGAGGGTCTTCGTACTCTGCGAAACCAAATTTACAAGGTTTCTCATCCGCATCCGTAGCCCTGATCCAGCGCCTTAAATTTCCAGCAGTTCGGAGTATTCGCTCAACTTCTTCATCGCTGCTAATACCCTCCGTAATTCCACCTATAAAAATGGTGCGAACGACTTCATCCTTTGTAGGTGGCTGCAGTTGAAGCATTGCCTCACGTATGTTTTGGCGCTGAGATTCTATGGAGCCCAACCCCGCACCGCGCCGGGTATCAGAACCTTTGTCACGGCCATCTAGTGGGGTCGAAGATTTTGATGGGCCAGATGTTCCAAGACGAATCACAGGAGCAGAGAAGTTTATATTAGGCATGTTCGCAGGAGGCTGGAAGTTTGGCGGAAATCCTGGATGTCCAGGCTGGGGACCGTTGGCTTGCTGCATTCCCGGTGGCGGGCCGGTGCCGGGAGCGGACATACCGGGAGGAGCTAGAGAACGGTTAATAAATGAGATATACGAAAGGTAACAAGATATGCGAGAATGACACACCTGTGCCTGGAGGAGCTCCAAACCCTGGGTAGTCTGGGGGCCTTCCAAAGGGCCCAGAATCTAAAAAAGAGATCAGTACCACGCGTGGTCAATAAATATCAAAGAAAGTGAGTAAGTATTGTCAATTGGAACTCCTACGTTGGTACGGATTATACATATTGTTGCGCAAACGATTCGGTTTCCTCAGTTATCGGCTAACGCGCATCCAGGGACAAAGTCACAGGGGGAGGTTGGTTTAGGAGGTGTCGTACAACTGGGTATCCGCAAAGTCGTTGCTGTCTGAAGCTGGGAGCCGTCCTAAGAATGGGCGGTTGCGAGGAAATTCTGGAGCTTTGGCGTGATTGCAATTTGAGCAAACAGGGTGTAAATACACGTGATAGTTAGAATTACATAATCTCGGGATTTATATATTTTCCGTACTTTGTTGTTGCGCCACAGATCCATTTAGCAGGTACTTAAGTTAGCTGCGCTGACTTGTAGCCGACTGAAAGTCCATGCACAACAGTTCCAAAATATATTCATGGCAACGATGGTTCATTATGACGTTCATTACCACCCGCTCGACTCCAGACGAAATGAAGCCGCGTAATACAGAATCACAGGTGCACGCAATATTTACCGAAAACCCTCAAGTAGCAAGGCCAAAACTACTCCTTACAAAGGCATTGCATTGCGATAGCAGAATAATTGATTTACTTCCACACAATGTTCTTCTTGCTGTGGTGTTGGTGAATTGCACAGGGTGAGGTTTGGATTCGGCTCCAAAGAACCTAGGTCCACTCTCGTTGCAATCCGTGCATTTCTTGTCCTATGCCGTTGATTCTCGCCCTGACTGTGACTTTGGTTCCACAACATGTCACCATCGAAGGAGAGGCCCGTGCGGCAGACACACATGATGCTCATGGATGGACATGACATTATTATTGGAGCCTTGGACCTTCTGGAGAAATAATAAAATTCTGGCCAAGCATGCAAGAATAACTAACTACCTCCAGAAGCATTGCCTTATCCACTTTTCGTATCTAAGTATCTACCGATATATATTCTTTTTATCAGTGCTTGGCCTCTACGCTCATTTTTATCCTGACAATTCTCCAGATACGGCCTCCCTCCCTTTACAACAACCCGAACAGTGATGCGATGCTCCAAAATACAAAGAATACTGTTTAGTGTTCACCAGCCGTCCATACCTTGTGGGGAACGTTACAGTTCCTATGCCTTAACACAGAAGAAGCTAATTCCATGGGAGAAACTAGTGAAAGATCAAGACAATGAAGCGGCCCGGCCGTTGGATTACGTATATATAAATCTTGGCCTGAACTTTGACCGACATGTGAGATATGCAACTGGGGTTAAATATATAAACGCTGCGCAGTCGGAAATGAGCCAAATTCTTGCAGAGAGCTCGACTGTTAAAAATTCCATTTTTGACCTAAACGCCGCTTGGAACAACGCCAAACAACAAATAAGCAAATGTCACTGGCGTCCAAATAATGGCACCTCTTTCGACAGTGGTTACCCTCCTCGCGATGCCAGTCGCATTAATGGCAGCAGCGTTCCCCGGCGATGAATCTGCAAGCCCCAGAATTATTGGCGGAACCGCGGCCAGATATGGTCAACTCCCTTCCATGCTTAGTACATCAGTGAATGGAAAGCGAAGTTGTGGAGCTACATTGATCGGTCCCAAGGTTGCTATTACGGCAGCCCAATGCGTTCCCCCACGCAACGAGACAGTCGTTTATAAGGTCCGCGCGGGGTCCTTGGTAAAAGCATCTTCCTAATTGTGTCAGTCATTGTGCTAAATGGTCTATAGCAATGGGACAAGGGGGGAAGAGAAGCCGTTGTAGAGTCTTTTATTACCCCGCGAGGAAACTCCTCCTTGTTTGGTGACATTGCGATTTTGATATTGAAAACCCCCATACGACAGACTCTGATAAGAACCCGTTACGCCAGGCTTCCTAATCAAGGATCAGATCTCTCCCCTGGGTTCCAAGGAGTAACAGCGGGATGGTGCGTATATTCTTTTCCTCGACTAGAAGGCATAGCGCTCATTCTTGAAATAGGGGAACAACAAACGAAGCCAAACCAAATGAAACCGCTTCCAGGTTGCGAAGGGTGACGGTCCCCGTTATTTCGCGTATTCATTGTCGGACAATATATGATCATGTCAACGATCATCATATATGTGCAGGCGCAGATGGCAGAGATGCCTGCATTGGCGATCTTGGGGGCCCTCTGTATGATAGAAGGCGCAGAGTGCTTCATGGAATTGTATCAAAGGCTAAAAGATGTGGAGTGGCTGCCCAGCCAAGGCTGTACACAAGAGTTGGCCTGTATGTGGACTGGATCAAAAGCCATACTCCCCGTTGAGTCGAAACTCCCCAGGAATCCTAAGGGGTTGTGAGTGCAGCTAGGCTCTATTTCCCAGCGATAACGCTGGCTTTTTTAATTTGGGAAAGGAGCCTCTTATTCAGGCTAGATGGCGTACATGCCAGTATATGCCATAATATATTAGATTGGAGTGATAATCAGTATTTTCATTGTTGTCACCTCCGTTGAAATTGCTCCCATAGTTGAGATGTGGGAGAAAAATCGTCTAGCAAGTATTTTGGCTCAGGGCTGTCGACCTGAGTCCTGCAAAGAGGACCGCGTCCAGGCGTCAGTGTGACCTAAGGATTAGCAAACAGGCGTGGCAATTATCCTTCAATAAGGCATTAATTCTGCACAGCTCCATTAGAGTTTTCTTCTTCCTGCTGGAGAGGACAAAAACATAAGTACACCGCAGTTGAGTTTGGGAACATGGTTCTGGACTTATTAGTTGAACGAGGATTTATGCAAATAATGCTGAGCAGCAAGGAAGGGTAGCTCATTGGTAGCAGTTGACGACCCCCGCTTGAATCTAGACTCTACTTTACATATATTTTTTTTCGGGATAATAATATGAACTGTTTCTTTTCTCAGATGTACTCCGTAGCGTTGACGGGTTTAGAGCTCGATACCTAAAATAGCCCCTTGCTCCAGGGAAGCCTGCTAAGCTTTTTACGCGCCGACACCCCTATGCAGTGGGCCACTGACACCCGAGGCCGCCAATAACAGGCCAGCCACCCCTGTGTAAAACCTATTCTGTGATGATCAAACATCCAGGTCAACAACTGGGCAGACAACTGTTTTACATTGTACTTTGTTTTGGGTTTCTACATTCTCTCATAGGATAGAAGTAACAAGAGTCAGTGAATGTTGTTAAATATATCTCCTGTCCAAAAATGACTCTTCCAATCAGCTTCTATGCTTGGGTGTTCTAAACTTTTGTAGTGAATTTGCCTATGCGATGAGGATCATTCACAATTAGTGCCGCTAGAAAGCTTCATAAATGGTTGAAATCCAGCATTCCAGGCATGTTTGCTATCGATAATAATAAGACATTTTTCGCAGGCCCATACTATCTGACTACCTTTACCATTTTATCACTCTCCTAAACCCAGACCGAGCCCGGAATAATACCATCCCAAATTCTATCTTATATTTACATATAAGCCCAGAGCAACCATGCGTGTTCAGCTTGTCTCGTTCGCTTTTATGTTGATTGGCAGCGCTGTTGGGAAGAGCTGGAGTAAAACCGAGCCGCCCCACATCGGAGTATTGCTTGGGCGTGGAGATAAAAAGGACAGCTCGTTTGCTCCTGGTACTTCGCCTGGCACTGGAAAGTCTTGTGGTGATGCCTTCGGAGCTGGGTTCTCCGAATGCGCCGCCAGCGGGGTTTGCTATAGTGCTGCCGAGGGCGACACTTGCTGCAAGGAAGGATGTAAGTAGCATCCGGCTTGTAAAGAACAATGCATGCTGATGTCTTAGCTAGACGCCTGTCCAGTGGGGTCATTTTGTTTGACTGCAGGCAAATGCTGTCCTAATGTAAGTACAGACAAAGCACGCCCTGGACTCGAAGTTGCTGACAGTCCCAAGGGTCTTTCTGTCGAGGAGTGTGCCGTTAAACTCAGTATATCCATAAAACCCACATTAAACTCGAAGATGCCGCAGCAACCATCTGTCATCACCAGCCAGGCACCGTCACCCAGCTCTCCCGCTGCAGTTCATCCGCCTGTGATTGTCGTCACCACGACTATTTGCCCGTATCCAACTGGAAGACCCAATATGACGACCACGAGTACCATAATTCCGACTGTCTCCACAGTGCCGACGGATGCGCCGATTTTTACGGGTGCTGCTAATCCTCAAAGCTCTGTTCAGGGAGCCGTGTTTGTGGTTGCTTTGCTTGGATTTCTTCGAAATTTTCTGTAGATAACTAGATACTGCATTTGAGCTATTCCAGGGTAGATGGTGAATGGATATTGTGTTCAGCAAGATCATGAATTCATTGGGCGTGCAAAATAATACCGCAGTCCAATTTCATGCATCGCCTTCTCCAACAAACTCAGGTGCCGCCGGATGCTTCCTGTCGCACGAACCGTTACGGGCTGGCCATTGCTTTATTATTCAGCTATAGGGCTCTGGATTAGGGCTAGAGCGGCTTGGAGCGGGGCATGGCAACCCCCGCGATTACCTCATAACACCTTGTGTGCTCCAGGCGGGTAACACCATAACAGAAAAATCTCTCCTCAACCTCCCTCCTCCTGCTTCTCATCTTTCTATCTCCCCACACTTCTGATTTTGTATCTAGATTCTCCTTGATAAATACCCATATTCTGTGAAGGCATTTGCCTCTTTTTGCGGCCGTAACTTTTCAAGCAATTTATTCACTTAACCCCACCATGCCTGGCTTCGACCAAGCCTCCTCCCTTAGTGCTTGGAAGCTCCTTGAGGAGTATCATGCCACCACTGGGAAGGATATTTCCCTGAAAGATGAGTTCCAGCAGGACTCCGAACGATTCAACAAATTCTCTCGCACTTTCAGCAACCCTGCAGACAGTTCAGAGATTCTTTTTGATTTCTCAAAGAATCTTATCACTGACGAGACCTTTAAGCTCCTTGTCAACTTAGCTAAGGAGGCCGGCGTCGAGAAACTTCGAGATGATATGTTCAAAGGAGATGCCATTAATTTCACAGAGAATCGTGCCGTATACCATGTCGCCTTGCGAAATACGTCCAACTCGCCAATGCAGGTCGATGGAAAGAGCGTCGTCGAGGAAGTCAATGCCGTCTTGCAGCATATGAAAGAGTTTTCAGAGCAGGTTAGGAATGGCGAATGGAAAGGATACACTGGGAAGAAGATCAAGACTATTATCAACATTGGGATTGGTGGTTCAGACCTGTATGTATGCTTCGAACCTCTGACACAAAAGTACCTGAAATACTAAAGCCAATGAACTAGTGGCCCCGTTATGGTCTCGGAGGCTTTAAAGCCATATGCCGACCGCAACCTCACCCTCCACTTCGTTTCTAATATAGATGGGACCCATGTAGTCGAGGCACTGAAAGAATCCGACCCTGAGACTACTCTCTTCTTGATCGCGTCCAAGACTTTCACCACTGCTGAGACCATTACCAATGCCCAGACTGCGAAAACCTGGTTCCTCGATAGCGTTAAGGACGAAGCACATATTGCTAAGCATTTTGTCGCTCTCTCTACGAACGAAGCTGAAGTTACGAAGTTCGGCATTGACAAAAAGAACATGTTTGGCTTTGAGTCGTGGGTTGGTGGGCGATACTCCGTGTGGAGTGCAATTGGCCTGTCTGTTGCTCTCTATATCGGCTTCGACAATTTCCACCAATTTCTGGCCGGCGCTCATGCCATGGACAAGCATTTCTTGGAAACCCCTCTAGAGCAGAACATCCCGGTCCTTGGAGGGCTTTTGAGTGTTTGGTATAGCGATTTCTTTGGCGCCCAAACCCACCTAGTTTCTCCTTTCGATCAGTATTTGCACAGATTCCCTGCTTATCTTCAGCAATTATCCATGGAGAGCAATGGCAAGGCCATCACCCGATCTGGCGATTTTGTTAAATACTCTACTGGCGCAATTTTGTTTGGTGAACCTGCCACCAACGCTCAACACAGCTTCTTCCAACTTCTTCACCAGGGTACCAAGCTTATTCCCGCCGACTTCATCATGGCTGCCGAGTCACATAACCCAGTTGACGGTGGCAAACACCAGCGCATGCTTGCTTCGAATTTCCTTGCCCAGGCTGAAGCACTGATGGTTGGAAAAACTCCGGATCAGGTTCGTCTCGAAGGTGCTTCGGATGACCTTGTTCCCCACAAGACTTTCACTGGCAACCGTCCAACTACCTCGATTTTGGCGCAGAAAATTACACCTGGCGCTCTTGGAGCCCTTATTGCATACTATGAGCACGTTACCTTCACTGAGGGAGCTGTTTGGAACATCAACTCGTTTGACCAGTGGGGAGTCGAACTCGGCAAGGTCCTTGCGAAGAAGATCCAAAGCGAGCTGGAGACTCAGGGTGCTGGAAGCGGCCACGATGGTTCGACAAGCGGACTCATTGCTACCTACAAGAAAAAGGCCGGTCTTTTGTAGACTCACTTCTAAAGGGAGGCTTTGTTGCGAAGGATTCTATCTGATTTTCCGAAGTATTGTTTAATGAAAATAAACGAGCCTACTCCATTTTATGATGACTAGATACTTGAGTTAAAGAAACAATGTCCAAAAACAAACAATCAATCAACTAACTATGTACTACGAGATTTTATCCTTTTGCAGAACATGGAGAGACAACAAACAATACTAAACCCCATACTTTAAACAAAGGTCTGATAGCGATGTAATACGGTGCACAGTATTTGATATTATTTCAATAATTGTTCCATCCGCTTCATTCCTCCATGGAGTGGCGTAGTACCGACTTTTTTTTCTTGGGGCTGTCTTTTGGTGAGGCCAGATTGATCTCAACCAAGCCTAAGTTCCACACTCCAAGGCGCTCGCGGACCTCCCAAACCGCAACCACTCCTTAAGACGCTTGAAAGGAGTGGACCTTTTTTTTTGTTCAGATATGTCTGCAATGCACAGTAGAACACCAGCATTAGCACGGCATAAATGTGTTGGAGCAGGTCTACTGCTCCTCTGCGGCCAGCTGGCAAATGCTGGGAAATTGACACATTCCCACGATTTTGCAAAGCGCACATATAGATATGGAGAGAAAGTGCCAATTAGCTGTTTAAATCGGACTATGTGAGTATTGCGCTAAGGAATAAATGGGAGTTTCGGGCTAATTGTCTCCTTTTGCAATCAGAGATGCTGGTGAACATGTATGCGCCCTAATTTCGTCCCGCTGCTGATCACATCCATTGAAACAATATTTACATAGCGGTGACTCTACAGAAATTCCGCCTTGCAATTGAAATCTAACAGTTTGTTTTACCGTACTATATAGATAAGCGACTCCTCAGGCAATCTCCAATACATTCCATTCCCAATCTGCAACGAGACCCACGATCCGCTTTCCTTCCACTACGGTGTCTCAGAGACAGTAACCTGCACTATCGACTCCCTCCCAGATACTCTCTACCATCTTTTTGAATACTATGTTCACTCCGACGCTCCCTTATCATGTCGCATGCCCACTGTCCCCCTCCTCGAGCCCAACAAACACGACGATCCCACGTCCACCGGCGAAGGTACACATGACTCTTTCATGGATGGAGGCGCCCCTGCACCGTTTACCCCGTTGACTATGGCGTTGCAGGGAACGCTGCAGAAAAGTCACTTGCACATTTGGTCAGATATGAATGTCCTAATTCATCAGTCAATTGAACGGCATGATAAGAAGACGGCTAAGGGGAAGCGTGTACCAGGACAAGTTGTTGCCGGGGCTGCGTATTCAATACCGGCGATGAAGACCGTTGCTGAGGAAAAAAAGAAGAAGAAGAATGTGAAGAAGGCGGATGCGGCGAACATGCGTGTCACTTGGGACCCGTGGAAGCCGGGCGAGGGAGCAAAGGTTCTTCGCGGCGAGCCCCTGACGTTTAAGTTTAGAGTGAGCTGGACTCAAGAGAGTGATTTATCTGCATTGGTAGCAGCACAGAACCGTCCCATGACATTGATTAGTGTTTTGTATAACTGTTTTCTGTTTGCTGTGGCTGCATCTATCGGCGGGATGATTGTATTATGCTGGGAGCAATATAGGCGGAGAAAAGGTCGCCTCTGGAATGGCGATGGTATTTTGGGGCATTCTGCGTCCGGTCAAGGTGGGTTTTTTAGCCGAAAGGGACATGGTGTATCTATCAACCTGAGCTCCGGATCAAAGCCGAACGGCTATGGAGGATATGGATTCGATGGCAAGAACGCTGTAAGTTCAGGAGGATATGGAGGATATTCAAGTGGGAAGCGAGATTGACATCTGAATATATCAACTGTTCTGATGAATTGACATGAGTGTACAACAAATTTCCTTTGCATATAAAGAAAACGAGAGATAAATATGTGATCGAGTTTTCTACTGATACATAGAAATGATACATCCTTTTGAACAAAGATGCCGCGAGTTTTAGGTATTTGATATGTTCAGGCGCTTGTATTCTAAGATACGCCAAGCGAAGCTCCGTATACACCCAGTCAAGTCGGCGTGATCAATGCAATCCTCACCAACCTTGCTTCACAAGTTTTTGACATCTCATAACCTGTGCGCGAAAAGCAGCCTTGAACAACTTCCTCCACCGCTGCGATCTCTTTTCCTTCTTTCTCAGTCCTTTCCGAACATGATATCTCTGCTCTCTCTCTTGGTTGCGTATGTTATTCATAGCACACCGGCTCTCCATCATGACAAAGGCTTTTGCAACATCAAGCCCGCGAATATGATCCACTGCCACCGTCCGCCCCAGTGATGGCGAGAGACGTAGTTCAAATTGCGCGCTAGACATTTTGGAAGTGGAAAGGCCTCCCCGAAACGTGTTTGTTTTCTCGTACATATTCAAAGCGGATCTAATATCTTGTGCCCAGGGACTTTCACCGCGCGAGTGTTGCCCAATTGGCGTTCGTTCTGGTCTCGCTTCGCTCTTCTGGCCGCTTCCGGAGATAGCACGAAGGATGCTGTCGACTTGGCTGAGTTTATCTTGCGAGGTTGAGCTGTGATTATATCTGGGTGGTGCAGTATTTGGTTTGGAAGTCTTAGCGGGTCCGGTGGAGGCTGCATCGGATGGTATGCCAGTGAATGTGCGTTTCCACAGAGAGTTGACTGAAACGGGGTAGGATGCTGGGTCGAGACAATTTAGTTTTGAACGATATAAAGATGAACGAGGTATAATGTTCTGAGATATCGAAGTTGAACAATGTCGAATTCCAGACGGGATTATTGACTTTGGGATGGAGGCATTGATCAGCCGCCGGGCCTCCATGGCGGATGATTAGGAAGTAAAAGCCACCAAAATGGCGTGGACGAGACGGCTATACTGTTTTGCGGGGTTTGATAGGATATGGAACAGATGTAGGATGTGTTAGATAATATTTCTCACACCTTTATGACCTCCTGGTCAGCAATTTCGATCATAGCTGATTCACGTGACAAAAGAGTAAGTTACGCCAAATAAGGTTCTGGAAAATTAAAGCCCCGAGAAATTAGTCATCTGGCTGTACTGGAGATAAGATAAGGAAAGCCCGAGGAATCGTACAGAGTACTTCATTATGAAGACTGATGGATGATCTTCACTCCTGCTTGATTACACCAGCCTCGATAGCAGCCGGACATCAGTACTAGATCACTAAAGGACACCTCTGCCGGGCCACGATGACTTCTCTCACAGTTGCATCCATACCCCGCATGACGAGAGAGGTTCTCTCCTCTCTCATTCTGTCCTCCTCTAATGCCGATCAAATCGCAATTATAGATGTTAGGGACTCAGGTATATCTCATAAGCCTTGAATTATGGTGCCTTTTTAGACCTACTTTTGCTAATGAATGCTTCTACCTCCAATCCCAATAGATCACGTTGGCGGTCACATTTTCTCCTCCACCTGGATCCCTAGTTCCTCGCTCGACGCCCATATTCCCGAGCTTATCCGAACCCTCAAAGATAAAAAAAAAGTCATTTTTCATTGTGCACTTAGCCAGCAGCGTGGCCCTTCTGCAGCGCTGAAATATGCCCGGGAGAGAGCCAGGGTAGAGGGTGGGGCCGAGGCCCCCTGTCAAGATGTTTATGTACTTGATGGGGGATTTTTGAAATGGCAAGAAAAGTATGGAGATGATAAGAGGTTAACAGAGGCATATGTTAAAGATATTTGGTTGGAGTACTGAATGCACTACGGAGTATTTTATATAAATAGCGATAGAGTATCTTGCATGGGCAATGATAAAATATGGCATACATATCTTCAAGGCGAATAATTCAAGATGTTTTTCTTCTAGAAATTTGCAGTACTTTTTAAATACAAGCGTGGCTTTAGGCTATAACCTGGCCACCAAAGCCAACGGGCCTTCTTGTACCTTCGGCCTCAGGGACTATCGCCATGGCCTTATAGATCCGTCCCATACCACCCCCTCCCCTCTCAACCAGCCGTTTCCATCCGGTCTCAATGTTTCTTCTTCTCTCCACATCCTCAGCACGTTTAATTAATTGCGTTGCCCTTTCTGAAATACCCAAAGCCTGTAAGAAACTTCCCTGTTCTGTAGGCCCATGAACTTCAATACCAGGGCTAGCACTAATTGCAGCATCGGCAAGAGCGATGAAATCTACATCGGCACTCAAATCTACCTGACCAGGTGAAGCAAATGGCGAAACTTGTTTGTGGTCCTTAATACCACGTAACGAGTTGACGGGTATCGAATGGGACGGGCCATAATCCAGAATCAAGGCGGCGCCAGCCGGCTTCCTCGTTTGGCTCCCACTCACGGACCCTCCAATGCGACGCGCAAATTCTTGCACATAAGCCTGACTCTCAGGGCTTATCTCAATTGTAGATCCTCGTGTCGCCTTTAGAGCCTTGTAACGGTCGGACATTTCAGGCATTACCAGTGAAGCAGGAGTCGATGACTTTGCGAGTGATAGCCTGAATTCTAACCTATTTTCAACATGCGCCTCAGTTGCCGGGTTAACTGATACGACTAATTCTCTCCACTGAGTTGGGCTTGAGAGTAAGGGTTGGTGGAGTGTTGCAGGCCCAGTAGGAGTGTTTATGGTGTTTGGTGCCGGCGACGCAACAGATTGGAATGCATGGATAGGGAGGGCGTCAAAAAACTCATGGGAAATGATGAAAGGTACATCGTTATCGCCTAGTTTGAACACAATTGTCAGCCCTTATGTCTTCCGAGAAAACCTGCAGGACGTACTTTGCGGGAGTGATCGTATATGCTCCGTCCATATAACTGGAACACCTAGGTGCTTGCTTGTGCTCCGATAGCCAAATTCCAGATCCTCCATCGGTGCATCACCACAGAGCATTTGTTTCTGTATTTCGCGAAGCGTTGGACTTGCCTCGATGAGGTTTACAGCTTCGATACTTGAAGCAAAGGCTTTGAAATTTCGAACAGACTAAAAGAACAGGTCAGCTATTGCTCATCACAATGCGCGATAACTACGAAATGTGGACCGCGACGTACCCGAAGCATATCAGCCATGAGTGTGCCCCGGCCGGGGCCCACCTCGATCAATTGAACGCCACTACTCCGTCTTCCCTGTGCCATCCATTCCGTTACTGTCCAGACGCCCAGCAACTCTCCAAACATCTGAGAAATCTCGGGGGAGGTAACAAAATCCCCCCGTCGCCCAAACACTTCGGTTCCGACCGATCCTCGAGATGTATAGTAGCCACCTTCTGGGGATGTCAGGCATTGCCGCATGTACGCAGCAATAGAGACCGGTCCCGTAGTCTAGTTCACAAGGAGTTGTCAGCCAGGCGCATAAGATAACCAATATTAATATGCGGAACTCAACAAACGTTAATGGCGTCGGCAATGGTCTTTGAGAGTGGCGTTGACCATTGCCTCTGGGGGGCTGTGGACAGGCATCGAATAGTATGAGATGGCGTTGCCAGCCGACAGCTTCGACTGGCCCTTGCCAATCGATTCGCTATCTGGGAGGCACCATTTCTCATCTTTTGCGGACGAGAAGATTTGTTTGTGGCACGGAATTGGGAGATTGAAGGTTGACAGTTTGCGGCTTTGCGCTCTCGGGACACTGCGGAGGATCATTTTTAAGTCCGGAATTGCGACGAGCCGGCTTGACGTGCCGAAAAGTCATTTGAACCTCGTTGGGTTTCTACGCGACATTTTCCTAGCCAGTATCTGCTATTATTGCTATCTTTTTAATAATGAGCAGCTATAGAGAGATGCAACTGTAGTCTGCTACTCAGTGAATGCCCACCCGCCTGCCTTGTATGTACTTCTAACATATGGACGTCGGGAATGGTGTGGATCAGAACAGCTTGGTCTGCTGATCGTTTCTCCTAGCACCTTTAATCTAGCTCTTGTTGAGATTGCTAGACTCACATAGTGCCATCCTGCCTGCTAACTGCAGCTTCAACCCTACCAATACATCGTGCAAACGGTGCCGCAATAAATCCGCCCTAATATTAGGGATCTGTGCCTCCAAGCCTTCGATCCGACTCTTTAACTCATCTATGGCCTGCACATTCTGGTCACTCCTACGCTCATCAATTCCTTCATCTGTTACATTTTCCATGACGAGCTCCCGCCCAAAATATTTGGCAAACTCCTTAGCAATGTTGATATCATTGATAGCGAATATCACTTGCCGGATGCCCCCCCACGTTTCTCTATCAAGGTTCCTCCTGTCCTTAGGATTCTTTCCCCAGTCATTTTGTAATACCTTTTTCCATGCCTTTGCTATCTCTTTAACAGGATTGCCATATGCTCCGCAACCCCACGCGCCCAGAACAACACTGTCGATGTTTTTTGCTTGGAATATTCTCATGACCGCTCTCATTTTCCTTTCAGCCATTTCCCCCTCAGAAGAGTTTGAATAGCATGAGCCATGTTCTTCGACTTCTGGAAACCTGAGCATGGCCGAACTCACAACCCCTATATACTTTCTTTCCCCTTTTACTAAATTATTCCCTTCAAAAGTGCCGTCTCGAAAGATCAGCACATCTGGGGTCCACACACCACCAAGTTCAGGGAGTCGGTAAAAGGATTCGTGCAACGAAGGGTATAATGTGGTACGCACACAAAGGAACTCTTCCTGCGATGTAGCGCCGTTCAAAACACCGCCCCCTGGCCGAAGCGGGGAGGCCATGTTCAAGACTCCAACTGTAGCCTTTGGAGAATTCATTTGGAGACGAAGTGCCGCAGTAATCGTGTCAACGGTATGAATGCTGATATTAAACTGTGTGGTCTCGCTAGGGCTTTGAGAGCCCGCTCCACCCTCGTTCGGGGGAGGGTCTGAGATCAACTCCGCACTCTCAATACCTCTTCGAGCTCGTGCATCTGATACTAACAGGGCAGGTATAGACTTGTTGATAATAGCTTTAGCTTGCTTTGCTCGGGCATCTTTGCGGAAAGCTTGTGGCTGGAGGACAAGAGTGGGTTTATGCCGGCCCATACTTTAAAGATTATATGATAAAGAGAAGTAGAAACCGGCCCCTGGGTTAATTTCATCCACAAACAATCTCAACAGAAAGTGGAATTTGCAGAATGCTGCTTGCTCATTTCTCATGGTGACTAACAACCTTGGTGGCAAATACACGTGACGTCATTTCGAAAAGTGGCGCGTTATTGATAGGGAAACACGTCGCAGACAACCTCGTGAATTTATAAATAGATTTTGTAGATCGAAGACCATTTCATAGAATTCTGTTATACTACGTTCTCACACGGGATAAAAGAATGTAGGCGTGAGACGAGAATCAGAAAAAAGGGGGCTGAAAAGAACTCGAAACAAATATGTGATTTGTCCCTAAGTCAGCTGGGTATCTTGATAGCGAGGAACAACATTTTTTCTCGGTTACACCCGCAGACACCAAGGACATAGTCCCTCTCCCGAGTTCCGGATAATAATGCGGCAAAGGAAGGCCGAGAGAAGTACCATTTCGCTCTTGTAACATTTCGCTAATAGAGAAGACAAATGTTGTACATGGGTCTATTGTAAGTGCACACCATGGTCCAGGAATTTCCAAAAGGTCCAACGCTCCTTTTGTTGTCCAATCTGCTTGGAGTGGGTATGAATGTGCTTTTATCCATAATAGGTTAAAGAAGAAAAAAGTGATCAATCATTATTAGGTAATTTCTGGCTTGATGCGAATATGCAAAACTTTTCCATCCGCCTACATGGTAAAAGGATCGGTTAGCAGGAGAAGGTTTGCCTTGCAATATGTTGGGTCAATCCACCTTTTGGTTATTGAACTTAGTAACAACATTGTCCGCACCACGGCGATCTGCAAATGTCATTTCAGCCATAACGGCAGGGTATGTTGCGATAAGTGTACATCTTAACATCTGTCCCCCAACTGGCTCAAACGCGGATTGAATATCTTCTGCCGTTGTCCCAAAGGCGAAGTTACTTCCAAGAACAACGGTAGGGCCGGTAGCGCGACCTCTAATATTCATGTCTCGTTCTGGTAGAGCCGAGGAGAGCAGACGGGCTTCCCGAGTAGCGTGGCGGGGCGGGGGTCGTCTCGTAGGCTCCTGTTTGCCGATGCTTACCGACACCGAGCGCTGAATCAAGGTAACATACTCAGTGGCTGCTTTTGAAAGTAAAACGAAATTAAACAAAAAGTTTGGAGGCCAGGTACCTTTTCAATTCTCTGGGAAGCTTCTTTCCTGGACGGCTTCTTCGCAGCTGGTGAATTTGCACTTCTAATCTGGCTGAAAAACTTGTCTGTCGAAGCTTGCTTCTTTCGTCTGTCGCGAGCTGTGGAAATAGCGAGGGCTGTCAGGTTTTATCTAGAATTGAGGCAAACGGCTATTCAAGAAGAGAATGTCTACCGGCATGAATAATAGCCTCAAAGGATGGGGCAGCTTTGGGGGTCTTCTTTCTGGGTGCCATGATCGTATTGTCCGACAATTCTAGTCACAAGTGGGAAAAATGCAGGTACCTGCTAAAAAAACAGGAATAGACAATGTTAAATAATGATGTTTTGCAGAGAAGAACTCTGTACGGAGTAGTTACCCCATTTGCAGGATTCAATCAGCAATTGATGAGCAGTCTCCAAGGGTGCTGGGCCTTCCACGTGACACGAAAAGCTAGCTTAGGTAATATAGGTAGCTATAACAGAGCTAACGAATTTAGTTAGCCGCCTTCTAAAAATACATAAGAGCATCCCTACCTAGCTGTCTTGGCACAAAGCCAAAGCTACAATACTCTGTGCCAACCTCAGTACTCTGTACTCCGTACCTCTGCGTACCTCTCCGTACCCCTACGGCTGCAAGCATTCACTGCTTTGCCTGGCATTTGTGCCCAGCTCACTGCTGGTGCGTGGTAGTTGAGGTTCTTGCATTTTAATCACAACAATATGACTAGTGCAAACCAAGACCCTTCAATATTCAACAGTGCTTCACAGCTACAGGTAACACTGCTAGCTCCGGAATATGCCTTGCAGATATCAGTAACATGTCATGATGATTTGCCTCTGTATCTAAACAGCGCCATTCGGATACTTTCATTTCATCGCTATTGAGATCTCGGCCCCAAAAGATTTGCTCCTTCCCTCGAGCCTCTCGCTCTTGACGCTTCAAGAATCTCTGCTTGAAGTTAGGAACTTCTCTCGCTTTCTCCCCTTTATTTATTTTGTTAACCTACTAATTTTGAGCTCTCGCTTTTTGCTCTTGTTTCCGCAATTCGATCAACTGGCCCTGTTTTCAGATCAACCCCAAAATGTCCCGGTTTTGGCATCGTCTTTTGCCTCAACAAGCCTGCCCCAAGGGTAATGAGGATGAGACAAGCCTCTCTAGCAAAAAGACACGACTAAGTCGTCGAAAAAGCATTTCACACTTTTTTATTCCACCTACCAAACATCCATCAGATGCTTCTGACCAGCATTTGCCCGTAGAGAAACGTGATCCCTTATCTACAATTGCCCACCAAGAGACGATTCCCTATCCTCGTTACAACGTTAATGACCCACGGCATAATCCAGAAGCTGTGAATATATCTAGGAACACCTTTTTGCCCGTGCTTCAATATGCTGATTCCACTTCCCAGCACGAAATAACCTCACGACCGGCTTACCCAAAAGATATTTCGCCTTCGAAATCACTTCGTCGAGTACGTTCAAATTTACGGTCACTTGCTGGAAGTGTTCGATTGAAATCTTTTTTCAATCGCAGAGAGATTCCATCTTTTATAGGCCCTGCCCTCTCCGAGCATGACGAGTCAGAACGTGAACTTTCAGCCCAAGAGCCCAAAAAAAATGCTTTCGTACACCGTTCTCTTGCCATAGATATTCCATCTTGTTCAGTTATGGACTTGAGCGATTTTGGATCTCCTCCCCTCAATAATTCTCCTGACAATTTTGAACCGAATAGAGAAATTCTATTATACGAACCAAAATACGAACCAAACTCGTCATCTATACAAGGAACCGTGCGTGTTGCAAATGTACCCACAATCTCGCTTTTAAACACAAACAGTGTTCATCAACCTAGGAGTCACGATATATCGGCCTGCCACTTACAAACCCGGAAGAAGGAAATGGCAATTCGACAAATCCACCAAACTCTAAAATGTGCTAATATCTCTGACGCCTCATGTAACAGCGCCAATTCACCAGATTTTCTGGGTCAAGAGGACTTGTTTCATTTGAAGCTAGCCGATTTATCCCCAGTTTCTTCGAAAAATAAAGACAACAGCCGCCAAGCTGCCACACCTCCATTACCCCTTAAATTTGACATGGACCCGGCACATACAAACGCTAACTCAACTGGTTTGAAGCCGCCTCTCAAGGCATATCATACCCCCGCTGAAGACGCGGGTCCTCGTCACTCTTTAGAGCCCGGAATTTGGAAAACCAAAAGCTCTCGTGTATCGCAAATATCTATCCGGACACCGTCTGAGTGTAACACTGAGTTTGATTCCAATTTTGGCACTGATTTATGCCGAACAAGTTGCTACGGGGTTAAGACAGAGAGTACTGAGGAGAACAACCCTTTGCTAATGCCTTGGTTAGCTTCAATGGAAAACTTCGGACACTCTGGCTGTGTAGGTGTCTCCCATGCATCAGATCGCTCAATGTCCCCTAAAAGCATTAAAAGTTTCAACTTTTCTCCTCCTTTGGCGGCCTGTGATTGTAATTTAGTCGAAAATCGCGAAGAAAAGGGAAACAAAAACGAGGACCTGGCCGCCGCGAGCGGCAACTATAGTATAACGATATCGGGCGGCAATACCACACCAGTGATAATGTCTGAGCCCCACGATCACAAAAATGACCGTTCTCAGTCTTCTGCTCTGAAAAGCTTTGGCAGTAGCAATTTCAACGCCACAAAATGCGAATGGTGCCAAAAAACTGCAGAACAGCCATCTACAGAATTGAAATCCATGGTTGAAGCTGTCGATCGAAATTTTGGTCTCGAAATTGACCTCGCTTCGAAAGAAAATCGAAGGTCGCAATCAGTGAAGATGGGGTTGTCTGAATCGCAGCGCGAGGAGCAATTTCGCCTAAAAAGGAATTGCAAAGAAAGACAATACCTGCACGGGAATTCGGGTAGCCCAGACCCCGAGTGCAACTCTCTCTAAAAAGAGTCTCCTGTGTTTCCCTAGCGTCCTTCATGGGCCAGCCAAGATACCCATGCCATCAACAGATAAACAACACCACTGTGCCACAGCGGATCATGATGCTATGACAGGAGAGAGTCGTGTACTTCCAAGTCAGGAGAAACCTCATCATCACTCTTACGCCCCAAATTAACCTGGGTCATAAGCCGTTCAACATATATGTATACTCATCTTCAATTCTATGTCGACTGCAGCACACACAGCAAAACGGAGGACAGCTATGCCGGCACACCACTAAATGATTCTCGCTATTTTGGTCGACTCATTTCATTTTAGTTGTTAGCAGATATGATTAGATATGACTTTGTTGTGATTTGTGATCGAAGTTCTCTGCGCTCTGTCAACTACGCTATTCATTACCGCTGGGCACAGATTCAGTTTTGGTAAGCCTCCAGATTGTGGCAATGTCATTTTAAGCGGGCCTGTAGCATCCATGGCCATGTGCCTGACTGTATGTTATTATTTAGATACATTGGACTGTCTTCATGTCTAAACAGTTCGCCCATGATTGCATGCATCCATGAAGCATTCTCACGTAACTAACTAATCAATAAGTGGCTTATCACTATGGAAGCCATTGGATAATAGAAAGTAAATGAACAGGAATTTAATGATTGTGCAATTTGTTGAGCTATGGTAGAAAAATGATGAAAAGCAACAGGAATCCCTGAGAAAAATTGAAATTAATACCATGGAGATTAATATAAAAAAAAACAAGCAAGCAACCAAGTATAGAAAATCACGTATTACAATAGACCTAGTTGACCTCGCGAGAGTTTGGGGAAGTGAACACAGATCTTTGCTGAAACAATAAACAAGATATGCAAAGCTTTGCGAAAAGGCGTTGCGAGACAAGTAGTAACGAAACCAAGGACACCGGTACATACGTTTGAAAAAAAAAAAAAAAAGGGTAAATAAGATCCATGACAGTAGCACCATATAATAAAAAGATAAATAAGAATGAAACCCCTTTTCTTTTTGCCCAGGCAGGCCCCTCTTTTTATCCTCACTTTTATCCTTCATCACAGAGGGACGTAGGTCAAAAAAAGAAAAACAAGCAAAAAAAAAAGAACCAGAGCGGCCAGGCAAAACAAAAAAGTGATCTCGGGTATTCCGTCTTCGGAGGTCAAAAAGAAAGAGGGGAAAAAGGGTAGTTGAGTGAAGAACAAAAGGTGGAAAAAAGAACAACCCGCGTAAATGCAATACCATTTCCATTCCACCTGGAAAATAGTTCAGGAGCGCCTTATTCTGCTCTTTTTTTTTTTTTTTTTTTTGCTTCTTCTTTGTCTATTTAAAAGTTTTAGGCCTGGAAGGAGGGAAGGCTGCTTTATGGCTGGTTCTTGGACGACCAACAGACAGTCCCGCACTCCCAACCCTGTTCATGCTGATGATGATCAAAATCACGCCATGTCCCATGTATACATACGGGCATATTAATAATGCTGCTTTTTGGGTATCCCGTTTTGTGGCCTCGGAAGCCGGTCACTCTTTGTGAGGTGGAGAGGCCGAAGTCTAGAGTTTTGAAATGCTATTGAGATGCTAGTGGCTGTATTCATGCAGCACCTGCACTATCGTCCTTCCCCGGGGCATTTGCTTGCTGCGCTTCCACAGCTGGTCGAGATTTTGTTATTTGTGGTGATGACGGGTTTGAAGGTGGCGACGTGGCAAGGGAATCTCCAGTATCCAGCCCGGCCAGAGCACTGCCCAGAGTGAAGAAACAAAGTTAGTAATCATGAAAGCTCAAAACGCGGAAATTCCTGGAAAGAAGGGGACTGCAATCCTCACCTGAATGCATTTGTGGAGGATGCAGACTCCTTATCGTCCTTCTTTCCTGCTGGAGGAGTTCCGGTCCGGCTGCTTGCTCCACTGTCTTCACCTCCACGAACAAGGTTTCCGCCGGGGCCGATCGTTCTGCGGCCACTGCTGCTCCTCGAACCAAGCAAATTAGACGGGCTAAAAGAGGTTGGCTGGTTTGTTGCCCTGGGTGCCTTCAGCCGTCGAAGGTCATCACTGCCAACTTTACTTGAGGCGTAATCCAAGGGGGGCTGATTTCCATAACCGCCAGAGAAATTCCGTGCATCCCCACGTCCAAGTCCTATACCACCGCTACCCCTACCAGTCTGTTGGCGTTTTCGTTCCATTTCTTGCTCTAGTTGGGCACGGGCAGCCTAAACACAGGTTAATTTGAATAATGACAGGTGCTCACTTGGCTTCCACTTACATCGTCTCTAATTTCTTGAATTGTCTTTGGACCTTTATCCGCGTCCTTGGAAAGCCAGTTGGCTTTTCGTAAATCAATAATGTCCTATGAAAATAGTTAGGATCAAAGGCTGTTAGAGTCTTTTGGATAACACCCACCATCAGCATAAATCGCAATCGACTTGGGAGTGCTGGTGTCTGGACCATCTTGTCGATTCGTTCGAAGTAAGCATTCATCATAATGTGGCCCTTATCAGATGATTTGTCCAAAGTAGCACCAATGGTGCGCAATAAGCTCGTCAAACTTTCGATTTCAGCCTCCTCCGGAACGCCCTCGTAGTCAACTAGTTTTTTGACACACTCATGCATAATTCTATCCGAAAGCATGCTGAGTTTGAAAAGTTCACCGATAAATTTGACTAGACCAAGTCCTCTTCGCTTGGCAGCTGCGGCAATGTAGTATTCGTCAGACAGCATGGCAGCCTCGTCGGTGGTGCCCTCTGGTTTCGCAGGAAGGTTGACCAACCAGCCACGCTCAAATTCCTCCTGGCAACGGTTCAAAAGGTATTTCCTAAAAAGGCTTCCACCGCAAACAACATTGCCATGTTTGTCTTTGATGTTCTCATCCTTTATAGCAGGGCTCATGCTTTCAAGCATGCGCATACAGAATTTGGCGTAAAGTGGAGCCCAGTGTGCCTCGTCGGTAGCCTTTTCAAATGTAAGTTGGATGACTTGTCTTAGAGTGCGGCCATCCGATTCGTCCTTGGATTGGGCAACGATGGCAAGAATCTGCTCGGAGATTTTATCGAATTTCTCAGGGGTCATCTTGTTTAGATTGGCCTTGACTTTGCCCTGTACAACATCCGGTGGAAGATGCCCATCTAGGCCAACCAAATTCTGAACCTTACCAGCACTGCGAGGCTTCCATCCAGAACCAGAGGGGGCGAGCGGTTCGATCTTAAGACCAGCTGTAAGCGGCATGGTCTTGTTACCCTCTTCTTCCTTCTTGCCAGATTTATGAGCTTTGCTTGCAGTGCGGCCACCACGATGGCTGCCGGAGCGAGGAGACCCAGGTATTTGCTGAGCAGTGGAGGAATTTGTCCGACTGATAGGAGGGCCCATGGTCAAGCCACCTGGTCCACGGCTAAACTGTCCAAAGTTGCCACTCAGGCCTGCACCTCCTGCTCCGCGCATGCCCGAAATTGGGAAGCGATCCTGACCCCCTGACGGCATTGTTTGCGTTCGTGTAGCGCCTTGGAACATACCCATCCGCTCGAATGTATTCGTTGCAATTCCAGGGCGAGATGGATTCCTTCCTGAGACAGGAGTTCGTGCAGAACCTCGCGAATCTGTAGATGTGTCACCCACAGTTTCTCGTACTTTGGTATCCCAATCAAGCGAGGGCTTTTCCTTAAATACATTTTGAAATTGGAGCAAGAATTCTTTATTGTATTTGAATTTACGATCCGCGGGGGCGTTGGTGTTTAGAGCAGGGTTAGGAGACACAATAGATGATGGATAAGAAATTTTGCTTGGGTCGTCAAGAAATCTGGCGGTCTGTAGGGACTTCAGGGCAGCACTCGGCTGCGGAGGCTCGACAGTCTTGTTAGTCTCAAGTTTCAAGGCGGCAGGCTTCTCCCGCTTGCCTCCAGGGACTGTCTTCGGGGGGCCCATTGACACATCTGAAACTGGCGTAGCGGCACCGCTTTCAGCAGGTGTCTCAATAGTAGGGGACTCGGTGGATGTGGCTTCTTTGTGCTTGAGGGCTGCGAAGGCATCTGCCTTCTCTTTCTTGGTGTTGTCGCTTTCTTCAGTAGCAAGCTTCTTAAGTCTGTCTGCCTCAGCTGCTTCTGCTGCCTCTTCAGCCTTCTTCATGTTTGCTTCGTAAGCTTCAGCCTCCTCCTTAGCTTTCCGTGCAGCTTCCTCCTTCTGTCGCCGTTTCTTCTCTTCGTACTCTTTCTCTTTGGCAAGTTCCTCTGCTTCCTTGGCAGCAAGCTCTCGTTCAATAGCATCGAAATCAATCTCATCCTCTTGAGGAGCTTCGGCTTTAGGTTCTGGTTTAGGCCCTTCCTTCTTTTCAGGCGCCTTTTCAACAACGGGCTCAGCTTCTTTTGGAGCTTCAGTGGCTGTCTCAACTGTCTCGGTAGGCTCTTTGCTAGTCTCATCGTCCTTGCTATCACTTAATTTCGAATCTTTCTTTCCTCCAGTCGCCTTCTCCGCTGCCATGCGCACGCTGTCCTGGAAAGATTGAATCTTTTCCTGCGCATCAGTTTTTAATTCTTGACCTCCGCGGCTGGAGGCGCGTGGAGGAGGAGTTGACGATAGAGTAGCACCTAACTTCACTGGAGAAGGAGTTGCACGAGGAGCCGGAGAACTGGCGGGCTTATTGAACGCCACGATGGAACCATCATCTGGGTTTTTAATGGTAACACCATGGGATTTCTTACTTGGCATGACAAACTCAGCGGGAGGAGCTGGGCTGTTGGTGGACCTATTCGGCGTGTGACTAGGGCCCTGATTGACAGGGACAGGCGGCTGCTGTCCATGGCTAAGGCTAGATGATGGGCGATCATTAGCCGATACTTGCGACGTTGATCGAGAGAGCGATACGCTTTGGACGGGCGTGTGATTTTGAACCCCATAGGTGCCTGGTGCGAAGGATGGTTGGGGGGGGATGAAGGGCGGCCGTGGGTGTGACGGTGGAGGTATATGTGCCATGGGCATGGGATACTGATATTGCGGATGATAATAATAGCCACTCGCATCATAGGTCGGTTGAGGATAGCCCTGAGTTTTAGACACTGTTAGATACGGTTCAAAATTTCCAGTTTTAGGTGATAACGCAGCAGGAAACGGTGGGATCTGATGTTTAGAAGTGATATATCGGGGAGCTAAGGGATCACGACGAATGCCTTGCTTATTTCTTGATGAATGATTTTTGGGGAAACGAATGGGAGGGTGTTGATTTACTTGTTGAGGTGCCATATTCTGTGAATATGCAAAGTGTGGTGCCTGCATCGGTGGGTTTGCCATATTAACGTGGGACATTGGAGGAGTCGCCGGGTTCGCATTCGCCATAACCGGAGTACGGGTGGTTTGACGGGGGGAGCTTGGGAAATTTCCGAGCTGTCGTCCTTGCAGATGATTCATGTTTGCATTGCCTCTCTGGTTATGAGGGGTTCTATAGCTCGGGCCTGGAGAGCTAAATGGTGCCTGGGACTGGTTAAAATTTCTTCCACGGCCACCTGGTGGATGGTATCCTCCACGTGGTTGACCAGTTTGAAATCCATGGCCACCCATATCTCCGTGTGAGGAGTGAACTGATTCCCGGCGAGCGTGAGTAGGAGGAGGGCCTTGTGATCCAGGTCGCATGTTTCTCTGAAATATTACAGACGAATTAGTATTCCCCAGAATTGTAATAGAAAGGCAAAATAACAGTGTAGGAACAAGCACACGGTCCCCTTACGTTCATGTCATTCTGGTCTCCAGAAAAGTTTCCGAAATTCACCATATTTCCAGGGCCCTGAAAGTGAGAGGGCGGCTGGCGGCCTCCGCTGAGCGTCTGCGGAATCGGGGAAGGGGAAGAGTCTGGCGAAGTGATACGATTGTTCATCGGAGCAATGCCTAGGGATTGCTGATTTGCTAAAACTGCAGCTCCCATTGCTGGAGAGCTTTGCGAATCGACAGCACCAAAACGAATAGTATTTTGTCGAGCCGAGATTGGGCCGCCATTTGAAATGAAGCCACTGGCCCCAGCAGCGCTGATTGTCACTGAGGGTTTTCGGGCATGATCGTTCGATGCGGTGTTTCCGTTGACGATGGTAGGGCCACCGGCACCGGGGATAGAAGTGCTTTGCATAGTCGGTTTACCATTCACTTGAGATGTTGAAGGCGACTGGCCATGCTGGGTCCCTTGGGCAGCAGAAAGATCAGAAGGGGCACTCGCCGAATCGCTCGTGGCGGCCTGCGAGAACGACTTTTTCGTTGCGCTGGCGTACGAGCGAGGGGCAGCAGCAGTAGGCGCGGACGGCAACGGCGAATTCTTTCCGCTGGATGTCCGACCCTGCGATCCGGCTTGGCTAGTTCGGGGTTGAGGTTCGAGGCCTGATGTTGGAGGGTTCGATGTCATTACAGGATGATTCGTTCAACGTTCGTGACTGGTAATATGAGGGCGCCGTAGTGTCGTGAAAACTAAAAAATGTGCCTTGCAACTCTAAGAGACAGGTCAGCACATCGGCTCCTTCACCGTAAGGTAGCTCAGAGATGGCACTAGATGAAATTCGAAAAAGGGCCGGAAAAAAAAGCTCAGCACCTGACATCTGTATCTGGTGGTTGTAAGTGAACCAAAAGCGAATATGTGCGTAATTAAGGGGAAAAAATAATTATGGCCGCCAAAGGCCAGGCAGGGAGGGCGCAGTATGAGGCTCAAATGGGCGTGAAAAAATCTCGCGAGATTTGAATTTCACTGCGACGCCGCGCCACTCGTCCACGATGCAAAAATGCCACGACAAAGCAAAAGAGGAAAACTCGGGATCCAGCACACCACTTACCAATCCAAGAGAATAGGCAGCTGAAGTGGAAAGTCGGGGAGTCGTGGCTAGATCTGCGCACACAGCAGGCTGGCAGAAAAAAAGAGATGAAAAGGGGAGACCACAGCGAGCGGACGGGCGAGTGAGCCTGTCTAACCGCGAATCGTCCTCCGTCAAATCAAGAGGAGGCACCGCCGCAGTACACTGGAGCGATATCTAAGTAAGGGTGGTGTAGTGTAAGGGTGTAGAAAGGGTGGTGGAGAGGAGAAGAAGAAGAGAAAGCGAAGGAGGTTTGGCAGGCAATTTTTTTTCTTTGGGTGGAAAACGAGAGCGGCCAGCAGAGTTCGCGTCACGCTCGCACCGTACCGTATAGTATACACCTCAATACGCGGCGTTTGCCCGGCGCCACACGGAAAGACGCCGAAATGTAACGGTCCATACCGGTATTACGCGTAAGGCCTTTTCCTTCTGAGCCTTGCGTACAAAGCCTGCGGCAGCAATCAGGCAAGGCGTCTGTCTGGCGGCAACGGCGGGCCAGCTCCAGAGAGATAGAGAGACGGAGAGCCTGGGCTGGGATGTCGTCGCCGTGAAGACCAGCCTTGGGCTTTTGCCGCGTCCCAGCACGGTTCGTCTGCATCGACAGACTCGGCTTCATTCTGTCCACAGTCCTGGCAAACAGCCTAGAAATGCCTCCAGCTCTGAAACCTTCCTTTGATACATTCACCACTCTCGCCACGTTCGATTCTTGCCCAATGAAGCGTTGGTACTAGAATCAAAATGTTCCAGGCCAGGACTGACGAATGTATCCAAGACGCCCTCAAAGAAATGCAACGATCGAACTTCAGAACATTGGATGGATTCTAAACATTCTTGCTGACCTTAAGGGCCTTTCTGCCTTGCCTCTCAGGCTCCCAGCCGGGAATCATGCTTCTCCTGACACACCTCTTGACCACTCTATTCTACTCTTTTAGAGATCACGTCCTTTCCGATTGTTTTGTTAGGTGTTCCATATTCTACCCAAATCCACCGACTCCACACGCCGGCCCTTGAGCCCACAATCTGCTCATTGGGTGGCGTGCTCTTTTGATCCACCCAGCCCAATAATCAAAACGACCTCGAAATTACAATTCCTAGATCGCTTGGTGCTGTCCGTCTGCGCCAATCTCCTACGATTTCACCAAGTCGCAGTTTGGCATTGCTATCATATGGGATCGACATCTCAACGGTACTCAACGGCCCCGGTGACAATCCTCACACCGTTTTTGATTGCAGATCTGATTCTACTGGACATCTTTGCTAGTTATATCGAATATGGCCTTTCGAGACCGATGGTCATTTCAAATAGAGATAGCCTAGCAACGTTACATTGCATCCAAGATGCAATTTTCAACTCCACAAGGTGATACTGCTCCAGGCAATAGTACACCCGGTCGAGCCATGTGCTTGACAAGCAAGGGAATCAGCATCTCTACGGAGTACAGAGTAGATACATAGCTGTACAATGGGGTAGAGTGCCGAAACACATCCGTTTCCTAACCCCTTGCTCCTGGATATACTCCTTGCCAATAACTTCCAGTATCAGATTGCAGTCCCCCTTCTCGTATCATTTTCTTGCAATGCGCCTGCTATAACTGCTTGGCTCGTAGTTCGAAGAGCCAGTTCATGTATTTGAACCCACTGATGACTTGATGTGGCGGGGACCTTGCAACCGCCCGCTATAACTAGTATAGTTAGTTAACTAGTCAGTTAGTTGATTGCTTTTTGGAGAATTCTTGTCGCAGTACGGAGTACGGAGTATGTAACTACTCCGTAGACCTGGCCATCCCGCGCGCCTCATTGCCATCCCTTCATCTATGCAAGTACATTTTAAAACTCTGATTTCTATTCGACCGTCTATTTCACGACGACTCCCTTTCCTCGCCTATGATTATTTATGGTGTAATATAGAATTTTTTTTAGCGAAGCACAAGAAGCCATCTTATGGCAGCCACCATACGCTCTGAAGTGAACATTAGTACAGAGTACGTGCATACACCCAAGAGTGACCGTAAACCCTAACGTGGCAATCCTTGGGGTCGATGTCAGGTAGATTGGTGGCCTGCATGCCCAAGGGCCACACAGGCTAACGCCAGGCACATTCGATGCGTGAGATTCCTGCATCAGGGAATACATGCATGGATGTATACTCCTTAGAAACATCCTGAACTTTGTATCTGGTTCAGATCTGTTGCCACCAGTCATAGAGCCACCAATTTTTCATCCACTTTGTTGTCATTGAGGCGCACCTAATATGTATTGAAACATAACTACACCTACAATAGTGCACAACACTAAGCCCTTCACTCACCTCGCCACTTGTGCATTTTGCGCTATTAGTAATTGATAATGTAACGCCGGTGACTCGGCACAAAAATTCAAGGAACCTCCCCAGCCGATTGCCTTTCCCCAGCAGATGCCAGTGAACTCAAATTCTGCAGTCTTTATACTATGGAGACGGAGTAGATATTCTAGAACACATAACGGCCGCACTTGGAGGGAACTCTCTCCTTCAGACGGTCTCACGAAACTCGCTTAAGTCAGAAATGCCAAAGGTTGAGCGGGGAAAACCCTGATGCATTTTCACCTTCCAGATCGCCGCCTCTCAGCATCTCTATCTCTGTTATCAAAGGCGGAGGATGCGCCCAGGTCTTCATGGCGAATGTTCTCAAACGAATTTTCGCTTTGGTTCTTCTTCAACCCCCTGGCATCAAAATCATAGCTACTTCCGTATGCCAAACCATCGTCTCCTCGGCTGTCCACCCCAAGACTTCGTTGTTCTTGATCGAGAGCAGACAGAAGAATTCGAAGTTTATCCTTCTGGGAGTTAATATATTCTGCCCGCTCAGTCTTTGATGCTGAAGCGAGATTTCTGGGCAACAAGCCCGCAGCATTTAGATCTGAGGCTTGAGAATCGCGCGGCTTACCCGTGGGCGCTACGGCCGTCACGGCGGAGCTAAGCATGGAAAAGATATCCGATCCCGGGCTAGCAACACTTGCGCCAGTACCACCACCAGGTAAATTAAACCGGGAGAATAAAGACTGCGCATATGCAGCAGGGCCAGTAGCAGCAGGCTGTGAGGGCGCAGCCTGAGCCGTCCAAGTTGGCGGTAGACCGAGTACCTTTTCTCGAATTAGATCAATTGCTTGGTACAAATAATTGAGACCGGCAGATCTGGCACGATCATGTGCTTGGCCAATGAATTCCTCTATCTGACGTTCATGTTGAAGTAGAAAAGGATCGAAATATTCAAGATATAGCATCTTTGCACCTTGCGTCTGGGGAAGTACGAGATACGAAAGCGCGAAGAGGCGGATCCAACTGTAGAACGGAAACCTTTTCTCAATTATCTTTTATTAGTAAACAAAGTAAATGCTTGTTTCCGGGTTGCTGTACCCACCATCCTATAATAAAGAAGGTCCATGATTCAACCAACATTACAACAGAGAATACCACCCAGTACATCAGCCATGGCGCAATTTGTGACACATTAGACGTGCGAAGGGCCTTATAGGATGCAAATATTGGAAAAAGGACCGTGAGAATGGACCTACACGACCCAAAACTTGATTAGCTAAGGCCGCGATTTGATCAAGTGTTCCTCCGGGGCTCGGTCAATGCTAATTCAGGTGGTTCCGGATGTTACTCTGGAGCGACGAAGCTCAAAAGGGCACTCACGAAAGGAAATCCGCAATTATACCAAACATGACATGCAAGGAGCAGTTAGTAAAGTGCTATAGAGAGCAGAAGGCACACAATTGGGAATTTGAGAGTATAAAGTGGGCGTTTTAATTGTGGCTGGTAAAATGCCTGATATGAGGTGGAATAGGACCAAAGAATACAGGGGGAACTAAACAGATCAGAACAATCTTTTCAGCAGGAAAAATGCAATAGAAAAGACAGAGATGCAGCCGGAAACGAGCACAGAGAAAAAAACACGGCGCTGCCCGATATCGAACAGTCCGTTTCTAGTGGAAGCGGGCAGATGACACCGTCGACATCATTGGCTGAGTTGATGACGAACGCTAGTCACGTGCCTGATTCTTATTCCCGCTGTTAGCTAACTAGGTAATTAGTTAACTAACTACGTCATTGGTCAGCCTCCTGAGATATTTGCTTTTGCAGCTATGTTTGCAGCATTTGCTTTCTTTGTACGATTGGTTTACAAGGTAAACGCTCCATAGTTATGAAACTAATAATCTCAGCTGGTGCATGTTGTGCACCAAAAAGATATCATCAAGCACCCAAGAAACAAATAACTAGTGGAGTGTGTCTGTACATACATACCCCAAATTTTCAGTACAGAGCGTAGAGCATACACTCTGCCCATGAGTTGGCCTTCCAGATCAAAGAAAGTGAGCAAGCTGCAATCTAGTCCCCCCATAGAAGAGTAGGGAAAAGACGCCAACCCAACGAAAAAGAGTCAAGACCAACTTGTGATGGCGGTACCATGCGATAGCAGATCAATTGGATGGGGCTATAGTGTTGCCCTGGGAAGCGTACCGAATATTGAACGTTGGCGAAGTGATAGTTTCCCAGTCACTTTCGTTCTTTCTATCACCGAACATTCTAAGCGCTCTAGCACGTATTCTGTAAGAGCCTTCGGGAACACGGGTGCCATTTAGCATTCCATTCCATGAAATGAAACCAACAAACGCATCCCTGCCTACGTATTCCTGTGGGTATGAATCTAGGGAGCGGATAAATCTCTCAGAGCCCGACGAACCATTGACGGCCAGAATTTGGATATCAATTGACGGTGTGCCCATGACAAGTCGCCGCAGAAACGTAGGGGCGTGTTGCATTTGAGGTTCCTTGATTTCAATGGTATCTCCCTCTTTAATATCGGGGCCTCTCTGCCCTATTCTGAACGTATTTTCCGGTGCCAACCGGCCTAGAACGATGACCTTCCGCATCGATGATGCCGTCCCGAATTATGGAATAGTGTATGCCTCGTTTGTCGCGTTAATTGTGATGAAGCCATTGTATAGGGGGAGGCGGGAGGCTCTCAGTCCTGTTGGAAGTGATGGGTATACATCCACACGTCCTTTTTGGCCTGGCTAAACCATGACATTCGAATGGGAAATTTTTAAAGTGGCATAATTGGCGACAGTCTCAGGCGTGCCGAGAGAATCAAAGAGAGCCGGACTAGTACCGGTTGAATTCTCAGCGAAAGTATATACCGATCTCACTGGGACATGCTTGATGTGATATGTCACAGGTGATGAGCCATTATTCCAGATTGAGAAGCTGAGTGACTTTTGGAAATTCTCAGTATCATTAAATAGAAGATTGTGGGGAGAGATTATTGTTCTAGCCTTGAAGGCTTTGTGTGCGTCAATAATGCCAGCTTCTTGCTGTATCAATCACTGGGCTGTGGAAAGGTTGTGTTTTTTTGTATCAAAAAAGGGTTGTTGGTTAGATGTTGTGCTGAGTAATGAAATGATCTCTTCAGGAGAAAGCCTTCCCCGTGCCTCTAAAAGAAGAGCAACGACACCAGCAGCGTATGGAGTAGCCATAGATGTGCCCCCATGAACATGATAAGAGCCAACAGCACGAGGTACTGTGGATAGAATATTATTCCCCGGGGGCGAGGAATGTTGGCACAATGCGAAGATCATTGGATGGGCCCCACTCTGTTGTAACAGTTATCTCACCTCCGCGAAAGGGATTCTTCTGAATATGAAGCACCCGCGGCGCAGAAGTTGACGATGTCATTACCACAGAGCCGTTATTTGACGCAGCAGTCTTGAGCTTTTCGCAATACGTCTTGGGCAGAATTCCCATGCCTTTAATAGTGCCCACTAGAGACGGTGGTAACTGCCATGGCGGTACAACATTATCTTCGGGGTTGCAAAAGAAAATGTTGGTAGCGTGGCGATCAGCAAGATTTTTCACTTGGGTATTAGGGACACAGGTTCCCAAACTATACAGAATGGTTTTTCCAGACAAATTAAGCGTAGCTGGTAGAGGCTCACAAGCATTTTGCCTAACTTCAGCCAAAGGAGAAGTGCCATTGTTGAACTCAGAAACCATAGCCCAAGCAAAGGGTTTGTTACCATGCGAGGTAGTATAAAATGCCCGGGGAAGAACAGCCGGAAGCTCAACATTATTTATGTAGCCAACGCCAATGCTGCTAAATGCTGAGTTTAAATCAGCTCCCAAGAATGGTCCTAGGTTTCCATCGTTTCCAGCAGCTCCAAGACATATTACACCCTTGCTAACAATTCTCTCTGTTACAATGGCCCATGGATCTAACAGAAAGACTTGTTAGGCTAGAATAAGAATAAGTTGAATGGAGTTTAGGAACATACCTGCCGACCAGCCGCTAAACGTACCAACTGAAGCCGTGATAATGTCTGACTTTGCCTCAAAGGCATCCAAGTATGCTTTTATAAGTGTGTCAGTGAAGCCTACATCATTCGATAGACTCGAATTTTGGTTCGGTTCTTCGTAGCCTAGTACGCGATAATGGCCCAGAGTGACACCAGGGGCAACTCCTGTAAAGCCGAACGGCTATTTCTGGGCAGCCACAATTCCTGAAACATGTGTGCCTGAGAGAAGAAGAATTAATAGCAGTGCATTACAGGGGAAATTCAAACATATATACCGTGATAATGACGACCCTCAAACGGATCATCGCTTGGAGTTCCAAAAAGATTTTTGCCGTACTCAACAAGACATCCCTTGCCAAAGCACCCACCAAGAGCAGGGTGTTTGTAGTCAATACCACTGTCAATCACTGCCACCCTAATTCCTTTTCCAGTATAACCAGCTTTTCGAAGTTGATCGACGCCGGTAGCTTTATGCCAGGGTTCAGCATAGTCTGTCCGTCGTCGCTGGTCAGCCACCACGAATTCCTGTGGCTGAGCATACCGTTGGATCTTGGGCGACAGAGCGGTAATTTTGCGAATAGGAGAAATATTCTTGACATGCGGCATAGCAGAGATCCTTTCTATGGCAGCATTGACGTCTCCTTTTTCATCAAGGTCGAAAGAGAAGCCCTTAAAGAGTGAAGACGTATACTCATGACGGCGAGTCAGCTTTAACTGCTCCTTAGCCTTAAGCTCAGCAATAAATGCATCGGTGGTCTATATATATGCGGTCAGGTCAGTCATAGGAAAGCCCATATCTAATCTTTGCTCAGGTACCAAGCCTACAGCGTCAATTCCATCCTTGAACTCGATGATATAGCCGCGCTTCAGATCCGTAACGGTTTGTCTTTTGGAAACAAAAGCTCCTGCCCAGGGAAGAGCAAGGACAAGAGTCAGATATGCCCGAAAGGAGACCATTGTGCCGGGCGATGGAAGAAGGCAACGCCTTAAAGAAATTCGACAGTCCTCAAACTGGGAAATTCGACCTTAAAGCTTTGAATAATCCCGTTAAATTTAACAGCGAAAAGATTGCCAAGCTATAGATACTGATAGGCGGGATCCATGCCTACTATAAACAAGAGGCGATTCCATGGCGGTGACGGCTGGGTTGACAGGGGGCAATGGTAGCATCCTTCATATGTACAGCCAGCCGTGCGTCTGCAATGTTTTATATAGCGAAGAAAAAGGGTTGCAGTTTGAACTTTGTTTCTCACGAAAAGATTTCTGTCAACAGGGTTTCTCTTTCTGGAAGAGCAGGGAGTTCAATCATATATGACTGGCGATAATTGAAGGGGGGGGGGCACTCGCTCTGGGGTAAGGAGCCTTCAAACATGAAGTGCTGCTGGTAGGCCAGAATCACTGGCGATCATTATTCTCAAGAGGAGAGAGTCCATCTGCTTTGGAATTTCTCCAGTGTTCTGGCGCTTTGGAGCTCCAACCTAGGGCATAGTAAGCCAAGAGGAGGATGCAACATTTTCTCCTAGCAATGCCATTCAAAAGCGACAAGAGCTGCAATCCATCTAACCAATCTTGAACTAGAAGTAGGACGGTAAAATTAAGAAACACAATGATATAACGGCGGGTGTTGGTCCAAGCTGCAGTGTAAACTGCATCTCCAAATAGAGATATGGGGCGATCCGCCTGAGGTCACAGCAAAGACATATTGTGGAGAACACAGGCCGCAAAACAAAGCGCGGGGACGCGTCGTGCTGCATTCAACTACCTAGTTAATTACTAACTAACCAAAAAGTGGTGCTAGTCTTCAGTACGACGCGTGGAGTACTCCGTAGTTAAGTAAACCTCGTAGCAAGAGGGCATGCTTGGGTACCATTTCATCACCTTGTCGACATTATTGAGTACTCCGTGTGGAGTATTTCATAACTATTATTATTCTCTGGGCATGGTCCATAGTGGTGAAAATCGACGCGTTGACATAAATAATTGACTAACAAGCCGCCTTGTTTTTGAGCCCAGCAAATTCTGAGAAAAGAATGACAGCTTGGAGCTCAATTGCATGTTAATTAAGGATGGCTTAAATTTTTGAATCTCTGCTCGATGAAATTACCGCATCAAGTGATCTGGAGCCAGGCAACCGGTGAGCAAAAGCCAGGCTCGAAGGATGCTTGCCCTTGACAAGAATACTTGTTTTGGAATACTCCGTATCCATGTGAAGTTCAAGCGGCGACGGGAGGCTGATGATCAACTCTGAGGCAGAATGGCAGGGGTAGCCGGAGAGATAGAGAAAAAATTACCATTCTAATAATAAATAGATTGCTGAAGAGCATGTGCGTCTCCAGGCGGAACATTCCATCGTATTGCCTTAAACGTACTCCAGACTCGAGGCGCCAAGGCAGCTAGTTACGTGGTTGCCCGTGACCCTGCCAAGCCTTCTAGCCTGTTCATCAGGTTCAGCCACTAAGTTAACTAGATGACTGGCATCTAAAAACTCGACCATAGTTAGTTACCGGAATCCCCTAGCTTCCCAATACCTAGGAAACTACGCGCTTTTCTACCATCTCACTAGGCAGAATAGTAGGCGATCCCTGCTGTTACGCGATTTTCTACTATTATCCTACCAGTAGGTGGGCCCCTCAAGGCCCGGCTATTTATCCGACAAGTTGCCCATACTTTTTCCGCTGGGCACCGCCGCATCCTCATTTGTTCTCTATGCTTCCAGCCTTCTTTCATGTATTCTGTTTGATGTCCTTTTTCTATGTACACTTACTGTTATTACTAGCCACCAAATTAATGTCTTTGGCTTAAGTTGTGTGGTTATTTTGTTATTGGGTTTGTTGCGTCTTCAATCCTATGTCGTTCATATTTCAAGACCTATGTAGCTGCGTGCATCATCTACTCCGTACGGAGTACTCCCTACGTTTGAAAGTGTTTGACTGCCTCTTATTAGGCTTTCCACTGATCCCCACCTATCCTGCCTAGCATGCAGGATAGTAGGCGATTCCTACTATTCCTCTAGGTGACCATGCAATTTTCTACAACTTCCCTGGCTTTTGTGGGCTTGGAAATTTTCTGGAAGGTTTTCTGCTTGTATGTACGGAGTACGGAGTAGTACTCCGTAATGTAGGTGTAATTGCGCCTATGGGAGATATAGCTAGCCGTACTGTAATAAAAAACCATACGATCCTCCGTACTCCATATAATATCCAGCCAACATGGTAACTAATATGACGTGATTGTACAAACACTCCGTCGCTTCAGCGTTCTTTTTTGTTCCATGACGGAGTACTCCGTATGCGCGGGCAACCGATAGTTAATAATGGTACAGTACTCCGTACGGAGTACGGAGTACAAATCCGGAAGTCCGGTATGGAGCGTTCGATCAATACGCGGCCCACAATCAGATCAGATCAGATAGCGATCCCGACGGCCAGGCTTGCCGCCACAAACGGTTGGGCCCGACCCTGCATGGGGAAGGAAGCCTCGCGCGAGTCGGCGTTCCAGAACAACGGCATCGCCTTTGCATCTCACGCGCCTCCACCTCCGGCCACGGCCACGGCCACAGCGACCGCGGTGGCGGAGGTCGCCTGGGGAGCTTCTTGGATTGCTACGCTAAGGGCGGTTCAAGTGGTTTTGTTGGGTTTTTCTGGCCCGTCGTTGACCCAGATTTTCATGGGCATCTAGCCTCTGCCCACGCTTGAATGAGCTATTTAATTGGCCTGCCTGTACTTGGTAAGTTGGTCACAGATGATGCCAGTGGGCCAAGTGATCAGATAAGAATTCGCTGGTTGCTCTCGCTTCCTTCGGTCGATCATTCCCATTTCCTAAGTATTCATTTTCATCTCTGCTTTTCTTGCAAACCGAGCTGGCACTTTGGCTGTCATCTCCTTTTCGCAACCAAGCAAAGATGGCAGCGCTCGCCCTTGAAGAGAAGGTGATAGCTGCACCACCTCCCCCCATCAACCTTGAGGAAAAAGCCCTCGATGTTACCACAACCCCGGCTGGCAAGACCGAACGTCCACGCGTGGCGCTCCTAGGTGAGAAGAGTCAAGGGGTGCAGCGTGTCGAGGCTATCTCACAGCACTTCAAACTCTCGGATAGGATTCTATTCTTCTTTGGGATTTTTCTCATCGCCTACGCTTATGGGCTTGATGGCACCATCCGGTATACCTATCAAGTATGTGCCCTTTTCATACGTGCATTTTATTTCCCGGTGTGATCTGACCTGCGCCCAGCCCTTCGCCACCGCGTCGTACAAGACGCACAGTTTGCTGGCCACCGTAAATGTTCTGCGGGGTGTCATCGCCGCTGCTGCACAGGTAACTATGGACCCGCATAACCTGTGCAGATCTCTGGTGCATTATTACTAAACACTTCTGTTATAGCCAACTGTGGCTAAGATTGCCGATGTATTTGGAAGAGCGGAGGTGATTATGCTTACTATTGTATTCTATGTTATTGGTATGCAGTTGGGCACTCCTATAGATTTGGATGTCTTCACTCACAGCACCTAGGTACTATTGTCGAAGCATGCTCGTCCAACGTTCAGAGCTTCGCTGCTGGTGCAGCTTTATACCAGGTAACTAGCGTATTCATTCTGATCGAGATATACCGATGCTAAATGAACTAGATTGGCTATACGGGTATTTTGCTACTCGTCGAAGTCCTCATCGCAGATGTTACATCTCTGCGCTCTCGAGTTATTTTCTCTTACATTCCTGCCCTACCATTCCTTGTATGCTTCCCCCTATTACTGCATGGGTCGGTGCCTGCTAATTGCCCTCAGGTCAACACTTGGGTCTCTGGAAATATTACCAGTGCTGTCCTTCAACGTACAACATGGCACTGGGGTACGTATTACGCTGAATACAGCGCTCTCTATTTCCATACTAACCGCGATCTTTAGGCATTGGAATGTGGGCCATTATCTATCCGAGTATGCTGCATATCATAAAACCTTTATTACAACCCTTGCTCATCTGATATCTAGTTTGTGCCTTGCCCTTGTTGGTATCACTGTTTATCGTCCATCGACGTGCGAAAAAGGCCGGCGCCCTTACTGCCTATAAGAGCCCATACCAGCTACTGGGCTTCCGCCGGCTTACGGTTTCTCTTTTCTGGCAACTCGACGTCGTCGGGGTCATTCTCCTGATTGGAGTATTTGCCATGATTCTCATACCATTCACCCTGGCCGGCGGTGTCCAGCTCCAATGGAAAACGGCTAAAATCATCGCGCCCCTTGTTATCGGCATTCTCCTTATTCCGGCGTGGATTTTCTGGGAGATGAAGTGCTTGCACCCGATGGTACCATTTAAGGTAAATTTTCCCTTGCCTCTTCTTTTCTGCATCGTATGTCCTAACTCTGAGAGTAGTTGTTGAAAGACCGCGCTGTATGGGGGGCTCTGGGCATTGCCATCGCCCTTAACACCGGTTAGTATTTATGATATACCCACCTCCTATTGTGAAAGCTCACTGAATTTTCGGTTATAGCTTGGTACATGCAGGGAGACTTTTTGTTTACAGTCCTTGTCGTCGGTTTTGGTCAATCAGTTAAAAGTGCTACTCGAATCACGTCGTTATACAGGTAATGCTATTGATGGTAAAGACGTTCATTTTTTTTATCAAGGCTAACTTTCTACAGCTTCACGAGTACCATTACTGGATGCATTGTCGGTCTAATCGTATTCAAGCTCCGGCGCCTCAAGTTCATCATTGTCTTTGGTACCCTCGTTTTTCTCACCGCCTTCGGCCTACTCATTCATTTCCGTGGTGGAACAGGTGGAGACAGCAAAGCTGGTATCATTGGTTCCCAAATCCTCCTTGGAATTGGTAAGATAGCTCTTCCATGAAGATTTTGTGTGCAGTAATACTAACACATTCAAAGCTGGCGGGTTGTTTCCATATCCCGCACAGGCTAGTATTCAAGCTGCCACCAAACATGAACGTAAGTGACCCCAAAATTCCTAAGAATTTGGAAAGAAATAAGCCTGACCTTAACTACCAGATGTTGCCGTCATCACTGGGCTGTTCCTTGCCTGCTATAACATTGGTTCCGCCATTGGAAATTCAGTCTCTGGAGCTCTATGGAATCAAGTTCTCCCGAAAACTCTTGCTACGACACTCAACAACGCTACCCTAGCGGCAACGGTCTACGCAGACCCCTTGAGCTGGGCTGCCGCAAACCCTGTCGGAACACCAAACAGAACTGCGGTAGTCGCTGCATATAGACACGTCCAGCGACTGCTATGTATCACTGGAATTTGCTTCTCTGTCGTGATTATCGCTTTCGCGCTTGTTTTGCGTGACCCGATCCTTACCAAGGAGCAGAGTCTTGCGAACGCCGAGAAGTACGACAACGATACTACGTCTGGCTCGGACACTGAGATCGAGAGCCGAAAGAATGCCACCGTCTAATTTTATTTACTTACATTAATTAGTGGCTGGAGTTCAGAGCCGTCTTGCCATTTGAATGTTTACATTCGGTATTTCGATGTTATATTTGGAGGCTACCTGTTATTTGGCTAGACTTGCTTAACTACTCACAACAAAAGTTTTGAATATTGGTGTAGGGGGTTAGTGGGTGTTGTCGACTGGTATCTTTTTACCATGGTTCTTTTTCCCATCAAGCAAGGAGCAAATTTCGATTTAAAGAAGCGATTTTAATCCAGGCTCTCCGTATTGTTCGCCTTAATATATCTAGCGGCTCCTTATTAATGACATGAAGATTCTAAAAATTCCGAGTTACACAGCATATATTCTTAGTTCCCAAACGCTAGTAGGCACACACGTATAGTACAGTAGATATTTATTTCCATCTGCGCCGTATTCTTTTCGAGGCCAGTCAGGGTGCTGGATCGCGAATTTCGTCTCAATCCTGATCAATGGGTAATTTTCTTTCCTTATCGCTTCTTATCTAGAAGGCTTCCATGGATAACCAACCTCGTCGTCTTTTCTAATCCACAACTTCGTTTTCCGCTTAGTGACAGCGTGCTCGACAAATACTTCTTTGGCATAGTTGCGCTTGAATTGGCGAATGAAGCGCGGATCCCACAGTTCACTGGCTACGCCTAGATCCTTGCAGCATCGCATCATAGCATTGGATTTGCATCCTTCTGTGGCTGTGGGGATCCCATCAGGGTTGAAGTAAGCCTGTTCACCACGTGCAATGGAAATAAGACTGGACAGATATCAATTAGTCCCAATTCATTTATCTCTTGCATGATTGATACGGTACAACCGACAGAAAACACATACCGTCCATGGGCAACAAGAGCATACTCCCTCGTCACCGCTTTTGCCGTGACTATACTCTCACTTCGCGGTACCAAACCCCATCCTCCAGGGCCAAATGCTTTATTCAATATCCGGCGATATTTAATTTCCGGAAGATATACGATCCCATCGGGCTTGATTTCCACATCCTCGGCTTCAAGAGGTTGCAGAAGGATTGCACTGATTTCTTTTGAGAACGGCTCGGCGCTGAGACCAAAATAAGATCGGGTCCAGTCTACCTGGCCATTGTTTACCGCGTCCGCATCAAGGTCTACTTCGGGAGGTTGATCGTTTAGGCCCGACTTGAGAATGTTTTGGACGGATAGGGGGTTTTTGGCGGCTGGCGCGGTTGTGGTAGCTGTAGTGGAGGGTCTCTCTGGCGTCGAAGGAATGGAAGCGGAGGGGGTTGCAGTTGTGTTGGTATTATTGCCAGTTTGGGAAACGGGTGTTTGCGTTTTGAAGCTGCGAAGTGGTGCTGTTGGAAAGTGCGGTTGTAGCAATGCGATAGGGCGAGTCCTGGGGAATATGGAAGTGCGGAGAGCTGTAGGAGCCCAACTGGCGTGCCGGAGAGCCCGAGATGCCATTATGAAAGCCTCCACTGAGTCTGGCTTCGAAGACACTGCAAACTTGCGATATCGAGATTCAGACTGACGTCGCCGGCCCGTTGTCACGTGATTGTCCTTTTTTTTGCGCAGAGAATAGAAAATATTGTGAGATGAGATGAGATGGATTGACAAATAACTAATAATGTACAGAGGATTCTATCTTTGGATGATGGGCCCTTGTTTTCAGGTGTCTTTCGTCCGGGTTCGCTGGTCGTTCCCTTTGCGCTTCCAGCACTCGCGAAACGCCTCCATCTGTATCGAACAATCAGCTTCAGCAAGCGTTTTTCTGATTGAATCCGCTTAGTCTTTTGACGCATCGTTTCGTATCCGAGAGATACTAGATGTGTCGATGGTATTGAACTTGGGCCGGAAGCTGTCCGTGGAAAATAGCTTAAAGGACACAAAAACTTACTTCTTTACTGCACTTCCGCCAGTCTCTCTTGTCGTAGTAGCAGTCGTTCATCTTGGTTTGTTCAGCTATCAATCTGCCTGTTAAATGTCTGTGTACTGAAGCACACCCTTGCCGTGGACCCGGCTGGCTCCTTACCTGCACATCCAGTGCTGAAGATCCGCTTGTCCCTGCCACGGTCATCAGCTGTCGCCGCCCCTCTCCCGCGGGGCTCTGGAACAAGGGACATACCAGTCATCAGGCTCATCGTCGTCGTCGTCGACAGGTGCTACTATCGCTTTATCATCGACCTTGGACATCTTGATACCCCTTTTGCCTTCCTTTGCACTCAGGGAGCTGAAGCGAGTGCGGTTGAAAAGAGATTTTCTGTGGCGGACGTCGATGCAGACTATGGCTACCACGTCTACCCCCACCACCAAGCGGCTCAATGTCCTGGTCTATTCCGGTGGGCAAAGCTATTCTGATTGGAGACGCAACATTCTGACGGATTGTTCAGGGAATGGAACCACAGTTGATTCTGTCCGCCAGTGTCTGTTTTCGTTGCGCCGCCTTCTGGCATCAAACTATGCCGTTATTCCGGTGACGGGTGAGATGATTATTAATGAGCCATGGACGGCGAGCTGTGCCCTTCTAGTGATGCCTGGTGGTGCAGACCTGCCGTACTGCAGCACCCTGAATGGAGCTGGTAATCGACGAATTAGCCAATTCGTCCAACGTGGAGGTGCCTACCTAGGATTCTGTGCCGGTGGCTACTATGGAAGCAAGCGTTGTGAATTTGAAGTGGGTAATAAGAAACTCGAAGTCATTGGAGACCGAGAGTTGGCTTTCTATCCTGGCATATGCCGAGGATGCGCCTTTCCAGGTTTCGTCTACAACAGCGAGGATGGAGCTCGAGCCACAGAATTACAAGTGTCTAGTTCAGCATTTACCGACGAGGAGCATCTGCCTAACTCTTTTAAATCTTACTATAATGGCGGTGGTGCTTTTGTGGACGCACCAAAATTTGCGGACCAGGGTGTTGAAGTCCTGGCTAGCTATACTGAGCCGATCAGTGTCGATTCCGGCGAGGGAACAGCAGCGATAGTCTATTGCCGTCATGGTGAGGGCGCAGCAATATTGACAGGCCCTCACCCAGAGTACGTATTGCGAACATGTATTGAACCTTCACGCTCTGGAAACTTATATAATACACTCTAGGTTTGCAGCGGCCAATCTGGATAGAAACGCGGATGGGCCTGAATTTTGCCATGTCATCGATACTTTGGCTCAGAACGATGAGGCTAGAACAATATTCTTACGAGCATGCCTCAAGAAACTTGGTCTTCGTGTGAGTGAGAAAGCGGCCCCAGTGCCTGCTCTTTCTCGGATGCATCTCTCTGCTCTTGAGCCGGGTGCTGGCGCAGATCTTATTTCCGCACTCCAAGATATCATTGTTGTGGAAAATGAAGAGAAGTATATCAAAGATGACAGTGATACCTTTCGTCTTGAACGCCCGTCTCCACTTAACATGGACAAAATCGTTGATGCTCTCCCCGACACTAACGAGGACCAGTCAGGCGATAAAATTATCGATTACCAAAAGATCATTAAAGATGTCGTAGTCCATGAGGAGTATCCATCCTCAGTTGATACTCCCTGCTTCAATCACCAAACATTTTATGGCATGATTAAAGAGTATCGAACGCAATCGAGGGAAGATTTATCAAATTTTGGCTCCCATGTCTTATATGCGGAAGTTGTCACTAGTACAAATACATTGTTGGAGAAGTATGTCTTGCTGTTATTTTAGGGTGTTCGACTGTCGCTGACAATTCATAGGAATACACAATTGCTACGTCGGCTGCCGAATGGCTTTATGGCAACAGCGAATGTTCAAGTTGCTGGCCGTGGTCGTGGCTCCAATGTTTGGGTATCTCCGCCTGGGCAATTAATGTTTTCGATATGCATCCGGCACCCAGTTGAAAAATTTGCGAGTGCACCGGTTGTTTTCATTCAATATCTTGTAGCCATGGCCATCGTCAAGGGTATCAAAACTTACGACAAAGGATATGAAAATATGCCCATTAAACTGAAGTGGCCAAACGACATCTGTATGTCACCTAGGCCTTCTTTGCCTTCCCTTTGCTAACGAGCTTCGATGTTAGACGCACTAGACCCATCCCAACCAGACAAAAAGATATACACTAAGATTGCCGGCATCCTGGTTAACGCCCACTTTTCCTCGAGGGAATACATAGCTGTCGCCGGAGCCGGCATAAATGCCCTCAATTCTGCCCCTACCACCTCTCTAAATGCCATCCTCAACCTCATAAACTCGAGACTGCCCGCCAACGCACCTGGGATGCCCCCCCTGTCCCTCGAAAAGCTCCTTGCTCGTATCCTAACAACGCTTGAAGAGCTTTACACTCGCTTCCTTCGCACTGGTTTTGATCAGACGTTTGAAGATATGTACTATGCTGACTGGCTGCATATGGACCAAATAGTGACTCTTGAGGCTGAAGGCGGTGTGAGGGCGAGGATTAAGGGAATTACCAAAGACTATGGGCTGCTGGTTGCAGAGGAGCTAGGCTGGGAGGATCGGCCGACGGGGAAGAAATGGGAGCTGCAGAGTGATAGCAATAGCTTTGATTTCTTCAAAGGCCTGGTAAAGAGGAAGATTTGATGAACTATGCTGTATGAAGAAACAATAGTACCCTTAAAATTGCATTGAATACGGCGGGTTGATATCATTGTGACTCCAACTATAGCAACGTCAAAGTTTTAGAGTCTTCTTCTTTTCAACGGCACTATATATAGATTTGAACATATATATCCCAGGGAGATACGGTCGATAATGGCGATACAAAGACAGGGAATAATAACACTAACATCAGTTCGTAAAGCGTCATAAATCATACTGCATTACCTTATTAGTGTAGCTATTCTATTGAAGGGATACTTTGTTTGGAGTTAAGAGACCCCTAGATCCCATAAATAAAGTAGAATGGAGCGGAGGGGGCAAAAGCCGATGGATATCTCGTAAGTCGTGTCTAGAGCCCAAATAACGCCACAGAAGGTTACCCAAAAAAAGGTTGACCAGGAGAGACACTGTATCACGCTACATCACTCTCCAACGACGAATTCAAACTCCCTGTCTCCCTCTCCAATAGGAATAGGCTTCGCATCATTGTCGTACAGGGTACGCTCAAAGAACTTAACCCTCCCAGAGTTATGGACCAGAACCACGGTCTGCTTCTGCGTCCCGTACAGTCCCTTCATATATTGCATATGATTCGCCTGCCCGTTGCCCACAATTTCGGCCTTTTCGTGGATTTTCGAGGTACATATCTCCGCTTCGTCTCTCTCGTCTTCCTGCTCCTCACCAATGACTGGAATAAATATGCTCTCGCGTAATAAATCGATATATGTCTCGAAATCCCCACCTTCTTTTAGCCGTGGAAGGGTATCTGTGCTGAGAATGGCCAATAATCTCTGCACCAGCTGGTCCTCATGTTCACCCAGCTTTGAGCTCGTATGTAAAGCCTCCTTCATCATGCTCTCCCCGTTCTGCACTTTCTTCCACGAGCAGTCTCCGAACGCAACATTGCTCAGCGCAACGGTCTCGCCCCTCTCCTTCGCAATCCACGTCACCCCGTCCTTGGAGCACACGCGATTCGACACGATCGCCAGCGGCCCGCGGATATTCCCACATGCCAAGCTAAATCCGCCGGCCAGGTGAGCTTCGCCACCCGCGACCAGCTGGTCGACAAACTGCTCCGTGTTCACGGAGCCGTCGGGCGGTAATTCTAGGAAGGAGTTGATGATTTCTCCGCGGCTCAGCTTGCCGATCGCCTGGCTGCAGTCGTCTTCTTTGTAGTTTGTGAGAACTGCGATGCGGCCGTGCTTGGTGACGCCGAGCCAGGTACCGTGGGCGGCGCGGGCCATGTCGCGGGAGCCAAGTACAAAAGAGTACGGTTCAGGCCACCAGTCCGCTGCCGCTGTTGGGCGGCGGAGAAATTCCTGAATATAGTGTTAGTATTCTGCCTCGTTTCTCTGGTTCCACGGGGAGAGTTGAAGGGCATACATCTCGATTATCAACTAGGATTAGGGGGTAGTCCGGGTGAGCCGTTGATATAAGTGCTATGCACATTATTGCCGGTTTAACGTAAATATATCTCTAGAAATGGCTGAAATACTGTAATGAGGTTGGAATATTCTATTCGTAGTCTGTAACGGGCGGCGACTTAAGCAGCTCGGATACTGCCTTTTTAAAGCAGGCAGCGACGCGACAGCAGATCCAAGGGTGGCGAACTCGAAGTTGTGTGAGCTTTCTCGAAGGTGCGTCCAGGGATCCGTGCAGCTTTGGAGTATGTTAAATAGCCGTTTGAACGATAATAACCCGCGTTGCGGAACGTCGTCAGCGCGCGTGGACGGCCGAGGCTTAGTTAGTTATTAGACGTGCATGCAAAGCAAGTGGAGGAAACGCGCGGAGCCGCTACAACGGCGAGTCTCATACGCGAACTAGTCTGTTTTCTATACACAAGCAGGAACAGGGCGCGGGTAGGAGGAAAACCCAATAAGGGTAGACGTGATATCAACAGCTCGGCTTTGTCAGTGTTTTGTTTTTATGTGGAAGAGGGGGGAGCTTTGAGTTGAGGAACTTGGGTGGCGACGGGGTGGCCAACCAGCTAGTTAGGTAACTATCCGCCAGAACTCAACAGTGCCCAACACGCCCATGTGGGTTGGCAAAAAGGCAAAATCCAGAAGGCATCACAAGGGCCGTGGTTTTTAGGGCATTTATGGTCCGATGCCAAGGCAGGAATGGGCTGATGTTCCCATGGAGGACAGTTCTGGCTACTCGATGATTCCCAACTAGATGGCTGTCCTGAGAGACACACGCGGACTAAAGCATGTGTATGATTTGATTGTGCTGCAGAGAGTAGATGGTAAATATTGGGATAATCCTTATCTGGCCAAAAAGAAAAGATCCAAAGTGCGTCCATCAGGGTGGCAATGACAATTCCCTCGGCCCCCAACTGTCAGCTAAAGAAAATACCATTAACCACTTTTGTGCTACACTTTGCATGTGTGTTGGGCAATCTATGTATGTATGTATATATCAAACAATCCAAGAAGAGAAGGAAGGAATAAAAATAATGATAATAAAAGGAGTCAGATGACAGATTGGTGAAGAGAATCAAGAAAAAAATATTTCATCTCACATCACATTAACTCAAGATTTTGGTCAATGGGCAAAATCATGCTTCAAAACTTTTCTGTTTTTTGAACCGCGACTCTCATGGCGCCGGACGTCGTTGCTGGTCTGGCGGTCCTTGCTGACGCGGGCCTGGGCCTGTCTGGTAAGGGCCCTGGGGAGGCGGTCCTGGTGGGGGCGCTGGATATGTAGATGGCGGGCTACCCTGCACACCCGAATGCATCGTCTGGCTCGACTGCGTTTGGGCGTACGGCGGGCGGTATGGGTGCTGAGGACTCGTGGGCGACTGCTGGTAGAACGTGCCGTGTTCCTCAGGAGGCTGGCCCAATGGGTTCACAATCTCCACAGCAGGAGTGTTTGGAGACAGCGCAGTTCTCGAGGGGATCTTGTTCCGTACGCCCTTCGAGGTCTCTCGTGCCAACGGTTTTTCTTCACTGGCGCTAAGTACCGGAACAGCAGTCTCGGTTCGGGTCCTATCAAACCCGGCTGGCCGCTGGTTTAGCGCTTCCGCGAACGTGGCTTCGCTGTTACCAGCTGTTGGGCTGCGATACGACAGGCCGGACGAGGAGACGGTGCCAATGGCGGTGGTTTGGGCTGTATCTTCTTTCTGTGGAGCCTGAGGGAACTTTGGCGGCGTTGTTTCGGTAAGGGGAACCATGCGTTTGGCGTCCTTTTCCGCGGCGTATTGGTCCTTGCCCGCTTGAGCCTGCTCATGCGAGATGGCGACGGAGTATGTGGGTTTAGCGATGTCTCCCAAGGCTGCATCACCACCACCAGGGGCGTAAATTGGTACTCTGCGGAGTGCCAGTACAAGAGCACACATGAACTTCGAGCGACGAGCAGCACGAACAGTCTCGTTGGCCCAGTTGGATTTGTGTCGGATTTCGATTGTCAATTCCATCTTGTCCATGTCTCCAACGCCCGTAACTTCAATGTCAACGTCTGGTTGGAAGTCGCGGGAGTTGTCTTTTTCAAGAACAAATCTTTGCATCTCCTGTCTCAACAACTGGATATCCTCAAAGGTAGTTCCAAAGTCGACTGTCAACTTAAGCTTCTCTTTCATAGCCTTGGATCGCGTAATATTCTCAATCCAGCAGGTGTTGAGAACGATGTTAGGGACTTGGGTGATCTTGTGGTCGGTGACATTTTTAAAGACAGTGAAGAGTAACGAAATACGCTCAACAATCAGACGGGTAGTGTTGATATCGACTCGGTCACCGACATCGTAAGGGTGCTAATCCAATCAGCACCCAATTACTCATCTGTAATGAAACACAAGAACTCACCTTCACAAACAAGAAAATGCAAGAACCCAAAACCTCCTGTGCGGTTGCTGCAAAAACGAAGGAAAGAGACAACAGCGCGGTTGCTCCGGCGGCAAGCGTGGTGCCAAATCCCTTATTCAAGAACGCCACTTCAACCCTTGGTCAGTATCACAATATATAGAGCAAATCAAATATGAACACAACATACCAAACACCAAGACGACCAAAATAAAAACGATGGTGCAGAGGAGATTGTCGAGAACATGAATAGCCTGGTCCACGTCGTGCATGCTCTTGGCGATAGCCTGTCTGGCTCTGCCAAACTCGACAATGGTGAGGATCATTTCATCAAGACTAACATCGCCATTACCATCCTTATCTAGAATAGCAAAACATTCATCCGCATCATTTTGATGATCAGGACCAAAAACATCATAAAGATCGTCGATGTACAGTGCTTCTCGCCCAGCGAGGACAAAGGACATCCAGAGCCGTCTTGCGAGCGCCTCAGACGATGAGCGTTTCTCCAGAGCCAATGTGACCACCGAGTGAGAGGCAGTGGGGTTAAAGACCTGCTTTCCAGTGATCTCGTGAGCAACCTGGCCAAACGCGGCCGTAATCTTGTCTCCAACCCGGCCGACGTTTTGAATAAGACGCATTGGGGAAGCGGAGCCATTTCTTCTGTGTCCTCCCTTGCCCTTTTTTCCAAGAACACCAACAATAGAATCATTAATGATGTAGTCTTCGGTTTCGAATTCCTTGCAGTATTCGGGGAACATTTTTCGAGAAGCATCATAGAGTATAGCGACCATTTGGACATTCTGTTTGGACTCCTGGATCCTTGAGTCAAACTGTTTGCGGTGATAGCTGATTGAGATCAACTGGATGATGAGTTTCTCCACGACTAGGATCAAACTGGAAATGAAGGCAGCAAACAAGATGTTCTTGACCACATCCTGCCACTTTTGGATTCCGGTATCCTTCCGTTCAACATTATCGGGGTTTCTGGTCATCAACTGAATTTTAGTTAGTGGTTATCGTCCAAAGAAAAATTTTCCAGCATGAAAATATTCACGTACCGGGATGAAGGTCGCCAACGATGTCACAGCCCACCCAACTAACGAGAGAGGGATTTCGAGGTTTCGAAGAATGAGAGCATATTTTCTTGTACCTGAGCTAACAATGCCGCATAGAAACTGGAAAAGGAAAGGAATGTAGTGGGCAACGATCTTCGAAACCCACAAACTCAGCCAGACAACCTCAATCCAAGTGAAAAACCACACAATAGCCACGCCTCCAATTCTTGTTTCTGTTGCGACCGTGGCTCCGATAATGATGGGAATAGCGATGAGCAAGGCCAATGGCAGCACATAAATGAAATATCTGGTCACGACGGAAAAGTTCAAAATTTTGCTATAAATTCTGCCCATGCGTGTGATTGTGCCATCTTCTGGAGCTTGATTTTTCTCTCCAGACTGTGCATTGACGACCCGGCGGCCATGGAAGAGGTGTTTTTTCTCGTGGTGTTCGGGAGTCGACTCGCTGGAAGGAATGTATTTGCCGGAGGCGTCGTTTCGAGCTCCGGTGTTGCTGGTCACGGAGGTCAGCGGGATATCGATCGTGGCATCGTGCGGGTTTGCCATGGCCGAGTCCTGCAGCTGCTGGAAGCGGTCGTGAGAGAAACGCTTCTGAGAAATGCCGGGCCGTCGTCCAGACATGGGGAGGGCTGAAGGAGGGAACCCAGGGCGGTACGAGAAGATGAGACAAGAAACGGGACAGTTGTAACGGGAAACGCGGGACTGGCCCTGACAGTAGCGGGTTGTGTCCTAACTCCTAAAGGATGGAAATAGAGCCAGATCCCCACCCTGTTGTTATGCAATGAGCGACGCTAAACGCGTTTTGAAGTGAGGGTGCGCAAGAATACGGGAGCAATGTCGTCAAGTGGAGGGAGGGAGACGGGCGAGACAAACACCAGAACACAGGGGTGCTTCACGATCCACGTTATTGTGGAGAAGAGGAACCAAGGACCGGCAGAAGCAGTAACGTCAACAATAATGGACAGCAGAAACGAGCGTCTGAAGAAGAGAAACTGTCAGGTGGATCGTTTGGGTGCGAGATCGCAGTCGATGAAACGTCGATCGAAGGAAAAAAAAAAAAAAAACGAGCGGCTATGCAGCGTGGATGAAGGATGGACGAGAAGACAGGAAATATTAACAATAAAAAGAACGCGAGCTGCAGCGCGTAGTTGAACGATTGGTATTTATTCTGAGCAGCCGCCGGTGATCCTGCGCGGGAGAGGCATCCCCATCCAGCTCGACGGCCGAAAAAGAAAGCTGCGCGTGCGTGTTTCAGCCTGCCTGGATCTCTTGGAAGCCGCCGCTACGAGGCCCACCGGCCATACAGATCGCAGCAAAGGAGACGCTCGCTGGCTTTTTGCTCTCCAGCGCGTGCATGCTGGCCAATGGGCATTTGCTAGCTGTGGAATTACAGGCTCGATGCATCCAGTGAGAACGCAGCAATGTCGATTTGCGGTGGCGAAACACGATGCAAAAACGAAGAGTTACATAGAACAGCAGCAAAGGGCTTCATGGCTCAGGAACCACTCTTAGGCCACGCACACAGGGTTTTTTACTTGCTCCACCCGGCGACAGCACGCACAGACAAGAGGAATCGGTGTCAGTTTGCCGCGAGGGCCGGTTTGGCCTGACTGACGCCGCGCGATCCACGCAACGCCTACCGCTGACAGGTCACTTTCTCCAGGGACGGGTTTCGGCGCAAGGGTTTCGATCTGGGATCGCAGAGCAGTTGAAGCTTGAGACTGACTGATGGCACTGATGTTTCGCGATCCACCGTGGCCCCCCCCCCTGCTGCACCCACGGCGCGCCACTGTTTCAGGATAACTATCCACCTCATCTTTTTTTTTGGCGAGTTCCGTGGCCGGGGCTAGAAGGTCTGTGGCTGATTGGAATTTCTTTGTGCCCGTTCTCCGGGCTGTTTGAAAGGAAATTTGGTGTGCGGAATGGAGCATGGAGTATGGAATATACAAGCTGTCTCTTTTTTTCCCTCTCTTCCTATTTACTGACTATGAGGCAAGGGTGTGTAGTATGTCATGGACCGACCGGAGTTGGCTCCAGTTAAGGGTCCTTATGCCGAAACAGATGGTGAAACGAAGTGTTCAAGGTTGGAGAACCTTTGTGTCTCTTCCGTACCAGGCAGCTCTATGGAGTACAGTACCTACAGAGGACACGCATACTTTAGTGCTCTGCTCAACTTTACTCAGCTTATCTAGACTTTAAGACAGTGTCGGCAGAGGATTTATCCTCTACTGTGTACTCCGTACTCTGTACGCCGCACAGTCACGTTGTCACAGAGCCCTAGCCCTGCCCTAACTACACATTTAAGCTCGGTTGCTGTGATTGGTCAAAAGATGCATATAACTTAACTAGGTTGTTTCTTGGTGTGCCTACATATCAATCATCAATACACTTGCTACCCATAGGAAATAGAAAAAGAGCAAGTGTAACTTTGTCCCCTTTTGATGCCTTGATCAAAGACAAGGCTGAAATGGAGGATAGCAACCACCCCTATTTTTCAGAAAATGGAGTTGTTGAAAATACTGCAGCACTACGGAGTACCCTGCATATCAATCATTGTGTTCGCGGCCTTCCCAATCCCCATTGAGACCCACGGAGGCGCTGTGTATTATTTGATAATATGCTTTAAATAGGCAGATCTAGGTGTTGTCAACCGGTCTCCTCTACTTTCGAGTTGTACTGCAAAATTGGCAACCAGACCAGGTAGCCATTCTTTCATTGCTAGTTGCACGGTTTTTCATAGTCCTTGTGGGCGGGTGAAGATCATGCGGCAATCGCAGAAGAAATTTCTCCAGCACAAGGCATTGAACGCGCTACCTTCCTCGCAGGAGATATACGTGTCCTGTAAGGCTACGAGGAGACAGGATATCTCCCCGATACTCGATGTCTATCCGCATACCCTTCAATAGATGCTACCCATGACGAACATAGTGGGCCCTGGGGGTGGGTGACTTCTTGCCTCTTTGCCTAAAGCTTAGGGCAAGCACAGACAGTATAGTGTCGTTTCCGATTAAGGACTTTTCCCCGGCTTGTGGCTGGGCAAAAAAAAAGATTAAGGTGCCAATTGATGAAGGGATATGAAGACAAGGATCGAGTGCAGCAGCAGTTCTGGAGTGCTAAATTCGACACAGAAGCTCGATTCGAGAACGAAGTCGACTGAAGAGTAAACACTTCCAGGAGGCACAGGCAAACTATGGCTGATATGCGCCGCGCTGATCAGCTGTGGTCTTTACTTTGCATTTTCGTCTTGGACGCCTATCTAATCAGTATGCGGCGGAAGCTCCCGCATCCTCGACTCCACCGCATCGCTATACCGCCGCGTCATTATATTATTACTATTATATTGAATGCACGTAACGCATATTTTTTTTTTTTCTTAGTCCTGGCCCACCCGTTCATGCCCGTCAACAGACATGCATAATTATTGTGCAGAATTTAACCTGGAAGCTCTGGCAGAATTAAAAGTTGTCTTCTAGAGGCGCCTAGATGGGCGCCCAGTCTCCCCACTTAGTTCTTTCAGATGGAGTACTCAAGACGGCACGGCCGTCTTTGCTTCTGTCTTGGCGATTTTGTGGTCAACTAGCTCTTGACGATTTGTAGGGTTCGCATCGCCATCCGGCGGATTGAGAGATACTAGTTAGATATTTGTTGGGGTGGGATGAGGTGAAGCAGTCAAGCAGTTTATGGAGCACCGACGCCTGTGTTCTCGAAGAAATAACTATAGGTGTGACAGTCTAGCTGCTTCAGTTAGCTGGAATTAGTTTGAGGAGGTTTGTCGGTGCCTTGGGCTTTCACAGTCTACCTTAAGGGCAGAGGTTGCCGCCGAAATGCTCGGGAACCAAACTAGTTAACTAGTTAATTAACTAACTACGTCAGAGATTGATGCTGTCACTCTCAATCTCAAACTGCGCGAGAGAGCAAACAAGGTGAAGTGCGCCGGGTATCACACCATCCCATCGCCTTGCTTGTCCGGCAGCCCGTCGTTCGATTCGCAGCCGGCGGGTGGGTAGAATGCAGCCGGCTTATGTCGAGTCGATCTGGGGGGGGGGGGGGGGGGGGGGGGGGGGGGCGCCGGGATGTGCATTTGCTAGAGCTTTGTGCGGCGTCTTACGGACATAACTAGTAAGTTTAGTTGCATATGCGGTGTGAAAGGGAAGAGGGGTGAATCGACGGCTCTGAAGAGGGCAGGCAGCTGGCGGCGTGATTAGGACAGCCAAGCGGTGATTCGAGGACGAGAGGGGGGGGGGACTGCTGCTGCTCAGCAAGGCTGGCGTTGGTCTAGTGGACTATGTAATATAATTAGTGAGGCAGACGATTTGGAATCGCTGGACGACAAGGCCCTTGTGACCCCCGGAGGATGTCGATTCGCTGGTGCTCTCATTCTTGGCTCTCCCCCCTTGGGGCGACGTGGGCGAGTAACGCGCGATGGCACGATCGTCGTCCGTCGGAGTTGACTAGTTCAGCATCGGAATTCGTTGGTTTATTCCGCTGGCGCTGGTCGCAGCGAGCGCAGTAGTGCGAGCCAGGAAAGAAAGAAGGAGAAAGAGAAGGGAAGCAGGAGGAGGAGGAGGAGTGTGCGGTGGTTTATGAATGATTTGAGTAGTTTTTAGACCCGGCGCGAGCCCCTTGCTGCGGGTTTAAATTGCTGTGAGGACGCTCCGGAACAGCGCTCATTTTAAAATAATAAATGATGCTGGGAGGCGATCGCTGCCCACCCCCAGGGCGCAGGCAGGATTGAAATGGCGCAGGCAAGGCAGAGTCTGAATGGACAGATAGGCGTGGGCCAGCGGGTCGGGGGAGAGAGTTGTGCACGGCTATCACATCCTGATGGCATTCCTGCAGGCTTGCTCTGAGGGATCGGGTTGTCGGTCGATGAGATAATAATAATGCTTGTCCCTGGCGCACGGAACAGAGTCCCAAAAAAAGCAGCCCAGCGATGCGCTGACCCCGGACTGGCTGGGGGGAGGTACACACGCCGTATTGCAGAGCCGTATTTTCGCGAGTTAAGCGGCCGTAGTGGTGCTGACGAGGCGTGGCTGGAGCGGTAACTACTAACTAGCTTGACTACTGCGGCGGGCGTCGGGGAATAACTAGTAGTGCAGCGCGCGGGCAGGCAGGCAGGGCCCCGGCGGGCGTTTCAAGCGTGCAGCCGCCGCGCATCGCCATTTCGCTGCTCCCCACACTCTGGGTCTTAACCCCCGGCCCCGCTTATCGATAACACGCGTCACCCCCCGACTGCCACCACCACCACAACCCCAGCTCCACGATCATGCTGCACGCATGCCATGCTCGCCGTGCCGTGCTGTGTCTGCGTGCGAGTTACATCGTGCACTGTCCATCGCGCAGTCAACGACGTTCTGCCTGCGCGCGGCGAGGCCCGTCGTTGCTCGTCCAGCCCTGCGCTGCGCTGCGGCGGCGCTGCCCGGGGGGAGGGGGCCCTGCGGCCGAGCCTGTTACAAGAACAAACACCCCCCGGCTCGCGCCTGGACGGGGACTCCCTGCCAACCGCCGTCTTGTATCGCACTCCAATCTTAAACCTGCGACTCTCAACTGCGCTGCTGCTGCTGCTGTTGCTGCTTTCTCTCTCTGCCTCGCCATCCGGCTTTGCGTCCCACCGTTCCTGGATGGGGCCATGGGGACTGCGGCAATGCGCACCCGCGGGTCTTGGGGCTTCGAGAAACGCTGATCAAAGGGCCTCCTAGTAGTGAAGTAGTCGTCCATCCCATCATCCACTTTCTCTTCTCTCTCTGCCTGCCTTTCTCCCTCCCCCCTCTCTCGCATTCTCTCTACCTTCATTATTAATGCCCAGCCGCACCTTTGGTTCCCGTCAAAGTCTCTCCGCGCTTGAACTTACGGTGTGTTTTCGAAAAACTCTCTTTCTGCGACTAAGCATTTCCAAAAAAAGACTTCCAGCCCGCGCTGGCTCTCCTCTTCTTCTTCTCTCTGGCGTCTGCTTCGACAACTCTCTTCGGCCTTGGGGACCCGGTCACCGCCTGGTAGGAAAATCCTATTCCTACGCCCCAACTGGCGCTATCATTCGCTGTCCCGAAAGCTTGTCCTGATCATCGCCGCCCCGTTCTGCATTTTGTTTTTTAAACTATTATTCCACCCCCGCAAGGCGGCGACAAGTAGCTACCGGAGGTGCGCCATGGATGCTGCTTAAAACACAATTCCGCCTCCCGTTATTATTACTGAACCCGACTATACTTTGCGCCCACCGCCTGCTGGCCAGCAACCCCCCCCGTCGTCTCGTTGTTCAGTGCTTTTAATTGGCAGTCCCTCCGTAATTTCTTTTCTGTATCAACTTACTGCTGCTATCTTCCGACCGCTATGCGTCGGGTATTTGGCCCGCTGTCCACACCCTGATTATTATAAGCTGGCACTTGAAGCCCTTCTCTTCTCCCTCCTCCTCACTACTAGTTGTATCTTCTTCTTCTGCTTCAGCTTCTTCTTGTGTTCTCTTGTCTAGCTGCTTTTGCTTAGCATGCCATTCCGCTAAAGCGGCCCGTCCTTGTCTTGTAGGTTTCATCTTGCCCTCATCTCACGGTCCCGCGCCACACCTTGCCTCATCTAGTTACTGATGCCGTCCCATTATTAGTTTTCTGTCCTCATACCCGTCTAGCCTGCGTGGACCCGGCAAGCTGTGGGTACGGACTCGAAGTGTGAATGAGAGCTCTTAGCTGAGCTCGCCACCATGCGCCTGAGCATGTCTTCCTCCAATGCTGCTCTTCCCTCGTCGTCAGGCTCATGCACTCTGCTCCGGGCAGTCTGTCACGCCCTACTGCTTCTTCCGTCGTTGGCTGGGGCACAGAATGCATATCCTTCCGGCATGAGGACGGAGACGCCACCCTCCGGGTCCCTTCAGTATATACTTCAGAGCCAGCAGTTCGCCACCAATCCGATTCTTCTACTGGGCCTGGTTGAGTCCATGGCCCGTCCTCCTTCGCAGGTAAGCGTGGTCGTTTGTTGTTATCTGTCCTATTCAGGAAGTCTGTCAGCTAACATGAATCTGGTACCTGGCAGAATTTCACCATCCATGGAGTGCTGAAGAGCGTAAACCGTGAGAATATCAACCAGCTTGGTGGTAGCGATATAGTTATGGTTAGCTGTGATGAGTTTGCGCAGCCTAATAACCTTAAAGTCAAGGATACACTGAAGACTATCATGACTCGAAGTCCCACGCCGGCGGCGATGATACTGTACAGCATGCAACTGGACCGCTGCCAGTACAAAGCGGACGATGCTCTACCAGCGTACCCAAACATCTTCACAATCACTCGGGTCACAACATCTCAGGCCGTGCAACGGAAGCTTGAGGCTAGCTCTGGTGGAACATCCTCGATCGAAGTGTCTCAGCCTTCCACGGTTATCAACGGAGACTTGGAACACAAGGACCCCAGCCGGCCGATCGAGAAGAGTACCCAGAACAGCAGCAGTACCCCCAGCACCTCGGTGGCCATGATCATTCTGTACTCTGTCACGGGCGTTGTCACGCTCCTCTTTCTGAGCGTCATCGTCACGGGGGCCATCCGCGCACACCGCCATCCGGAGCGGTACGGGCCGCGTGATGCCGTGGGCCGCCCGCGCCAGAGCCGAGCCAAGGGTATCGCACGAGCAATGCTCGAGACGCTTCCGATTGTGAAATTTGGCGATCTGGACGACCATCCGGCGGGCCAGCAGCGCGGCGATGGGAAGACAAAACGGGGCGACGAGGAGATGGGGGACGCCCAGCATCCAGAGATGGCAGCGAAGGAGCGGCCATCAGAGGATTCGTCGGCTTTCAGCGTCAAGAATGTAGAGCATCAAGCGGCGTCGACGGAGCAGGCGAACGTGGGCGCTCCGGCGTCTCGCGCTGCGTCTCCAGAGGCCGGCCCGGCGGGCGCGGCGACAGCGACGGCGACGGCGACGGCAGACGCTGCTCTAGGTTGTCCGATTTGCACGGAGGATTTCGAGAAGGGGCAGGATGTCCGGCTGCTGCCCTGCGACCACAAATTCCACCCCGAGTGCATTGATCCATGGCTGGTGAATGTCTCTGGGACATGTCCTCTGTGGTAAGTGAATACTCGGAAGGGTGAACTATCTTACCTGAACAAGCTGACCCTTCCCTTCTTCCCACAGCCGCATCGACCTGCACCCGCCCAGCGAAGACGAGGAAGAAGACGGCTACTACGACGACGACGGCCACTTCCACCCTCGCGAGCCAGACCCGAACGACGCCAACCACAACCACAACCGCAACAACAACGATGCTGCTGCTGCTACTGAAGGCGACGGCGAGCCCGCGCCAGCACCGCGCACATCAGGCGACTCCAGCACCACGACGGCTCCGGACCAGCCGGCAGCTCCCCGCCGGGCAGCTCGCCGCGCGCGCCCGCGCCGCCGCAGCCTCGCGACGTACATCCAATCGACGATCAACGCGATCCCGCTCAGCGACGCGACGCTCGAGGAACGACTGGATGCCGTTCGCCGACTGCGCACGGCGCACAACAACAACACCAACAGCCAGACGGGCGACAACAATAATGCCTCGGCGGCGGGCGCGATTGGCCCTTCCTCCTCGTCTGCGGACCACAACAACCGTCGCAGTCGCCGGTTCTCGCAGATGCTGATCGGGTTCCGCGTGCGGACGAGACGGCATGGCGAGGAGGCGTGAGCCGGCGTCGTCATTATTTGTTTATTTTCTTCCTTCGATTTTCTTTTGCTCGTTCTTTTTTTTCCATCATACCCAATTCGCTGAGTTCTGAGAAACCGCGAGAATACGAGTTCTTTTTTTTTTCTCGCTCCCCCCCCCCCCCCCCTCCCGGGCTGTGTCTTTTTTTAGTGCATCTCTCTTTTTTTTTTTTTCGTTGAGCCTGGCATGGGTATGTTTTGCAACCACTTAGTTTAGTACTTGGGAACAAACACGCAGAGCGGCTGTCTGGATTTTGTTGTCGGGGGGGCCAGGCGTGCAAAATTGGCGGCGTTGGAGGGGCTCCTGGGACAAACAATATTGGTCAGTGATTTGATTATTCTGACTGCTGTCGTATTAGGGTTGGCATTTGAGCTGGGATTTTGAATTTTTTTTTTTTTGTCTCTGGTTAATTCCCGGCGTTGCGTTGCTTTCAAATCGGGAGGCTCGTTTGGGATTTTGTCGCGATTCTCGCCCGCCCAGTCTGTGCGTGTATTTTTATTTATCGGCGAGCCTGCGTGGATAGTAGTTAACTAGTTAGTAACCCCACCGAGCTTGCTGCCATTCATGTGAAGCGCGCGTCCTCCAGCGCTGTGCCGAACCTCGGTCGTGCTGACAGCTTTCCCCAGACGAAAAAGAGCGACGGCGCGCACATATAAACGGAGGGCCAGCCGGCCAGCCAGCCAGCTAGTCAACTACCTGGAGTGCGCGATTATTCTTCTTTGCCGGGGCCGCCGGGAAGCGCCGCAATCGATTAGTCACCGGAAACAACGCAGCCAGTCACGGGCAGCCCAATTCGAAAGCGGCATGGCTCCACGCCCGCTCGCCGCGGCCGCTGCCGCTCCCCCTTCCCCTGCGTCTGCCCATACTTCTCCTGCTTCTTCTTCTTCTTCCTCCCTCGCTTTCTCTCCCTCCTCCTCATCCTCCTCCGCTTCCACTGCCCACGCCCGTCTGTCCCGTCTCGCCCACCACATCATGCCCGCCTCGCAATCCGCCTTCACGGCCGGCGTCGTGCCACCCGCCCCCGAAGACCCGCTGTTTGGCCTGATGACTGCCTTCCGCGCCGACACCTCGCCCAGCAAAGTCGACTTGGGCATTGGAGCCTACCGCGACGACAACGCGCAGCCGTGGGTGCTGCCCGTCGTGCGAAAGGTGTGTGTGTTTGTGAGTCATAATTGTTGCGGTGTGCTGGCTGCTGACGATCATCGCGTGTATGCTAGGCCGAAGAGCTCATCCGCAGCAATCCCGCCGCCAACCACGAATATCTGCCCATTGCCGGCCTCCCGGAGCTGGGCCCGGCCACACAGAAGCTGATTTTCGGCGCTGATTCTCCTGTCCTCGCGGACAAGCGGGTAAGTCGCCTGTCTGCTGTCGCGCGTGCTACCCCGCATGCGTCGCTGGCTTCTCCAACTTCGGCGCCGGCGATCGGCCGCGCCTCACGCCCACTCAGCCCTACTATGTGCCTAGATGCGCCATGCTGACCGCGATGCCCTCGCCCTCCAGGTAGCCACGCTGCAGACCATCTCCGGCACCGGCGCCATCCATCTCGGCGGCCTGTTCCTGTCGCGCTTCTATCCAGCCGACCCCAAGCCCACCGTGCTGCTCTCCAACCCGACCTGGGCCAACCACCGCCAGATCTTCACCAATGTCCACCTGCCCGTCGCTTCCTACCCCTACTTCTTCCCGTCCACCAAGGGCCTCGACCTCGATGGCATGCTGGCCGCCCTGCGCGCCGCGCCCGACCGCTCCGTCGTCGTCCTGCACACCTGCGCCCACAACCCCACCGGCGTCGACCCGACGCAGGACCAGTGGCAGCAGATCGCCGTCGCCATGCGCGAGAAGAACCACTTCCCCTTCTTCGACACCGCCTACCAGGGCTTCGCCTCGGGCGACCTCGCGCGCGACGCCTGGCCCATCCGCTACTTCGCCGCGCAGGGCTTCGAGCTGTGCGTGGCCGAGTCGTTCGCCAAGAACTTCGGGCTCTACGGCGAACGTGCCGGCGCCTTCCACTTCGTGTGCGCCCCCAGCGACAGCGCCGCCGACGCCGCCGCCGCCATCGCCAGCCAGCTGACCGTGCTGCAGCGCTGCGAGATCTCCAACCCGCCCGCGTACGGCGCGCGCATCGCCTCCATGGTGCTCAACGACCCCGAGCTGTTTGCCCAGTGGGAGCAGGACCTGCACACCATGAGCGGCCGCATCATCGAGATGCGCCGCGGCCTGCGCGAGCGCCTCGAGCAGAAGCGCACCCCGGGCACCTGGGAGCATATCACGGAGCAGATCGGCATGTTCAGCTTCACCGGCTTGTCGGAGGAGCAGGTCAAGATCTTGAGAGAGAAGTGGCATGTCTACATGGTGAGTAGGGCTGTTATTATTATTATTATTTTCTGTATTTTTTTACTTGTGTCTTTATGGATGTGTCTGCTAACGTATTCGCAGACCAAGAACGGGCGTATTTCCATGGCCGGCTTGAATTCGCATAACATCGACTACTTCGCAGAGGCAGTTGATAGTGTGGTCCGTGAGACGTCATCCTAAAAGAATCTCTTCCCTTTCCATGGTGTTTCTCTTTCTCTTGCGCTATGTAGCTTGGTTTTTTCTTTTCCACTCTTGGGGTTTTTTTTTTTAGAATTTCTTCTCACTCCTTTTCTCATTTCTGGTTTTACTATCCAATTTTCGAATTTCAAAATGGCATGAAAACAAAACACAAAATGACTTTATGGGTTCGGCGGACTTGGACGTAATACATAGACCAGGGGATCAATCACTCAATTTGGGAGGCTTTTCGGACGGAAATAGGTCTGGTTTAGATTTAGACGGATAATAACAACCAACAAAAAAACAATCACAATCTCAACTTGACTTGAAAAAAATAATACATCTCAATTTCTTTCCTCGAAACGATAGAGTACACAAGACGTTTAGGGGGACTTTCTAGAGTCACAATTCATCACATCGATAGTTTTTTATATCGGGTATCTCCGCACACTATGATCACCCCTGGGGATGTAATGCATTTGGCCGTACACACACACACACACACCAAGGGGAGGTAAATCAAAATATACAAGGAAGGTCCGCGGATACACATATAAACACACAAATGAAGCATATGCCATATGCACCGGAAATGCAGTCCTTAGAAACCCATGAGTTGGAAAAAAAACAGGACAACACAAGCCAAAAAACAAGAAAACAGTCTATGCCGTGCCGGCAGAATAGAGCAGCAGGGAAAAACGGTTAAGGAGACAGCCAAAACGAGTGCAGAGAAAACGACAAAAGTAACCAAGAATAACAAAAAAAAAAAAAAAAAACCAACAGCCTGTCTGGTAAGTCATCATAAACCCGAGGACGCCGGAGCACCGTTCGTGAGAGGCAGCACGGGGCCCTCATCCTTCAGCTGCTGCTTCTCCACCACGCTGGCCCCCACTAGCGGTTCCATCGGCCCGCTGCCGCTGCCGCCGTCGTCACGCTGAAAGGCCGCGTCACGCAGACGCACGACGGCATTGGCACACCAGGCGTCGACGTATTTCGTCCAGACGTGGGCGACAGCGTACAAGATGGCGTAGAAGACGGGGATGGCGATGGCGAAGGCCAGGCCACCGGCGGGCTGCACATGGTTGACAGGCTGGCCGTTGCTGTCGACCACGGTCAGATCGGTGCGTGACACGTTGGGCCCGTACACCATCCACACCAGCACGGTGCGCAGCAGCGTGTCGTGCAGCAGGTACACCGCGAACGACACCCGGCCCAGGAAGTTGAACAGCGGCGACGTGAGCACGCTGCGCGCCCCGCGCGACGTGAAGATGCCCGTCGCCAGGATGCACACGCCCACGCTGACCCAGTACCGGTTGATCTCGACCTGGGCGCTCTGCGGGAGCACCGGGAGGAGCGTCTTCTTCATGAACCGCGACCATTGGATCCAGTCTTCGTTGTACTGCGGGTACGAGCTGACCAGGAAGCCCAGCACGATGAGCACGGTGGGGAGGTGTTTGGGCAGCAGGTTGGTGGCACGCGGGCCGAAGATGGTGTGGACCTGGGCGAGCAGCATGCCGGCGTAGATGTTGATGCCTGTGATGTCTGCAGAGAAGAAAAAAAAAAATGCCGTCAGTTTTGATACCTTGATGGAGAAAGACATGGGGAGGAGCATACAGTCGCCTGTCCACCAGCAGAAGCTGTGCAGGGCGAGGATGATCAGCACCCGCCATCGCGTCTTCACCATGGACGTCGCCAGCAGCGTGAGATATATCCGCATCGAGCCCTTCAGGAAGAACACCACGGCCCAGTGCGTGGGGTCGTACGAGCCCACGCCGTTATTCCAGAACAGCGTCATATTCCAGCACAGGCCCTTGATGGCCTCCCACAGCGTCGGCCCGGGCGGGTTGGCCACGCCGCGGATCCAGTCCGACTCCACCACGCGCGCCAGGTTGAAGCCGCCCAGCTGGCAGATCACCCAGGCCACCAGCGCCGCGGCGTTGGTGGGCAGCACCAGCCGCGCCGACCGCATGAACGCGCTGCGCGCCAGGTTCGGCAGCGCCACCGTCGTGTTGCCGTTGGCGAAGTGCTTCATCGGGCCCATCGAGTTGACGAAGCCCGTCACCAGGAAGAACACGGCCACCGCGGGGCGGCCGCCCACGCACAGCCGCAGAATCGGTAGCTGGAACAGCATCGGGCCTTTATCGCTGCCCGGCGACGGCGAGTGCAGCACCGGCAGGAAGGCCGTCAGCAAATGGCCCGTTACGACGACGAAGGAAGCAACGCCTCGCAAGCCCTAGAACTGATTGTCAGCATAGCTCGAGATATCAGAAAGAAGCCCTGGGGGGGTGGGGAAAGCGTGCGGGGGGGAGGGTCTTCTTACATCGATCCAGTTGTCGTCTCGCTTCTTGACCGGCGGCATGGTGTGACAAGGAACACAAGAAAACGAGAGATAATAACAAAATGAGTGGAAGTAGGTATTAAAGAACGTTTGCGATCAATATCTTCGGGTAGGTGGACGTGCTCATCAGGCCCACGCACACGTTTTGGACAAGGTGTGTTATACAGGGCCAGCAACGCATTGAGAATGAGAATGAAGGAAACCGTGCCGGCCTTGGGAGATTCAGCACATTTACCGGGGCGGGATCCGCAGCCGATGAGAAGAAGAAGAATTCGCCAGCAGCAAGGTGTACCGACGGAGTCAACGCAGCAAAAGAGGCGCAGAGCAAGGGCCGCAGCAAGAAAAAAAACAAAAAGCGAGAGCGTCGGATGGCGCGCCGCCGCAAAGAGAAGGTCGAGGCGTGCGCGCGTGTGGCCGTCCGAACCGGGGCCGAAGAGAGTGCAGCAAAGCGAGTGCAGGGACGACAGCGGACGCTTCGAAGGCGCAGAGTAGCTGTCCAGAGGGCGGTTTGGGAGGTTGCGAGGTTGAGTTAAGAGAAGAGCGAGAAGGGGGGGGAGAGAAGCGGACGGGAGGCAAGTCAGTGCTGCTGAACGATGACGGGCCCTTCCACAGAACCAAGTCACGGCAGAGACACTAAAAAAGCATGAAAACTGATAGGGCGAAAATCGAGCAGGGCAGGCAATCAAAAAAGAAAGGAATGGGACAGCAGCAGGCGGGCGGGTCCTCCGTGCGCGCTCTGGAGCGGGAGCGGGCGATATAAAGACGGGCCGAACGAGCGAGCGGCCGGGTTGATCTCTAGTAACTACGCAGGAACAAGCAAGATGGGCGGTGATTGCCAGGTCTTAATGCATACCAGCCGGCTCCGGCGTCACGGCGGGTTTTGAGCTGAGCTGGGACGGCGAAGGGTAGGGGGGGTGAGTTGCGAAGGATGACCGGGTCAAGGACTCAAAGCGTGGGAATGGGAGTACTATGTAACATAAAACACGGGTTCAAGCAAAAGAAGTGCCTTGCTGGATTGTCGCCGGGCATTCCCAGGGGATGGGATAAAAGAATAATAATAATATAACGCCAACCGCTCGTCGGGCGTCCGTCCACCGGCGCTGCTACCACCTGGAACGCTTGTGCTGGTGCCAAGGCGCCGTCTGCACAAGGAAGATCAGCGCTGGGCTTTAAGCGCTGCACTGTCCAGGATGGGGAGGAAGAATCATGACGGTTTGGGGGCTGCGAGGGAATGATTTTCCTATGGCTTGTCCTTATTTTCTTATTTTTCTTTTCACAAGCGAAACGCCACGCGAAACAACAAATCTCAAAGGCGAGGCCACGATCAAACCCGCAAAGCTGTAGATCCGCGCCCAGGAGGCGGGCTGGGCAGCGTCGGTTGATCATGCTCATGAATCTGCTTAATAACCCCCCCCCCCCCCCCCGTTCTGCGTGTCGTGTGTGGTGCCTATCAGTTGCCGTTAAATTACTCTATTCGAACGGGCGACCGGTGGTCACGACCGCATTGGTTTTTTTTTTTTTTTTTCGTGGGCGTGCCAAGAACAATTCGGTCACAAGCGCTGGCGCTCGTTATCCCTCCCAGCGGGTGCGTTGGGGCTGCCTGCGCATCTCAATCTCTGTACGATGCGCCGCTCCCTCCCCGCAGGCGCCGGCACTGCTCATTGCCGAGCAGGCAGCTCCATTTTCGATCGCGAGCTGTGCGCGCGCCCGTGCCGTGGGGTGGTGTGGGCGGCGAACTCGGGAAGCGGAGGTGAGACCGCAAAGCCGCGGATGCCGTCATTTGCAGCTTAAGGCTTTCCCCAGAACAGGGCCTGAGCCACACCTGCCGCACGCTGATTGGCCACGCCACACACCGCCAAGCCAGAGGGCCAAGACGGCGGCGGTGGACCCGGTGGGGCGCTGTAACGCCAAGCCCGGCCACACGGAACGATCGGGTCCTTGGCTTAGCTAAGCCGTCTCGCTCCTGTCACGTGCGCCGCCGTGGGCCCGTGGGTCGCGCGTCGCGGAGCGCGTTTAGGAAGCGGCCGCCGCCCTCCCAGCGCGCGCGTGTGTCGTGCCGGCGCCTTGCGCGGAGACAAGGTCGTCTCAAGGCCGCTGTCCGCTCGATCAGGAGCACTACTACTCGCTTGCTCGCTGGTGCACGAACCGCGGATTCCTGTGGGTTAGTTTCAGGTGGTCTTCCGAGCCTGGCGGCGGCCTTGCCCTCTGCCCTGATTTTGGCCAACCTGACTATTTTCGCTCCTGGGCGTCCTCTTCGCCCGTGCATAACTAATGCACCGTATATAGTGCTAAACTGTACCGAGGCGAGTCATGGCAAGTGCTACTTTGCCGTGCTTAATATCGATGCGATAGCGAAGACCGGCTCTCACCTGGCATGGCGGACCGCCTCCCGCCTCTGGCTGTGAGCTCGGAGATTATACGACGGCCGGCCCATGGTGTTCGAGCTTAAAACCGCCATTTTCTACTGTGGTCGCGGGAAGCTTTGGCATCCACTAAACCGCCCCGTCTCCTTTTTGTCTGCACCGACGTCCGAAGTGCCCCGTTTTTCTGCTTGGCTTATACTCCACAAGGGTATGATTCTGCAATCTCCTTATATTATTATTGTCACAAGTCCCACCCGCTCTTGAAAGACTTAGTGATCGAGTCTGAAATGTCATTGTTGGCACCTATCTGCCAGCTCGGCTTGGAGCGGCCTATCTCAGGCCAGAGGCCAGCCTGAAGAAGGTCTCGGCGAAACAGCCAAGGCCTTTGGCAAGGGTTTGGTAAAACAGCCGATTGCAGGGAAGTTGGGAAAGCATGGCGATGGCGATATCTCTTTTTTTTTGCCAACCATCACTACCAGGCAGCAATAATAGGGGAAAACTTACCATATTATTATCATACGACTCGCTTCTGAACCAACCAAGAATGACTATCCTCTTCAGAGTAGTTGCCCGTCAGCCCTTTTTGAGCGACAAAATGGCTGGGCGGGATATATTCCCGGTACGGAGTACTCTGAATAAACGCCACAAACCCTGCATGAAGCGGGCCACCAGAGAGCCACGAGAATTCTGTTGCTTTTTCTTCCTTAGTATTCTTAGCTACAATGCTGCGAGAACCCACACCAACATGCTTCAAATCAATATTGAGAAGTTAATTTTTTTCCTTTATCTCTGTTCTCTCGTTTTCATTAATGGTCCCATTCTTTTTATACCACAGTTGAACCCCGTTTGGCAGTACTCTGTATATGATGGCAATCATCCTGCCATGATATTCGAAAGGACCGGGCATTTCACACAAAAAATCCATTCGCCTGTGACTCGCATCTCAAACAATCCTAGCTCTTGAATTCCTACCGCACAATCCATTCGCTAGGCTGGGTTGTAAGGCCCCCAAAATATTTGATATGGGCGCCTCTAGAATCGAGGTTTTGTTCCTTCGATGCTACACATCTCCTCTACACATGGTTGATGATGACACCGGCTAAATTTTCACTGGCAGAAGGGGTGCTCCCCTGCAACCGTACATGATGATGCTGAGGAATCACAATATCTGTAACATAGTGCTATACGATGTCAATACTACATCGGGATGTTTTTCTGGGCTTATACCTTTTCCGCCATTGAGCGGGTTCGCTGCTTGTTCTATGGATCTGAGCTACTTCTCTGTTTCGTTTCAGCTGGCGGGAGCGCCGAGCAGATGCAATGTCGACTCCCTGGAATCATAACAATCATCTTGCTTGAAATTCTGGGGCCCCAGATTCCCGTTATCCGATGATTCCATAGCCCTGGCCGTAGGATCGTCTCCACAGGCTACACCCAAACACTCTGGATTCTAACGGTAGGATGTGGCTATCAAAAGCACAAATTCTGGCAAAGCCCGAGCACGCTTGGAGCAGCCTTGACTCATCAAACCTTGGTGGAAATGCATCACTTTGTGGTGGGCAAGCGATGGGGGACTCATAATGTCCTAGCCTCTTTGCAAGACTCGGAATCAACTTTTACTTACTTAGATGGCAGTCAATTGGAACTGCCTCTTGCAACATTCCATTGCCGTTTACTCATGGTAAAAACTACCTAGATCACCAGATCGGGCCATTCGATGGCTTGACATGTATCTCCTCCAAGGTCCCCATAACTGCCCAACCGCACTATTGCATCATTTCTTTTTGAAATGCTTTCTTCTGTCCGTGTACTCTGTGATGGACTTGCAACTATCGAAAGCATAACAGCAAGCGATTATCATGGTTTTGCTCACTTTGGAGGTCTACCTTCGACTTCGTCAGCCTTACCATTTGCATGCCACAGCAATACCACTCTGCCATGTTGGAAACGGATGCCGTGTTTACCGGCGTCTCACTCCTCACGATCCTCTCTAGAAGCATGAATGCATTGGAGGTGTGCCTCCTAGAGCTTCTAGGGCTGCTTCTTGGTCGAAGTGATGGCAGTATTCAAGACTGTCAAACAACTTCTGCTCTCCCTTCCTATTGCCCGACTTCAAATTCAGCCTACTTGGAGTTTCGGCAGCTACATATTTATGCGTCGGATGCAGTTCGCCATTGTTCAAGCGAGGCAATGTATTTCTTTCACTAGCCTGTAATGCCAACTGCTGACAATAGGGTGCCATATCAAGAGATTCCTGATATCCGACATAAATACAGACTCACTCCTACCTTCCTTTCGAGAAAACAGCACTCTGATCAACGTATCGCCGAAGCCCAAGCCAGTTATCAAATCTAAGTGATTTAACACAGTGTTGGATTAGAACTAAGCCAACGCCTTTCTATGCTCGATCGCACATGCCCCTTTACATTCAACAGCGGTGTGGCATAGCATAAAAATAGAATGTCAATCGTGCAAGCTTTGTCGATCAGGGAGTTTGTCAAGCAAACCATAGCTGGATCTCTGATTTGTCCTTATAGATCTGCTATAAAACAACAGTTTCAAGCGTTGGGACGCCTTGGAAATGCTGCCCACAAGGGCTAGACGCTGATGCACCCGAAATAGATCTACGAAATGATTTTCCGGTGAGTTGGAGAGACATGAAGAACACCACTCTCAGCGAACCGGAATCATAGCTTGAGTCCTACGACATTGTCTTCCAGAGTTACACAGGCAACCTTTCCTACCCGCCTTGCACAGCCCCCCTTTCCCCATCTTTTAGTTAGGGCGCCTAAATCAAGGTCCGCCACTGGACCAGCCGACCACCATTGATTGCACAACGGCGGAGAAACCCGCCTAGGACGAATTCAGCATTTCCGAAACAAAACAAAACGAGTTCACACGTGAAACAATAACTCTTGCTCCAACCCGGGGGAGAGGGGGCGGGCGCTTGTCGTCATTCCATACAACTGCCTAATAATAAAAAAAAAAAAAAACGGGATTGAGCGGCGCGGAGCCGGGGCTGAAACAAGCTGAATCAGGAGAGCAAACCGGTGGTGGGCACGCGCGGGTGGCTTTGCTGTTTGTGATGTAGGTTATGTAGGAGGACGGACATGGCTTGCCTATGTCGACGTCATATCTCCTCAGCGGGCCGGCCGGGTAGCTACATGCATTCACCGATCGCCAGACGATGCTGACGCCTTGGGTATCTCGTCTTTACGGAATTCAAACCGTATCTTCCTATTGGGAGGCCCCTCTGCCTTCTCACATGTCCTAAGCGGAAGGAACACCGGTCCACATGTCGGGGTGCAACTTGCTATTATTTATTATGCCTCCTGGAGAGAGCTCCCTGCAAACCTATTTGTGGATCATGCCAGACATACATGACCGTCGAAACAGAGAGAGACACGGGGGGCTGTATAGGTGAGATAGCGGGAGTTTAAAATGGTACCGGGCTGCCACTAGGCTGCAAGCTAGCCCATTGGTCGAGGTATATTCTCGGAAGTTCGAGCTTGATGCTTGGTATACCCTGACAGGTTGCAGCTCTTTTCTCACTATTTCGAACCGTTTAAGCGGATCGATCTATATTGAACGGCAAACTACAGGCGGCGCAAGCACAAGATGGCACGCGATCAATCTCCTGTGTCACTCGCCGGGATATGTGTATCCCGCGTCTTCGCACTAGGATTTAGCTGCTATGCGAAGTAGATCTGGCAAGCACTGGTGAGATGCTGGACTGAAGGTTGACGGAGAGCAACATTATGCATAACTAACTGTCAAAAATCATCGTGGCCTAATAAACAGCCGCCGGGTATTGATGTCATTGCTGACTAAGCACACCTGGCTTGTGGCCCTCATCCTCGGCGGTCGAAGAATCCAAGCGGTGACTTTGATTTGCTCATATCCACTCAAATCGGAGTATTTTCTCAGTCGCAGAGTGGCTGGTCAAACAGCACGAGCGGACTCGAAACCGCGTTGTATGGAGGGGATTTTTATTTATTCTTGATAAATTATCAGTGATTCCTCGGGCGGGCAGTCGGCCGGGCCAGAGAGTTACATAACCCCACCACGCTGCCCTCCGAGCATCTCGACGGATTTCAAATGATGGGAGCTTGCCTTACCTTCTTTCTTTAAAAGAGCTTTCAGATCGTTGCTATTTTGGTCTCTCAATACAAAGCACGTTTAGTATATACCTTACGAATACAGACCAGCGCCATCTTCGCCATGCTTGAGTCATTCCAGGTAACGCAAGCGGCATTCGAAATAGATATGCGCCGGAGCTGACAGTACGCAGGCCACCTTTGCGGTGCCGCTGACCTGCGAAAGCTGCGTCGAAGACATTTCGAAACCATTATACGAGATCAAAGGTGCGAATTTCGATCCTCGATCACGTTTTTGTTGTTGTTGCTGGACTGCTAAGAGAGAACTATTTCCCAAGCTAACGGCGGTTGTCTTACCTTTAGGAGTGAACAAAGTTGAGGCCGACCTGAAGAACCAGCTCGTTTTAGTGGAAGGCACAGCAGCACCGTCGGCCATCGTGACGGCCATTCAAGACACTGGGCGCGACGCGGTGCTCCGAGGGAGCGGATCGTCGAACAGTCAGTCATGCCACTTTCAATTTTCATTTTTTTTCCCCTTCCTGTCTCTTGCTGTTTGGCATCCTTCGCGAGAGGGATTCTGACACGGCAACGGGCGAGGTGAAACAGCGGCTAACGAGCGCACTGGGCCCGGGCAGACGCCTCAGTTTGCATCCTCGAAACCCACGCGCGGGTGCCGGTGCCGATCCGCGGGCTGGCGCGAATGGTCCAGATCTCGACGCAGCGCACGCTGGTCGACCTCACGATCAACGGGCTGGCGCCGGGCACGTACTGGGCGACGGTGCGGGCGGCGGGCGACGTGTCGCGCGGCGCGGCGTCGACGGGCGGGATCTGGGGGGCGGGCAGCAGCCCAGCTGCAGTCGCAGGCTCGCCGGACAACGGCCGCGGAGTCTTCGGGCAGGTCGTGGTGGACGCGCGAGGGAAGGGGAATGTGTTTCTGGACCGTCCCGTTGCTGTTTGGGAATTGATTGGCAGGAGCATGGTGGTGTCGAGAGACCGCAGCGGGCCGTTCAAGGCTGACGACCCAAACACCATCGTGGGCGTGATTGCGCGCAGCGCGGGCGTGTGGGATAATGACAAGATGGTGTGCTCGTGCTCGGGCAAGAACGTATGGCAGGAGCGCGAGGAGCAGCTGGCCCGCGGTATGATGTGAGATGCCATCTCTGGAGCATAGTAGTAGTATAGTTAAGTCAACTAGTCGACGATACGGCTGCGTGATCGGCGGGTTCGCGTCTCAAGCCACGGCGGAGCTATTTTTGTACATCTCTGCACTACTGCTGTCGCTTTACTGCTGCTACCTGCTTATGCTATTGTTATCTGGCTTGTCTCTCGCTTCTGGAGCCCGGTCTCGCCAGGCTCGGCGGGCGTGGGCAATGGGTGGCACCTGTCAGGCACTAGAAGCGCCGCAGACCCAGCGTTGAGGCGGCGGCCAAACCACCGCTGTTTGAGCCCGAACGGATTTTGTTTCCCCACGACGGTTTCGACGGTGCTCTCGGGTGGCAGGATGATGCCTACGTCGTGGGCGAGACGCGGCATCAGGCCACAATCCGCCAGAGCACGGAGAATACACAAGCAGCGGACTAACTAGAAGTGCTCGATGGCTGCAGCGGGCGACAGGCGTGCAGGCCCGCCGGCGCCGTGGCGTGAGCAGCCCAAGAGCACGCCCAGCCCGCGCGGCGGCCAATGGCGGGCGTGTCAGACCCTGTGGCCAGGGGCGCCGTGGAAACGCTAACCCGGCAGTCCTGCGACGCTGCGTGTGATGGCCCGCCAGGCCCCCTCGCAGCGCTGCCAGCCATGGCCTATATGGACCATCTTATTTGACGCCGTCGGCCACACGAAAGAAAGCATCATGCTCGCCAGCCTCGCCGGTTCTCTCCGTCTCTCTCTCTCTCTCTTTTTCTTTCTCTTCTTCAGTCGCTACCGCTCCCGTTGTTGTGCTGTTTGGCTGTCGTGTCTCGGTCCGGGCGTGGCTTGTCTATTCTTAGCCCCCCCCAACCCCCCCCCCCCCCCCCCCCCCCCCCCCCCCCCCCCCCCCCCCCCCCCCCCCCCCCCCCCCCCCCCCCCCCCCCCCCCCCCCCCCCCCCCCCCCCCCCCCCCCCCCCCCCCCCCCCCCCCCCCCC